CAGCCGAAAATCACGAAATTGAATACGAGAGGTGGGAAATCATCGAAAAAAGTGTGTATTTTACATTCATAGTGGCTATACTTTTTTTAAGCCATACTTGGGGCTTAAATTGAGATTAAATGCTAATACTTATTTAAAATATCCTTAAAGAAAATATCCTTTAAATCCCCCTTAAATTCTCTTGAAAACCCAAAGTCCACGTCTTAACCCTCGGTGGCAAGTCCTTAACATTTCATCCTCGCGCTCTCGGCGGGAAAATAGAAAGAAAAACATAAATAATGAACAGTTTACATAGGGCATTAAAATGGCTGGCTGAAATGGCCACAATAAATATGCAACTAAATCAAGCTTAAATGTGCTTAACAATTTTGAACAATAATGTCCAGACCACAAGTGCGAAACCTGGCCCTAACGAGGACCTCTAACAGTTGGGAAAACTCCAGTAACCGTAGTGCCCCATACACCTTCCCCATGTTTATTCTTCCGAAACCCATCCATACATGTGTCAAGGGTAGAGAAATATTACGCAGCCGGCGGAGAGCTCATTAGGAAAGGGCGGACGGACTTTGCGGATGTCGGGATGTCGGGATGCTTGGTACGAAAAAGGTTTCGTAGAAATAAATTTGCACCTTAACGCCTTTAAATGAGCAACACAACCGTACACCCTCATACAAACTCACAACTGAGAACTGAGAACATGGTGTTGCCAATTACCCGGAAGTATGCGAAAAGCTTATGCGATAAATTCGGTAAAAGTGCCAAAAAGGTATGCATCGAGGAGTCTGCTGTATGTTTCCAGACGAAGGTAAAACCAAAAAATTCCCAACCCCAAGGCCCACTTGCAAAGTCTGAGGTTCAGTCTGGTTCGGGTCTGGTCCGGACTCAGGACTCTGGAGCTGTGCTTTTGTGGCTTCTCCAAGTCGTCTTTGGCGTCTTTGTTGCCTTTCCACGCCGGCCACGTAGCCAACACCTGCGTCCAACCAAACCCAAAGCCCCCAACCGCCGTGGACCATAACAAAAACTCGAGTGGGTGTTGCCGCAGAGTCAGAGTCGGGGGTAAAGTTTATGTTGTGCCACCATATTGAAGGTTAAGTTGAGGCTTTAATAAAATATCATGCGAACTTTCGCAGCTGTCCGGGGATTGGCCAAATCATACACACTTGGCCAAAAGCATACCCAGACATATATCAATATAAAGTTGTATTTACGAGCCTCCCCACTCACACTGCATTTTAAACATATTTCATTAAAATGTAGGCTCGATTGCAGGGCTTCTGTTTTTCGCGGCTTTCAGGTAATTCCCCGGCTTTTGCTTTATGGCTGAGATATAAAATTTTATATGCCTGCTTTTGGCCAGGTCTTGTTGCGTTGTCTGTTTGGATGAAGCAAAGCGTGAAATATGATTGTGATGCCCTACAGATGAAAAGATAGGCTTCTAGGTTTGGTAAGCTTTTTTTTTAAACAAAATATCATGATAATAGTTTACAATTTTCTAAAAAACTACTAAATATTTTTCTTAGATTTTAGAGTTTAGCATTCAATATTATTAAAGGGCATGTATAGACTTTAAAAGACATATGCTACATCCTCGCTTTATTACCTGGGCATCATTTCATGCTAACGTAAGCGCGAATTTTACCGAATTGTACCTAAGCTGCCACCTAAGCTCCTTCCTCAACTCACACACACCCCTCAGACTTGCCCTCCCCACAACAAAGGGAGGAAAGTGCCACAAGTAGGAAAACAAGTGTAGCTTCCAAAAAATGGGCAATCAACTCCAAAATGGCCCACCTGTCCTCCATCCACCCCCTTGAAACTTCTTGTTACTTTTTAATACTTTTTACGATTATAACAATGTGTAAGTGTCTGCTTAGTGAGAAAAGGGAAAACTCAGTCGGTACAAAATAACTTCTGTTTTCGGTGGCAGAACAACCCTCCTTAATGAAAGTCCAAAGGACCTCTCCCGGCCACCCACCCACCACGTGACTGTTTATCCCTTTTGCCACTTATGTTTGGTTGTTTTCTTAAGTTTACACTAAACAACCACCCAAACAAAACGCCGATGAAAAAAGAGGACACTTAGAAACAAAAATCAACAACAAGCAAATATCATAACAACCCTTGGGGAGTGGAATTATTTATTTTATTAAGTATACGCAACGTATTAACCCGACAAAGCCGACTCACGACTTCCACATGCTGATAGTCTTTTCGTGTAACTCCGTTTGTCGTTTGCCGGCTCCGTTTAATTGTTAACATTTCATTTAAGCCAACAAAGTGGTAAGAGTGCGATAAGGGAAGCGGAGAGCGAGGTCCTGGGCAAAAATTCATTTATCAAAACGCTGCCCGCATTTCCGCGATGAAACCCCTCAGGATAAACTGACTGGCGCCAGCAGAAATGGCAGCCGAGGTTCAACCCAAAATCTAAATCGTTGTATGCAGAAGCATACATGAAAAGCGGTGGGGGGAAGGGACTTTTGGGGGGATCCCCACACAGGCACAGTGCCTCGAGGAAGAAAGAAAACGGAAATGAAAAAATCTATTGCCTACATTTGCGGGCATTGTGGGAGGGCAATGCATTTAAGCTTCTTTCGAACAGATTTTTATTTAAATCTAAGCTTTATTCATTTGAAAATATTTAAGAATTTATAAAATAGTATCAAAAACCAAAAACTAGTTTCTGAAACCACTGTGTGTGTCTCCTTCCTTGCCATGACGTTTGCGTATGTCAAAGTTATCTAAATGAAAAATTGACTTTCATACAGAGCACAGAGAATGAGGGGGGCGGGGGTTGTGGGCGCAGAACTTGTGGGCGGGGCAAATCATCAACGTTTCGTTTGCGCATCGCTTTCAGTTGAGTTTCCGTTCTGTAGGATTTCGCATTTACGCATTTCCTATTTTAGATGATATTTCATACTTTTTTGCTGACAGCAGCAACGGCCGCGGCCGTGTCGGGGGAAAGTGGAAAAGGAAAGAAAGTGGGGCGGTTGAACTGCACGAGGGTGGAGGGGTGGTATCAAACCGCTGCCACCGTTGATGATGATGATGTGCGTTTATTATTGTTGCTTTATGGCTTTGCATAGATAGATGCCAGAGAGTGTGTTTCTGCATGTATGTGTGTGCCACTGACATATCACACCCCCACATCCCCCCGCTGCTTTTTGCCATTTGTGTATTTGCCTTTGGGATTATCAACTCATTGTGTCAGCGGATGCAAGGATATATATATTTTCTCATAGGGATGTCCTCAGTGGACCTCCTGGTCAGCTTGACTTCTGACATTTGCCAATTTGGATAGCCACCCATTTTTTTTTGGGTCCCTATTAAAATATAATTTTCAGATAGATCGGTTATCAGAGTCTAAGCTTCCCACCTGCCTTTTTAAGCCTTTTTTTGACTACAAAAAAAATTTAACTCAAAACCCAAACACCCATCTTTAAAAATGATTTAGCCATTTAAGCTTAACGGCTCCTACGTGTCTACTTAAGTGCCGCCCCATTGGCTAGCCCAAAAATTATGCTGCAAAATTGTTGCAACATCAATCATATCTCGCCGTTCCCATCTGGCCATGGCCAAGACAAACAGAAGGGAAAAGGCCAACTGTAACACTCACCCGGCACCCGGCATCACCCACGCAGAACGTGCCAATAAATTGCAGAGGAAAAATAAAATAAATTGAAAAACACTTTGATGCCATCAATAAACGCTGACAAAGCCAATGCCAGTCGACCAGCTGAGGCCAAGAAAAGTTCACGACATTACCGTGAACTAATGTTGATACTGGGCATGACCCCTCGCCATGGCATCTACAACTTCGACGACACAAACAACTCAAACAGACATAAAATATAAAAATCATTTTGGGGCAACTGCATTCTGGCAGCCATTTCGAAAAAAATGACACTTGAGAAAAAATATTTGCTTATTATTGAAAAATATTTTAAGTAAAATATGCTTGCTTTTAAAGCTAATAGTAAATTAATAATAGTATCTCAAATACTTTTGCTAACTAATATTCAACTAATATCCCTTTTTGAATAATTTTTCAAAAGTGTATCCTTCTAGCCTTTTTTCTTTGATTTTTTTATACTTTTCTTGGCAGCTGTTCCCTTTGTCTCAACTGTCTGTTGTTTTTTTGGCCTCTGACTGCCTTTCTATATACGGCTTTAAATTAGAACACATTTCTATGATTGCTATTAGGAGAGCGGAAGGAAAGGGCGGCAGGGCAGTGCAGGCTCGTCATAAAGTGCGACAGGCGCCACTTTGTTCAATAGTTTCTGTCCTTTTTCGTTCTATTTTTGTTGGCAAGTCGGCAATATGCCAAACTGGCAACAGCTGCGACTTTTCAGGCCTACCAGTCCGACCAGGCCGACCAGTTTTCTTCTTGGCCATTTCTGCTGGCCAAGCTTCTGTTGCCATTGTTTGTTGTTTGCTGTTGGCAAGGATATTGGGTTGAGCCCTTTTTGCCGTTTGGCCTACTATCGGGCCTTAGTCCTGGCAGCAAATGTCATAGGGATATGTGAGTGGGTTAAGCTTCAAGCTGACTTTGGCTTTTGTCTTCCTAGTTTTTGCTGCGATTTACTAAAAGATCCCATCCTTTGTGACCTTTTTTGCCATTCCCCCAGCAAGTGTATGTAATGGGGTATCCTTTTTGCTTGTGACACATTTACATTGAAAAACTTTACCCTAGGCAGGCTAAATCGATGACAAAGAAAACATCATAAATTTCGGGGAAATATGCTTTGCATATATGGGTCACGGATTAGGAGATTAGAATACTTCCAGTTAATAATTCAAGGCTTAGATATTAACTCTTTTAAGATTTGAAAAATATAAGAAACTAAAATGTTGAAGTAAAGAATACCTTCAACCCTTGACTACATAGTTCAACCAATTTCCCTTTCCCTAGACACATTTAGTCCCAACACAGCTTCGGTTTTAGCCAAAGTGAACTTTGCACTCTTATTGGTATTAAATATTTACGACAATGCTCTGCTGGCAGCGAATTTTCAAGAACAAAACAAAGAAAAAGTGAAAAATACAAAAGTGAAGTGAGCCTGGAATAATCCGACTCTCAGGCAAAGTGAAATCCAAGCTAAATGGAATTCACTTAGCCATGGCAGATGATGATGACAGGGAGGATGAGGATAAAGATGAGTCAGTTCCAGGCTCTGAAGCTGAAATCTGGATGCTGGATGCTTGAATCTGCCAAGTAGCCGCCTTTGGAAGTGTCTATTTTTTGCTTCACCGACGCGGATTCCACGAATCGTTCTGTTTGAGTATCTCCTGCAGGCGTCGTCTTTCCTTGGCGGTGAGTACCTAGACGGAGATATCCCTTAGCCTGGGCCTTCACCTGAGATTTAAACAGTGTCTCACCTGTTCGAGGGTCTCCAGAGTCGAGTTTATTTCCCGCTTCGAGTGCAATGGCAGCCACAGTGTTGTTATAGCGAAAGTTCTAGAGGAAAGTGAAAATTAAATATTATTGAATATAGGTATCCCTGAAAATTGATTTTTCCAGGTCTCACCTGTGCACCCTCATGGCATCGATGGCACATCGCTGCATCTCCTCGTGCTTGGCCATTTCCCGGCGGAAACGTTCGTTGTATCGCCGGAAGGAGGCCGCGTAACGCTTACGACAAATATCGGAGCTATTCAGGTGGATCCGGGCGGAGATAGGGAAATTGTAAAATGTATTAAATCAACGGGAAATTGCAATTTTCACACAATTTGATTTGAACGGAGCGCCAACTTACTAGGTTACCTCCTTCTCATCCGGCGGCGGGCGTTGCCCGAATCCCACTCTCCTGGCCAGAAGGACGCGATACCACTGCTTCTGCAGGGCATTCATTGGCCGCTTGAAGGGATTCTCTCCGCCGGTATTGTTGGCTCTCAGCTTATCCATCCCGAATGGTAACAAGTTTTTCCCGTGTTTCCCGTTTTCCGATTTCCCGTTTTTATGCCAAGCACTTAGTCAGAGATTTTCCACAGAGCTGCTACCAGGCTTCCCAACTCCACGGAACTGAGCCCTCGACCCAAGGGGTAGGAACCGGGCACTAGTAGGTGCAGCTGGGACTGGGATTTGTTTGGCTGTTGGCAGGGAGCTGAGTTTATCGAACCAACAAGAAGCCAAGTCAACAATGGCTCGACTGATAGGACACGAGACGCCAAGTGGGTAGACATCAGCAACTGTTGCATATGGGAATAGATGTCACTACACTAGGAAATTATATAAATAAATAAGAAACTATTAAATAAACAAATCATACAATTTATGTTGGTTAAGAAGGTTAAAGTATAAGTAAGTCTATAAGTATTTCTATGTATTTCTAAGTAAAACCTATATTTCTATAGAGAATTCCCCCAGTGCATCACCTACTTTTACCCCACTTTCCTATGAGCATTCGAAATGAAGTCGTCTAGCTGTGATTTGTCAGGAAGTGAGCTTCGAATGTGGGTTAAATAAGAGAATAGATTGCCAGGCAATCGCATTCGATGAGTTTATTTCCACTTTCCAGCTGCATATCGAATGCACAAAGTGTGCATTTAGTTGATTAAACGAGATACGAGAGTGCATATTTGAAATTGAGATCGCAACTGTCAATCGCATTTTTCTAAGAAGGTGGGGACCACAATTTAAAGACACATCTATGTGAACTCTTGACTTTTGACATTTAAAAAATTAACCCATAAATATAAAATATGAAAAGCCCGACCTTAGCATATGCGGAATACATAATGGGACTTCCAAGACAAATGTCTTTCAAATTTAAGCCCGCCTGCTGCTGCCGATGGCCTCATTATTAACCCACATTCCTGCATGGCAAATGCAAAAACCACACCCGTAAATCCACAGAAGCCCCAGCCCGGGTAATTTCTCATGCCAACCCAGATACGACAATGTCTATACATCATAGAACAAAATCCGGCCCCACTCCCCGGGAGAACCTGGGCCACCGCCTGCCCGGGAACGGAAAGGGAAAACATCTTGCCGTAATGCGCGACGCTGAGAAAGTAGTTTCCATTTCCCGCCCCAGCCAGCTCCGGAAAACTCCAGAGGGAGGAGCGCAAAAAAATTGGATTATATTAATTTGAATTAATAACATATTTTCCGTTGCGGGGCCTTCCGTGGAATGTTGTTGCTATGCCTCGGTTCCGAGATGAGTTTTCCTCAATGGAAATTATTAACTCGGACTGGGAGCTCGGAGCTGGGGGCGGCCAGAATAAATATAGTACACCCAGCTACTCGGGGCATTTGATCTTTAATGAGCTTTTAATTTGAGTAAATTTGCGATGGAATTTGGTTTGTTTGTGACGTGGGGGCTCGATGGAATTTCCAATCGGAATTTGGCTTTCAAATGCCTTTGGACATTATTTAATCAAGTGCCCGAATGACCATCGGAAGGGAATTGAGTTAACTTGGCCTAAAGTCCGTGGTTTCAGAAGGGCACCTGTAGTTTTAAAAGCTTTTGCTTGATAATAGAATTGTGGGGATGTGTATTAACTTTTATAAGGTTTGAGTTACTAAAATATAAAGCTTTTCCAATAACTGTTTATTCTACTACTTGTATAAGACCCCATCTTTTGAGGATAACCCCTTTTGTCCATTCTTTCCCGCCGCCACTGCGCTTCTAAGCAGCCAAACGCCGCCGCAATTTATCGAGTGTATTGAGTTGGTCTACGTGCTGCACATAAACCGCACTTATCTGGCTGACTGACTAACTGACTGACTGACTGAAGGATGTGGAGTGGTCGCCCGTGTGCCCGATCCTTCACCCCTTCCCGGGACTCGGCTTCCTGCCATCGAAAGGCGATAGCCAAGGGAGCGAGCCGGCGAAGAAAAATTGCATGCGGTTAGAGGAGCGAGCAGTAAAATTAATGTGTCTGTACCGGGTAAAGTTGCCTCCAGCTCCAGATTCCGGGGGACCAGAGTCAGGACCTCGTCCACAACCACGGACAACCCCCATCGACTGGGGCATCCATCCTTAAGCAAATATACGGACGGAACGTGTCCGGGGCCCATATCAAAATGATGCATGTGTGTTAGATTTGTTATAAATTTTATTTGCTGTTTGCTTGATTTCATCCCGCACCCTCCTTCTATTGGAAATCAGCCTTAGATGCACTCAATTATTGAACCCCTGAGTGATTGCCTTCTACTATTTTTAAAAATAGACTTATAGTAATTTATGGACTTAGTAGTACCTCCCCCAATGGGACTTCGGTAACTAGCATAGCATAGTTTAATCACAGACTGAGTAACGCCTGAAAAGGTCTATTAACAAATGCGTATTAGCCTTTCCCGATAAGATAAGATTTTCAGATTGCGGAACCTTATCGAACAGCACAAATACAAACCCCTGTTTACAACTAGTATTGACAAATGATTCGTAATACTTTTTAAAAAATATAAACAGCTTATATATCCCTGATATGTTTATGAAATATTTATAAACATTTTTGTTTGCCAGACAATGGCAAAGTAATCAATAAAAATTTCATTTAAGCATACATGACGTTCGACTAATGCGATAAACTATTTATCAGCAAAAAATCAGATGATTGATTGATGGTCCTGATAGCTTGGGGTAACCAAAAGAATTATTATGCGTGAGATTTGAGGAATTTATTACGTTTAGTAATATATTTTCAAACATAAAGACTTACAATATATTCCAAAAATAGTCAGAGTTACGAAGAGTTATTCCCCAACGGGCATGACACCTCTTTTGGGTGTGAGGTGGATTGCTATCTTTATAGAGCCCTATTGGGAATTCCGAACCACCTTATCAGGTGAGCCGATAAGCTTTTGGGTTGTACTTCAAATAATAATATTTTTGTGTATAAATGGTAAGCCAAAAGTGGGCAATTTCAGTACACGACTGTGGTTTAACAAGTAAAGATGCCGCCGCCACCACCTCACCACCACCACCACCCGCCCGGACCTCCGCACCACGGTCCTCCACATCATGGACCTCCACACCATGGACCTCCGCACCATGGACCTCCCCACCATGGACCCCCGCACCACGGTCCTCCCCACCATGGACCTCCGCACCACCATGACCCTCACCATCATGGACCTCCAATGCATCCTCGCTAAGGATTAGTCCCTGAACCAAAGGTCGGACAGGGAAATTAGCCTACGAATGTGTAACTCTTAGTGTTTTAAATTATTTGTGACTGAAAACTTCAGTAAAAATCCATCAAAAATATAAAAAAAAAAACAATGAAAATCATATTAAGTGTATTCTTTTATTTCAATTCAATCTAAGGAGTCTCCAATATCCCTTGTTGGTCAAAATAAATCAGATTTCTCTTGATGGTCTGCCGCACCTCTTCGTTGGCGTACATGAGATGACGTTTCCTTAACATTTCCTCTGGATTCAGAAAAGTTTGGACATCGAAGCCATCAGTGACCTCCGAAGGAGCCCGGCAAGTGGGAAACTCACAGACTGCAGAAAAGTATCCATAAAACAAACAGCGATGCATCTCATCCTTCAGTTGGTCAAAAGTAGGGAGCTGGCCTTCAAAATCACAGGCTTTAAGAGTATCTATTAGGTTGCCGAAATAGAAGTCCAAGAGTTCGTCCTTCTGGTTAAAGAGGTCCTCCGATCGTAGACTTGTATAGAATAAGAAGTGCAAGTCGATTGCTGGACTTCCAAAGAAACTGCCCTGAAAATCCAGCTTTGAAAATAATAAGTTATTTAATATTTCAATTAAAGTTGATTTATGGAACTTACCAGAACAGCCTTTTCCTCTTTCCTATTAACCATTATGTTATTCAACCAGGTATCTCCATGGATTATGGTGTTCAAGCTGGACAGTTTTGGATCAACCACTTTCTGCATTGAATTCGAATAGACCTCTGGTATTTGAGATTTCATTTTTCGGGCTATCTCAGGAAGTTCTTCGGCAAATAAATCCGCAACAAATGCGGTGCCATCTAGTAAGATAGCTCTAGTAACAGGATCAGAGACACCATTTATATAGTGCGAAGGTGTAAGCTTGGCCACCAAATCGGGCTGCTTTTGGCACAGAACCATGGAAGCTCCATGAAATTGGGCTATTTTTTGAAGACACACCCTTGCTTCTTCTATAGTCAGGCCATGAAATCGATCCAAAGAGGTATAGCCCAAGGCTGCCAGATCTTCAAGAATATATATCTCCTTGCCAGGAGCTACGTCTGCAAAAAAGCAACTGCCAGGGGATATTTAAAAAATACATTCATGCTACTATAAATCTTTTTAAATTCTCTTAAATAAACAAATCAACTAAAAACACTCTTTATTATTCTCTTAATTAAAAAATTGATAAACAAACTCTTAGATATAAAAATGAATCTCATGAAAAACTCACTTGGCGCTCAGTTTGTGTTCTTCGAGATGAGCTTTTTCGAGAATGGATTCCATTTCTGGGAGTATTTTCTCAAACATGAACTGCTCTTTGGATCACAAATCAGCTGCAACCGGATGCAGATCTTTGATTATATACTTGCCAGACTCCAAAGGAGAACCAGAAGTCCTGCGAAACTCCAGAGCCACTCTATAAATAATACTGCAAAAATTAGCACCACTGGGAGCCACTACATTAATGGAGAATTCTTCTATGCTCAGATTCGGGCAGCTGTAGGCTTTTGATAAAGCTCTTTGAAAGAAAGTGGCATCGTAGCTCTTCCGTTCCATATTGAAGACAAGTCTGCTCTCTTCAAGAGCCGGCCACGTACTGATTAGAATCGAGAGTCTAAATTATATTCATTTTTTTTTTATTTACATGCTAAAGCTTCGCCTGTTATCTAATTAAGATGATTATTTCTCCGCCTAGTGGCTGTCTATCTTTATTGGATTGGATTATCACCACTTTTGTAAAATAAATATTAATTATTTTATTTTTTATAATTTTTCCACTTCACATTTAATATTAATTTAAAAATACAAATTATCCACAATATCATCGAGGATGCATTGGAGGTCCGGGGGCCACATAGCCTGGTGGATGCTGAGGACCATGAGGAGGAGGTGGATTGTAGCCCGGACCGCCTTCTGGACCGTGCCCTGGCTCGTAATAAATAGGATGCACTGGGGTCTGGAACGGAGGATGAGGTCCTGGGTGTCCAGGTGGATTGTGGTGGTGCGGTGGTGGTGGCGGCATCGTTTCTTCTTTAACTACCTTTTCGTACTGAAAACTACTGGGCTTGGCTATTTATTTAAAAATATTTGAAGTACGGAAAAATCTAATCAGCTGGCCAGATAAGGCAAAGGGGTATGAGCTCATAAAAGTTACGGACTTCCCAGCCAAAATCGATAATGCCTAGTTTGTTTACCGATTTATATTTTTGTTTGTTTGGCTAGCTCATGCTCACTTAAAAAAATTAATACTTTTTAAATTTAAAAATCCATTTATGTTATTTTCTTTGGTAAGATTTTTTAATTAAAAACTGTAACTCCCAGGGAGCACTTTTAAAATTCTTTTAAGTAAGGAATCCTTTAAAATCCTGTATTTTGGTCCTCCTCCAACAATTCTAATGATGTGGCTTTGGTGGCCCGTGAGGTGGGTGCGGCTGCGGGTGGTGATCGCCAGGACCATGATGTCCAGGACCCTTGGGAGGGCTGTGAGGATGTTGGGGTGGTGGCGGCATCTTTTAGGTTTCAAGTATAACTCTCGACTGAACTATTGCTTTGACTGCCACCCTATATATACCAAAGGTAAGTCCTTATTGGTTTTGCCATAAAAACATTTTATCAACCAGCGAGACGATAAGGTTTTTGTTTCATATCGGATTTTCCCAGTGACACACGTTTGGGAAATCAAAGTAATCAAGATGGCTGTCATTGTTATGATACACTTTTCAAATTTTCTCATTTAAGGAAAGGAATCGGCTTCAGACTGTGTATATTTTCGTATATGGTAATTTGGAATAAAATTAATTGTTGAAAAATGTATGAGAACAGTGTTTGGGAAACGCTGCAGGCTGTCGAACAGGTCGAGGTGTCCTTCAACCAAACGCTTAAAAATATCAGAAACATTAACAAACGGTACAAAACGGTATCCGCCCTCAAACAGAAGGCCCAGAAGCGGCAGGACTTGTTCGAAGCTGAAATCCAGGCGGCCATAACCGGACCAAGTTATTCCAAAGCTTCAAAAGTATCGAAGAAGGCCTCCCAGAACAAGAAGCACAAGGTTATTAGAAAAATCAAGCGAGTGCCTACATCCAAGTTTTTTCAAGGTATGAAGTACATCGAGAGTCCCTTCCTCTTGCCACCCACCTTGTCCGACGAGAAGGTCTCGGAGATGGAGGCACCGTTCCTGTGCGTCCACACCAAAAGTGTGTACGAGATTCACAATACGAGTACCACCACCACGACCCAGATGGTGGCACGGAAACCCTATAAGAATATGATCCGGCAGCTTTATCGGGCGGCGCGACAGAAGACCCAGAAGGACTCCAGGATGCGGGAGCAGGATCAGGCGCTGTGCCCCGATTGTTCCATGTCTTGCTCCTGCTCTTGCTTCTCCAGCACCTGTGTGTGCTCGTAAATTGCTAGTACGAGCATACGTATGAGCTTTTTAAAGTCGCATAGGTGTGTTGCATACTTTTTGGCATTTGAATCGCAAATTTTTAATAAAAATTGTGAATTGAGTCATTAATAAATCAGTCCACTTGTCAAACAAACTCCTTTAGATGTGCATTTCATTTCGATATAATCATAGGAAGATTTTAATCTACTATATTATGAAAGGATTGAATCCCAAAATATCACCTGTAAAGACTCTACTTGTATCTTAGTAAAATTTCATTTGATTCTTAAGGGGAATACCTTAAAAGTGTTGCGAATGGAGTCTCCATAATATATATAAAAATCTTAGATACAATTTCCAATTCATTTTTATCAATGTTTTTCCATAGGACCCCCAACTCCAAGGAAATCTTACAGAACCCAATTATGGCTTCTTTTTATAGGGCTCTATTTCGATTAATTTTTATTCGATCTTTAAACGGAATACCTTAAAAGATAATTTGACTAATTCTCCACTAATCTAAGTTAAAGACCTGGATAAAATTTTTCGTTCAATTTTTTTACATTTTTTTCCGATGGCCCTATTTAAATTCATAAAAAATCCTATGGAACTCAAATATGGCTCGTTGTATCGTGCTCAATTTTTATTCCATCCTTACACCTTAAAATATTTCTTGATTAATTCTCCATTAATCTAAGTTAGAGCCCTGAGTATAATTTTTCGACATCTTCTTAAATATTTTTTTATTGAGGACCCCTTTTAAATCTAGAAAAATCCTATGGAACTTAAAAAAGGCTCGTTGGGAGGACTCTATCTTGAAAAACTTTCATTTGATCTGAATCTTTCATTCTGTATTCACCTAAAAAGCCTGTAGATGAATTCTCTATTAATTTACTTTTAAACATTAAAAACATGTTGTCAATGGATATTTTATTCGATAATTTTGTTAAAGTTTATTGAGTTTCCTCTTATTTCGACAATAACTTTTCAATAACTGACCGCAGCATCGATTACAAATTGCAATGACAACAACAATGACTAAGGTCCAAAAAAATGAAAATAAAACAAGGAATGGAAGCCAGAACAAAGGAGCTGCGACGCTCGCTTATTTACGAGTCGCATTTTGTATGGGCAACTTAAACGCTAATGGCATAAACATCCTAGACGTGAGCGAAATGCTTAAAAACCGCTTCAAACAAACAGGACAACGAGACGGAAACTGAGGTTAGCGACTGTAATGTGGTCGCCGCCCAAATCAAATCTCAAATCATGCACGTTGCCCGTCCAAAATAAGAGAAGGGGGAGCGGAATTGTAAAGCGCCAGGAACAGAAACTGAAACCAGGACCCAACTGGCTCTAAGCCCGGGTACAGTGACAAGGACGAGGATGGCAACTGCACTCTCGAAAGTTTGGGGGAAAAATTGTTTGAAAATTCAATTCACACATTTGCCAGTTGTCGATGATTTTCTGTGATTTTGACTTGGCCCCCTCGGAATCCGGCCCGCAATGGTAATGGCATTGGCATTTTCTTGCTGGCTCATCCGCAGCCTCAGTTACGGCCTACGGTTTTGAGGTTTTCCCTCGAGTTCAGGTTTTTCTTTTAAACACTGACAGAAATTATAAAAATTTTTAAAGTTTTTTATAGAAATTGGTTCGAAACATGCCCTTATCATTAAGTTAGTTGGGAAAACCTCTGAAATTTTATCTTTACTTTTTTTTAAATTTTTTATTTAAGTGTCGAGTTTTCAGTTCTCTTTTTTTTTTGGTTTTTCAGCAAATAAGTGGAAAATCGCAACGAATTGTTACAGAGTCAGTGGCAAAGGTCTGTGGAGTGTTCCAGGCACGTGCAGATCGAACACTCGACTCTCGTATCCATGGCGCAGAGCTCATCCAGGACGCTGCTGATGATGCTTCTCCAGCTCCTGTTCCTGCTCCAGCTCCTTCCGTCGTCCCTGGGCATGTGTTTGAAATCGGAGAAAGCGCTTGAAGCTTCGTTTTTTGTTGGCCAAGCATTCCTTCTTGCTGTTTTGTATGCAAAGAGTTGTTCAAAATTTAATTTATTTACTTTGCCCTCAAGTTGCTGTTGTTGTTGGTAAAACAGGATGACTGTTTATTGTCTGAAAATGAAATGCGTCTATGTCTATGTCCTGTCTGTCGCTGGCTTTCTTTTTAAACGAATTACCATTTGCCAGCTTTGATGTTGTGGCTCTGGTTCTCCATTCTTCAGCCGACTTTCTTTCCACCAAAAAATAAAAAATGTTTTTTCCAGTTCCCCTTCTAATTTTTTTTTTCGGTTAGTTCTGCTTTGAGGGAAACTTTGCAGACCATAAAGTTTTGACTTCATGCAATTTTAATGACTTAACGAGCAGCATTCCGTTTGACATGGGAGTCCTTTTTTTGGGTGCGAGGGCGTCTGACTGGAAACGGCAGCTAATTAGCCAAACGCTTTGCGATTACCAAACGAAAATTTCACTTTTCCCTAGGACTTTGTACTTTTATTTGTTGGGAAACACTTTGGTAATTTATAAACATGACTCTGCAGTTGAATTTGGTAATATATCCCACACCTCCACTCCCCGAAAAAAAAATCCATTAACTTTAACTGATTTTTTGTTTTTCTTCCACAAGTATTTTGTTCTGTGTTTGTGTGTAAATTTATTAAATGTATCTTTAATTTAGACAAATAAATTAAGAATTAATGATATAATAACTATGGTCAACATAACATACATGTTCGTGGCGCAGATGAGCAAAGCCGATGGGTTAGAGAAAAGATCCTGTAGAAATGGGCAATTCTTTTTTCTCTGAACACAAAAACAAGGAAAATGTTTGAGGAAGACCTAGGTGCGATGTTAGGACCATGGATAGAAGAACATAGAGAGAAATATGGGTGCTGTTTTAGTGATATGACTGACTATATCCGGTACTGGCCGGACTTTGTTTTGTGGGTGTGTGTGTGGTGAGTCTGAGTCGTTGCTGGTGGTGTTGGTTTTGCTTTTGAATTCCTCCGCCCTCATCCCTCATAACATATCCCTGAGCACTTCCTTTTGAGCAGCAGTCAGTTTCTCCGGGAACTGGATGTCGAAGGCCACCAGGAGATCGCCCTTGCGCGACGTGTCCTTGGGGAAGGGCAGGCCATAGCCCTGGATTCGTTTCACCGTGTTCGGCTTGATGATCTCCTGCATGGTGCTGATGCGTAGCTTATCGCCGGACATGGTAGGAACTTGGAAGACAACGCCGCAGAGAGCCTGAAATGTAAAATTTATAAATAAATTTAAAAAAATACTTTAATGGCTTTAGAATAAAACCCGCTTTCTTTATTCCTTTCACTATCCTTTGTATTTATTTTAGTTCCTGCCTTATCAATCAAAATGCTTAGCAAATACCCCAGTAATAAACTCAATTTTCTTTTCTGGCCAAAACCGAAATGAACAAACACCACACATGAGTCCTACTGTCGAGTGGGATCTATCAATCTTTTTTTCGGTTAATCCTGTTTATGTCCACCCTCCTCCTAATACCCAATTTTTTGTCCCAGCTCCTTGAAGCTTTCACTTGGGCTGCCTTAGTCCTGTGTTTGCCTTCGAATCCAACATAACATTCGTAAATCCTTTTTTATGTTGCCTAATTCGTGTTTAAACATCTTGTTGACACGCCTCAATGTCCTCCAATTGATTCCTTTGTTTGCTCTCCTTTCTCCGACCCGACATTTCCGTCGATACTTCGTCCGATTCGATTCCTTCGTTTGACATACGATTTGTTTAATTGGCCCACTAAGAGATGGACATCAATCAGGTTTTGTCCGAGCCTGGGAGACTAGACACTGATGTGGATTACTCAATTAATACGAACCTGGCCACGACTCTGGCCAAAACTTGGTCCGGATCAATAGATTCTGCTGGCCCTTGGGGAAATCTTTTTGATAACTTAAAGATGATTTAATTAAATCATGGAAAATGGGAAAAGTTTTGTGGATATTTTTTGGATTTATGTCTTTATTATAAGCGAAGACATAAGCCAAGTATTGAAATATCTTTTGAGATATTTTCTGAGAATTTATGATTATATTTTGACAAGACTTGTTAGCTTGTCTCCAGGAATTCCAAACCAGAGTGACTGATTATCTTGGGTAATCCTTTTTGGGATCGAATTCCAAACCTTCATTTTTCAACCAATAACTGGATTGTCAAACCCTTCCCCGAATATGATTTATTATAGGCCAGAGAAAGGCTTCATCCTCAGTTGCGAAAACAAACCAATCCCAAAAATATTTCCATCAACGAGTGATATAATATTTTACGTTATCCCATAACTTGTCACAAGTGATTTGTAACCAAAGAACTTGCCGGACACGTGTTAAATAGTTGTCACAAGTGTTCTGGGCCTCACCCAATAAAATACAAATAAGATATAAATACAAAAAAAATTAAAGAAATAAAAATCATTGCGACAAAACCAAAGTGCACACCTTGTGAATATTTAAATACATATAGATATGTTGGGTATATGTAAGTACATTTATATCGCGGATCGGGCATTGGCGAATTTAAAGCGATGACAACATAAACTGATGACGACAGACCCAGAAACAACAACTACCATGTACATTCTGCGCTGGCAACCTGTCCCCCCCGATGACGACGACAATGTGGTCGGTCGGTCGGTCGACCAGCATCAATATTTTTTTTAATGGAAATGTTGAAAATGTTGTCGCAGCCAAAAAAAAAACAACGCTGTAACGCTTAAATACTTGGCTACCTTTTACGGAAACTGAGGCATATAAAAAAAAGCTCCCCCGCCCCTCGAATCCAAAATAAAGGGAATAAAAATGCGATACGGCGCTTCGATAAAATTTTGCGAGCATCGCATCGGTATTTGGTATCTGGTATCTGGACCGAAAAAAAACTCGTTTTCAAAGCTCGGATTTGGGCATTAACTATGAGATATTGCCGGCCAGATGATAAATTTGAATGCCAGCCTCGGCTAAAGGGAAAATGCCAGGCCGTGAATATAAATTCTACTTTTATATTTTCCTCCCCCTCGACAAAAATATAAAAAAAAACGTGGAATCTGAGCAATTACTCTCGTTGAAAGAAGCGAAAACTTTGGTGGGGAAAAAACAAATCAACAACATTCAATCGCATGTCATAAAGCATTATTCTTTTGAGTCTTATTTTTCCTCTGGCCAACTCACTCCATTTGACAACTGTCATCAAAATGCAAACGAAGTTTTCGACTAACCAATGCTTTTGTATGAAGCTTCCTAGAGTCCCCTTTTTTCTCCTAAACTAAAAAATAAAAAAGAGGAGAGTCCTGCTACCAAATCATTTTGCCGTAGACCCGGACTACCAATCGAATGACAATACCAGTGGGCAGACATTGACAACCGAAAGTACAACAGCGTCTGGCCATCAGTTACAACCAGTTGTCCTGCGTCCTGGATCCTGCGTCCTAGCCATGCTGGTACAACGTACATCCTTGAATTGTTCATCAATTTTAGTTTGCTGCATTTGCGAGAATTCTGACGCAGGCACTTGAAAACAAAAACCATTGTCGAATTTGATTTCCAACCACCCCCGCATCTGGTTAAAAGTGAAATTTAAATTTCAAATAAATTCCACACTTCGAGTTGAGTTCGTACATCACCAGAATAATGTAACACCAAAAACGTAGAGTCAGAAATTAATTCGAAACTCATTGACTTTTATTTTTATCGTAAACGATGATGTAATTTATGGGTCGCATTAAATTTATGACTGAAAAAATTGAAATTTTTGTTCGCAATTATGTGTATGGACATATATGGAGCTTCAATTGCCTGATGGCGGCTTTATTGAGGCAAACAATACGAGTATTACGAGCGAGTGTGTGTGAATTAAAATTAAGATTTATTGCCATTCCCAAACAGACTCAATTCTTTAAAATCCCTAAAACAAAGCCAGAGGTTACAATAAAGAATGGCCTGCTTGTCAGGACTATCTAGTGGCTAAAAATATTTCAATTAAATCAATTCCCAGCGTCAACATCATAGCCAAATAACCGTGTCAAATATTTCTATATAGAAAGAACAACATGACACTTTTAGCTCACAACCAAAATGGAATTCATAAATTCAAAACAGAGGCAGACACCAACTATTTGGCCAACTATGCCATACGTGGCCAGGGGACCGAGAGAGAAGACCAAAAATATTTACTAAATTTGTCGCACTAACAAGCAATAAAATGTTAAAAATCCCCAAACGAGCCAAGTCAACTATTTAATCTACTTAATGCAATTAACAATTTTAACATGACTGCCAACTCAGTGGCGTGTCATTTCAGTTTGTTCGTCTGTTAGTTTTGAGTATTTCAAAATTTTCTAATATTTATTTTTTTTATTGCAGTTTTAGTCGGTTTGGTTCGGACCATATCCGATTTAAGTTTTTGTTAATAAAACAAAAATAAACGTAACGAAATTTTGTGCAAAGTTTCGCGCGCTGGAAACTGTGTAAAAATTTAACACCTCAGTGCTGGCCAGAATCGTGTCCGCTCCGCTCGAAAACTCAATCTCCGAGCTCTGTCTTTGTTAATTGAAACTTGACCATGTTGGCTGGTCGATGGCTTGGCGGGTCATCGCGTATATGGTAAATTTGCCATAACCATAATGCCCGCCTGATTTCATTACAATTTGATTTAGGCACTGGCTGCGCCACTAATTGGGCGCCATACGGTGAGAACCCAGCCCGCAGGTAGAGCAGGTGACTATCAAGTTTTGGCAACGATCGTTATGGATCAGGTTTTAAAAGATAGAAAGGGTTATAGGTGACTAAGAGGTGATTAAGTAATCTAAAGATTCTATAAACATATTTAAAAAAAAAAAAGCTTACAAGGGAACCTGTATTAGCATTTATGGTTGAGGTTTTAAAATTGTGCCTAATATTGCACACTTTATTTAGTAACTTCTATGGACATCCCTAGGCTATAAAAAGGTTTTCTAATAAATTCCTATCATTTTTCATATCTTCCAAATAAAAAACGACATTCTTTTATGTATAATTCTCACCTGCTTTAGCGTCAATCTCGCCGTGTATCTCAAATCGCTTCCCTCTCGCTTGAACATGGCATGCGGCTTGTCCCGAATAATGAACACTATGTCGGCGGGGATTTTTCCTGGCCCTTGATCGCCCTCCTTCTGGAAGGTGACCTTGGTCCCGGACTTCCAACCTGGCTTGATTGATATCTGAAGGGTCTTGTCCTCTTTGCGGGAGCTGCCATCTGGCTGGACGATGCGTCGGGAGATTTTCATTTTCTTAACACAGCCGTGGTAGATCTCCTCGAGCGTCACATAGAGATCGTGTTCGATGGGCGGATCCTGTTTCTGCTCCTTCTTGAACGGCGTGTGCACATTGAAGGAGTGTGATCTGAAAGAGGGCCTGTGAAAGATTAGCAAAGGACTACTTTTTAACTCAGGATGGACCAACCTGAAGGCACTGCCGAGACCATGTCGTGAGCCTATGCCCCCAAAGGGCGATGAAAAGAAGTCGGGTTCAGTGTCCAGGTCGAAGACGTTCTTGTCGAACAGGTTGTCACCCATGTCGAAGAACGAAGCGAACGGGTTGCTGTTGCCAAAGAACTGGGCAAATGTGGCACGCGGATCTCCATGGAACTGATATGTGAAGGTGTTGGTCGAAGGGCCGCCATTTCGAGTGCCTGAAAAATACAAATTTAATAATACCCATCTGATTACCTAGTCTACTATAACTTACCTCCACTTTTCAGACCATCCTCTCCATATTTGTCGTACACCTCTCGCTTGCCCTTGTCGGACAGGACCTCGTAGGCCTCGGCGACCTCTTTGAACTTCTCCTCCGCATTGGCGGCTTTGTTTTTATCGGGATGATAGCGCAGGGCCAGTTTCCTATAGGCCTTTTTGATCTCATCATCGGTGGCAGTTTTTGGCAGCCCTAAGGTTTTGTAGTAGTCCTTACCCATTGTGTGTGTAAGCGGGTTCTATATATATGTAGGTAAAAGTTAACTCTTGAAATCAACGTGCTCTAAGATCTGGAATGTTAAGACATCAATACTTGAGAATAAATAAACAATTAAAAGATAAGATGTACTTACAAAAAGTGTGGTATATACATATATCAATATCTTCTTAGTGGCTATGATACTGCTCCTAAAGTTTGTTCCCGATTTCCTCTAAAATGGCACATGCATCTTGTCCTTCTGCCTCATTCATTTGCTTGCTGGATTATCAGCAAAGATCTGCAAAAATCAAATAAGAATTTATATATGTATTTATTTAGCTGTTTTGCCAGTGCGTATATATGTATATAGTAGAAAGTTCCATTCGGGTTGGGACCATACGACGCGTCACAGACCCTGGTCATGTTCAATGCTGAACTGCCCACGCCTTTCACTAAATTTAGCACTTTGCCTCGCTAGAGATATTTTTTTGGTCTTTCCGGAACATTGGAAATTTCTATGCGCACTTCTCACCCTTTCTAGCCATTCTAGCCCGTCCAATCTCATTGATGGACACTTTCAAATTAAGTATTCGCCAGACTTTAAAACCTCGCACATACTCGTACAAGATCAATTAATTCCCTATGTGTTTATTCAATTTTTTCATATTCCCCAGCAAACATCAATGAACAAGAGAAGTCTCATAAATATCTAAGACGTATACGTATATAGTATATATATTTAAAAATGAAAATTGTTCTCGAGCCAATTTGCATTGACCTTAACATTTCTGTGAGATCTGAAGATCGGGGTGCCCAATTGAGTTTAACATGAGGCACATGAATTAGAATTGACGATGACATTTATGAATATTTCTGTGACAACCCCCTCGGGTTCGGGATCACTGGGGGTTGGGCTACCCCCAGCCCCATTGGGATGGCGACAAGTCGATTAGAACTTGATTAGTTGACATGTCTATCAAGAGGCGTTGGGAGAGATGTAACCCAAAACGGTTCCTGGTTCGACTATAAGTGCGGTTTCAGGCCACAAATGATAGACCAGACCTTTCATCATGAAAAGTTAATCAAGTCGGGGCTTTGGGAACATTATTCGATGTTCTAGCCACAACAAACGGACCGCATTGATCAAATATACTCATTACGAGGACGTAGAAAGTTTGCTTTATCAATTGAATATTTATTTTTCACACATTGTTTTAGAATATCATCCAAACATATGCCATAAGCCATAAAAACATGATTATGGCTGAGACCCCTAATTGCACTGAAGGTCTGTCACGGATCAAGTTCAAGATCACATCCCGAAATATCATTAGCATTCAAGATGTCAACACTCGAGCCGGCAATCCATACTCAAAACAGTTTCCAGCCTTGGAATTAACTGATTTCATCTTGGAATATTATTTCAAACATATAGCTGGGAATACGTATAAAAACTTGTTGCTTTGACAAAATAGAAAAAAAAATGATTTGACGCCAAATTGCCGCAAAATGTCTGCCTTGAATTGCGATTTGGGGATAGTTGCGAAGAGGGGCCGGTCTACAGAGGGGGAGTATTGACAGGAGACGATTGATGCGATCAGCGGTCGCCGTTCAGCGCCATTCCAGACATTAGTCAGCTGCAGTTTGCATATAATTCGCGGATCGTGATATCTATTCCGGATCGGTTCATCGATTTCGTGCCAAATCTGTGCCACATTGAGCGAGTCGACAAAGTTTTCTTTTTTTTTTCATTTTTATTTTCAAGGGGGAGTGGAAGCAAGGTTATTCGGTATTTTGCGAATTTTTTTTTGAACATTTTCTCTCGCACGAAGAAAGTTTTTCTCAGCGCCAGAAAAACAAATAATTATTTCCATTGAAACACACAGATAAATAAAATATGATATATGTGTGTTACGCAAGGCGATTATGTTATGTTTTTTATACGATTTCTACATTCCACCGATTAAATTGAATATTTTTGTTGCCGAGATTTTCGCACGCGCTCTCATAATTCTTTTTATGGTTCTTTATTGAATTATTGACAATATATTGCATTTTATCGTGCAAAATTACGGGCTTAAGGAAGGTGGAAAATAAATTCATGCTGAAATCGAAATTATTGCCTTCAATGTGCGACCATATAGAGAGGATTTTTTATGACACCGCCCAATTGACAGTTACAGCATGTTTTCCTGTTGTTTTCGAATAAATGGGCGGGCGTTTTGGACGTTTGGGTTGGTTGGACTTCCGCATAAATAATTTACCAGACACCGGCGGGCAAGCTCATTTATTGATTACAGAATAACATTTGTTTAACAATTTATTGGAAACTCGCATATTGTGCATTATTAGTGGATTGTTTTTTCAATGTTTTCATTGTCATATCGCTTGTGTACTTATTCCAAAATTTGCATTTCAATTTCTTTCTATTTCTGCGAAACATTATAAATTGTCGTAGGTTATGGGGGGCCAACTGGGGTTCTCGGGCTCTGGGGTTCTGGGGTTGGGGGAATGAAATTGTTTGTGTCGTCCCCGGATTGGACTAATTGAATTGAACTTGATTTATTAATGCCTCGGCTGGGCAGCTTTAATTCCCATTTATGCTTGCGTAGAGATACAATTTTCATTTGAAATAAAAAGAAACACATTTAATAATAAACAAATACCAAGATGATTTATGTTGGGGCTATTCGAATGGGTTATTTATAGCTAAGAGATCAAAGTCAAGTGTCTGGAGGCTGGCAATTGCTGATTAAATCGGTTACTAACACGACAGACAGTATCTGTGTCAATGGATAATGGTTTTTTGTTAAAAATACTAATTTCTACCTCTTTTTTTTGATAATTTTATTTGACTCATTTTTAACTCTATTCATTGGCTTTTTCAAGGTTGACTGACTCTCGTTCAACTTCAACTATGTATTTATCGACAAAAGTCCAACCATTCACTCTCGCTCTCAAAGATTCGAACCGCAAACCCCGTGAATTGTTTATTTTGTTTCTCTTTTTCAAAGTCAACAGCCAACAAGTCATTCATTGTCAACCCAATCGCTTGGGTTTTTATGGTTCCTATTCGAAATGAGCCAAAAAACTGATCAAGCACCATGAAGTTTATTCACCCACACTTGACAAAAAGCTGCCGAAAAATGGCAAACAAAATAAATAAATATGGAGAAAAACGAGTACAACAAGAATCGAAAAATTCGAACCATGATCGTTTAGGCAAATCAACATTAGATGACCAAAAAAAAGAGATTGTGGAAGATATGGTAGGGTAGGTGTTTCTAAGCCGAAAATCTGTTGCAAAAATAGGTCCAATGACTAAGCTTCTTTGCGGCACAGTACAGTAAAAACTCCCACACAATAGCCCCAGCAATTTGGATTTTGGAGAAATTACGTTTCACAAATGAATCATTAATGATTTGCATGGGATTGGGTAATACCTTTTTTTTTGCAGATGACCCCCTTCGCTTACTCTGGAATTTTATTTCCAATTTGTTAAGAGCATTGATTTCAAAGACTGAATATATGTGTGCAAATATTTCATTTCCGAAACAAAAACAATAACAAATGCAAAACACAAACAACTATTTTCATAGAATAACTATTAAAACAGGCATAGTGATGCGAAGATTTTTGAATTTGAATTTTAGTCTCAACAAAATTTGCATACGACGATGAAAATGAAAAAAACTTGTTTCAGTCAGAGGGTTTAGAATAAATTTTAGTTAGTTTCCGTTGATGGTTTGATTTTGTGCGGAAATTGTTGTTTATTTTGTTTGGAAGATTGATTAAAATGTTGTCGAAAATGAAATTTAATTAAAAGGATAAATGCAAATAAAGAGCATTTAGGCAGATGCCTCCGGGAGTATGGTTAAAAATATTTAAACGGGTTCAGAAATCCGAAATTCGAGTGCCCCATTCTTAATTGGTCGAGTCGCTTTGGCTTCCGGTCGCATCAAAATTATTCATTAATTTATATAATTAAAACGGTTTTGTTTTTAGCCTCACGGATCACGGACAGTGAAAAATGAAATTAATCAAATGTAAAAACAAAGGCGCGAAAGTGTATTTCCTTGTGTTTTCTTTTTTCCCCATAATTACTTTGCTTAATTGCCTCGGCTCTCGCTCTCTTCTGCCAAATGACGATTTTTTCATGTGTTTGCTGTGGTTGGCCATGCCCCCTCGTCTTCCGCCCACCGAGCAGCTGTTCGCATTGAAGAGTTAGTTCCACTCCCCCGAGAAGAATTGAGAATCGGGAGAGGAGCGCCTCTCTGCGGCTCTCGAATGTGTCATAATTTATAAATACAAATAAAGAAATAAATAGAAACCCAGAAGATACGCTGGTGGAAGAGTCTTCTGGCCAGCAGACCAAAGTCTTCTAACGGTAAGAAACAGTCATGTTACCAGTGCGATTATGATTAGCAACAATTATTAAAGTTTTCTTTTATTTTCGAACATTTTTTGTTGGCCATTATTTGGTGGTAATTTGTTGCCATTTGGCTTTCTTGTTCACCCCTTTTTGGTATTGGCCATTTGTCAGAGACTTTGCATTTGGAGGCCAAAAATCAAACTTTGAAAACATTATTTTTGTCTATTTTGCTATATGCCTTCAATCATAATCGGCTGCCTTGGGTGTTTACTTTTTATTTATGAATTGTGGCCAGCAAAATTTGAGTGTTTGAAAAATGAGGCAATTCACGAAAAAGATCGCCAGAAAAAATGGCCATAAAAAGCAGACATGACCACAAGAAATAAAAAAGAAACAGACAGCTTCTTTAGTGATTTTTTTTTCGATTAGTCTCACGCCCTGATGAGTTAATGGTTAACAATTTGTGATTTTAATTAATCGGAAGAGGAAAGTATGGAAAAACCCCAGAAGATCTCCTGGCTGCAGTGAAGCATTCCCCATACAGGTCCAGCATTTATGCACCTTTTCTCTTAACCGAAAATTAAACACAAATCTTTTCACACTTTTCTCACACAATGTGTGTACACAAAGTGGAGCCCATGATTGTTCCAAAGATTCGGCATGAAAATTTTCGAAAAATAATCGGCCAAAACGCTGGGCAACAGCAAAACTGGGGAGAATGAAAAAAAAACATATACACAAAAATAACTAAAAGTGCTAAAAATAAAACTTATTTAAAGAAATGAAACCATGAAATTTCAAAAACACACAGGCCAAAGCCAAAAACGATGGCAAATACAAAAATATAAATAATAAAGAGCCAAGCGAGGCAGGCGAATGTGAAAAACCGTGAACGAAAAAGCGGAAAGTCGCTTTTGGACTTTGCTGATATACTTGGCGTATACTTTATATAAGGGTCAAGTGGTATTCCAATGCGATCCTGAGGGCAGACAAAGGCGACAAACTTCAAAACTTCCATAAAAAGCACTTAAAAACGCACAATTGTTTATGGCCTATGTGTATGGGTATATATATATTATATATATATATATTTTTTTTTGTTATTTGGCTTTGACCACATTTGGCAACGATATGAGACTAACACACACACTCCAGCAACCCCACACACACTCACACACTTAAAAGCACTACAAGTCCGTAATTAATAAGCCAATAAATCGAGGAACTCCTTACAATTAACTGGCGGATCGGGGGCGTATACTCAATATGGATTTCCGATACTCTGATTGAGGGTTTTGCGTTCTCTTTAATTAATTAATTGAAAATGTGTATTATTAGCGCGGACTCCTTGCTGTCAATTAGCTGCCAGATGCGGTGCAGCAATACCGTTAGACAACAAGCAACAAAAAATTAAAACCGACAACCGATGACGGCGATATATCCACAACACCGACAGAAATCAGCGACACTCGGGAACTCACTAAATTCGCACCACCTCACTGAATTCGCACCACCCGACTGGGCACCGCTGGCTCTACGAGCACTGGGTACACCAGTTGCCCCACTTGCCCCACTCGCTCACTCTCCTCCGACGATCTCTTCCGAGAGGCTCCCCCGAAAAATTTCGATTTGAAAAAAGAGCGTTCCGAGAGATCCGAGAATAAAAAGTGAGAGGGATCTTGAAGAACGCTTTTGTTTTTATTTTATTTTTTTTTGTACTCCGAGATCGCCGCCACATGGGTGCCCCAACTACTCGCGCAATCGAGAAAGAAGCGAGAAAATTTACGAAAATGAAGTACAAATCAAAAACTGACTGGCTGGGTCGGTTGCTCCACGCAAAATCCACGATCGCTACCTTGCGCGTATGCGTCATACCGGCCGTATAGCTTTTTCCCATAGGTAAAAAAACGAGAGCTTTCCGCGGGGGAACACAAACGTGGGCATAACAGAATCACAAACCAGTATTTTGTGTACCCTCTGGGTGCGAGGTATATAAGGCAACCTAGGGGTTACAGCATTATAAGTAATATTTAAAAATATTTACAATTTTTATTTCGTTAAGGTGATGGTTTCTTATTAATTTTTGTCATTTTTTTCTTAAATTAAACTTTCTTAACTATATTTAAGGTGCTCTTTATAAATCTTTGAATGTCTATGTTTCCAATTTTTAAAAATTTGTTAAATACCAATGCCAAGTTAGGTAAGCCTCTTCTAACTAACCTCCTTCTCTGGCTTCTTTTCTGGTCTTGATTTTTCTTCTTCCTCCGGTTTGTCCTGGACAGGATCTGCTGGCAGTTCAATTTTTACTGCCAATAAGGCCTCCCTTATCCAGGCGGGAATGGGTTCCGATTTAAAGTGCCTCGCCATAAAGTCTCGCACAAATTGTGGGAACTCATCCCGCTGAATGGCCTCCCGCATACTCCGCATCAATCGGAGCTGGTAGGCCACATTGTGGATACTTAGCAGAGAGCAGGACACACTCTCATTTGTGGCAATGTGATGCAGATAGGAGCGTGTGTACCGCTTGCAGGTGGTGCACTCACAGTCTTTGTCAATCGGCTCCATGTCCATTTTGTATTTGGGTTGCTTCAGGTTCACCTGGCCACTATCCACCAAGGCGCAACCGAAGCGAGCCGTTCGCGTGGGAAACACACAATCGAACATATCGATTCCGAGCGCCACACAAACCACCAAGTCCGCCGCAAATCCTACCCCCATCAGATAGCGAGGCTTCTCCTTGGGCAAATGATCCGTGCACACATCCACCATCCGCCAAAAGTCATGTTTGCTCTCACCGCCACTTAAGCCTCCCACCGCGAAGCCACGGACCTGTCGCTCCATCAGTGCGGATACGCAACGATTTCGCAAAGGCACATCCAATCCTCCCTGAACAATCGGAAACAGCGATTGATCATCATCGCGAGCATGGGCCTCGATGCAGCGATCCACCCAGCGAATGGTTCGCTCCATAGCCTCCTCTACTCGGGGACCCGTTGTAGTGGTTTTGACCACGTCATCCAACTGCATCATGATGTCCGCACCAATGGCATTTTGGATCTGTATCGAGTGCTCCGGCGTCAGCATACACTGGCTATTGTCGAATGGTGATCGGAAATTGACGCCGTTCTCATCGATCTCGGCCAGCTGCAACAGGGAGACCATCTGGAAGCCGCCGGAATCCGTCAGGATGGCTCTGGGCCATCCCATGAACTTGTGTAGACCTCCGGCTTTTTTCAGCGTCTCAATGCCAGGACGCAAACCCAAGTGATACGTGTTGCCCAGCAGGATTTGGCAGTTCAGTTCGATCAACTGATCCGGCAGGATTCCCTTCAGAGTTCCCTGAGTGCCCACGGGCATGAATACTGGAGTGTTTACCTCACTGTGCCTGTGGGAAGGGGGTTTAATGAGTCAATAGTTCGATTTTTTCTTGAAACACATACCTTAAGGTCATCAGTCCTGCCCTGGCTTTGCAGACGGAGCACTCTGCCACGACCTTGTAGGTCAGAGGGGGTATTTTCGTGGGACTCATGAATAGCTGTATACTTTCAAATAAATAAATAGATTACAAATGTTTACGCAAAAAGCCGGTGCACGTTTTTTAATCGCAAGCAATGTGACCAGATCGTAATAGTCACAACATGCTAAAGAATACTATTGATACCGCCAATTTTTAAAATTTAATTCCCAAGATTATAGTTTACTTTTCGGTTTTTAATTAAAATAAAAACTAAACCGACTTATTATACAGCACTTCATTACCCCTATTTTGTGACATTTTTTATTTAATATTTACATTTTAACTTCAAAACACATTCTAAAAAAAAAACTAAAGGTAGGTGAGGTAACCACTGCCTAAATAATTCTACATATATCTAAGAAAAATTATTAATAAGCCACTAGATTGAAAGGCTCAAGCATTATCATAGCGCTGCCTCATCATCTTCTTGATGTAGGATTTGTAGTCATCGCCAGGAGTCAGTTTACCCGACTTGTTTCCCAGGCCCACATTGTTGCTTCGTCCCTCAGCCTGGAAATATTTAAAGTTAACTTGAGATACTATGGTTACGGATTCTAATACAGTACCTCAACTATTTGAGTACGACCCTGATTCTTTCTACCCAGTCCCTGACCCTCTGACCAGCCCATTTTCTGCATCAGACGACTACCCACGTTGCTCGAGCTGATGGGCAAGGATGCAGTGGCAGCCACACTGGAGGAGGACTGGAGGGTCTTTATCTGCTGCTCGAAGCGCTCTCGGCTATGGTTCGGAGGCGGAGGATCACTCTCTCCATACTTCAATCTCCGTTCCTTGGCCCGGTCACGGTAGCTGAAAAGTATCATAAAAATTATGAAATATATTATCACTTCCAGCTGGATATTCAAGCTTACGAGAAGCCCTCATCGTTGTTAGCTCCTCCTTGATTTGGTTGCAGCTTCGCTAGATTCTCCTTATGAAGATTTGACATTTTTAAATGTTTCTGGAGTATATCCTGTGATTGAAAGGCACGCTTGCAAAGCAGACAGGTAAGTTTTTGAAAATCGACGTAGTCTGTCTCTTCAAAACCACGTCCCCCTGTTCCAGCCAATGTTTGTGAGCTCTGATTAGCTCCTGTATTGTCCTCCTCCGAATCCGAAGCTCCCCCATAGGCATTCACCAGCTTAGTGATTACAGGAGTAACAGGTTGTGCTGCACCTTCGGCGCCCTTCGCTCGTTCCTTTTTCTCAAGTATCGAAAATCCCACATCAGCATACACCCCTGGTGTAGATCGAGAAGTGCTGGGACATTCGCTTCCTTCCAGTACGGGTTGCGGCGCGACCACCGGCGTATAGTCTTTTTTCTGATTGAGCTGCTTGGCCCACTTCTCCATGTCCTTCACGATCTTCTTGGCTACCTTAACTTTGTCTTGTTTGCCACCCTCCTTTTCCTTCTCCTTCTCTTTGGCCTTCCTGGCCTCCTCCTCTTTAGCCTCCGCCTCCGCGATAACCTCTTGCAGAGCTGCCTGCGTGGAGGCTGGCGTAGCCAGAACGTAGGTTCGCCTCTTTTGGTCCCAGTAGAGATAGGCGCCCGTCTCATTATTGTAGTAATACTGCGAGTGGGCGTCGTAGTAAAGGCCAGTAGTGGCGTCGTAATAATAACCAGAAGTCTCGTCAAACTGGTACTTGGACACATCGGGAGTAGCTGCAAGGAGAATCTTGCATTGACGAAATTCTTCCAAGTTTTAGCGTAAAATAACTCACGGTACACTTTTCCATCGTTTCCCCTGGGGGCAACGATCACTTCGGCCTTCGGCAAAGCTGGAGCCGAGGTCACTGGCTCAAAGTTCCTCTTCCGGTTGCGCTGCATTGCGGAGAGAGCCACAGCTGCTCCAGAGTTGGCCTCTGTCAAGTTGGGATCAACTGGATTACTGTGTTTTCGGATTTCAGCGGTATAATAATCAGAATAGTATTGAAAAAAGTAGGTGTGCTCAGCTGGATTAGTGGCATAAAGAGAAGCACTATACTCTGCTAGCCGTGGAACATCTTCCATGGTGTAGTTGCCTGTGACTCCAGAAGGTGCCACTGCTGCAATGTGGCCAAAGGACTTGTAGGCATTAGAATTCAGGTCAGTAGGAATTACTTTACGGTCTTCGATGTCAATACAATACGTTATGATAACTGTGAGAAAATAAATTAAAGAACTTGTACAGGGAATACACTCAGCCACACATACCCTCTCTATCATCCAGTTTCAGAGGCGGGTCCAACGTCGTCAGCCCATTAAACACTTCCATCGAGTCTACGAGGGTGTCAAAGTGCAAATAGCAGATACCCCTAGATGCCTGGGTCAAGGTGTCCCTACTGATCACCAACTTGCTGACTGTTTTGGCCAGTTTGGGCAAATGCTTTTGGAGGGCAGTTAGCACGCCCTCCTCATTTGTTAGCGCGTCCAGGTTGCGGAGCATAATCTCTGCATTGGAAAGCGTGGCAGATTAGTGGGTTATTAGCTGATTAGCTGGGGGAAACGGCATGGAAAGAGATTGCTCTTGGTGGATATACTTTTTGTGAGGATGCGGCTGACTTCGTCGATGCCCTCGCTTGCTGCGGAGAAAGAATTCTCGCTCTCAGACCGTGCGGCGCTGCACATATAGCACTGGAAACGTCTCTTAAAGTTGCTAGCACCACACTACAAATAACTAAAATTATAAAACAAATTATATTAATTATAAATGACAAACCTTTATGCAAGTCCAATCCGAGGTTCGATTGTGGCTGTACTGCATGGCTACGCGATTGTCGCCCAACTGGAGCACACCCTGGCCGGGAGAGATGGAAGAGAAGGGAAACAACATGAATTAAAGGTCATATTCGTAGGAAAAAAAACTATCAAAAGTTCCACAAACTACACAGTCACCACAGTTTGCTTCTGTGTTTTGGAAAAACGCAGACGTTGTTGATGCAGTTGATTCGAAGGATCTCCTCTGTATGTGGTCAAGAATAACATTAAGTTCAGTTCTCGCCTTGGACTATTGAAAGAGCAGCTATTAGCTAAAGGCGTGATGTTAGAAATTAAATATCAAGAACCAGAAAAGAACTGAACTTAAAGCCCTCGAAATTTCGTAACAGACGCGAAGCCAAGTCAAGATATGAATCCTTTTTTCTTGAAGATTGTTGGGCTACCTGAGTTATATCCATCCATTGTTTCGCTTCCTCAACGGTTTTAAACTCGACAAATGCAAAACAGCGTGAGGCACCTAAATTTTAGATAGAAGCAGATACGAAAATGTTTTTGTCAAAAAATGTTGGTTGTTTCAATAGCATTGTAACGTTTTGGGGAATAGTATTTTTGTCTAAATATTTTCTAAATATTTCTTTTTTTGTGGAATTTGGTGCTGATGTCGTATAAGCCAAGTATTTTATGTTAATCTTTAAAAATCCTTTCCGAGCATTTTTCTGGGCACACAATACTCACGCTGTACTTTCATTAAAGCATATATTGCTTAAAATTCACGGTTTTGTAACCCACCTGTTGGTTTCTTCCTCATGACACGTATCGAAGCCGGTTGTAGGTTAACTTTGACAAGCTCGGCCATAATCTTTTGGAACAAATCATTAAGTTTTAAGTTTTACAATATTTTAAGTCTTACATCTGCTTCCGTGATGTGTTTATTCAGACCGAAAATGATTATATTGTTAAGAGCTTCGGTGCTTTGCCCATTGTGCGGCCACATCCGGCCTGGTACCTCATCAGTGCCTTCACTGTCATCCGAAGAATAGTGAGATTCACGCTCCTTCCCCTGAGCTCGGTTGCCGTTGCTGCCACTGCGACCTCTGTAACTAGAAAGAAAATTGTAGAAAATTAAAAACTAATTTAGGTAATACCTCCTATGAGACTATAAGACCAGAACTTCTGGCTATATATTTTTTTCATTCTATATAGATTTCAGACACACCTAAACTCCCTGAATAAATTTAACCGTATCCAGCCCCTTTCTCACCTTCCGCGTTCAGAATCTTTTTCGTAATCGTCGTTGTTCCGGTTCCTAGAATCTCCATCATGACTCCATGACGTGTCACGCCTCTTTTGCTGATCATGATCTCGGTGATCCTGGGAGTCCTCGTTATAATTCTGGCGCTCGAAGGTTTTCCGGGATGTCGGACGCTCTTCATCTTTGTAGTCGTCGTCGATGAGATCCCGGTAGAGATCGCGGTCCGGACTATGTCCATGCCTGTGATGGGAATACCTCTCTCGGCTTCGGGACCTGGAAGCTCGTCGCCTGTAAGCACCACGCTCCCGGCTCCTTTCCCTAAAAATCGATACACTCCGGAAGTGAATAAAACTAATGGCCAGACAGCCACTTACCGAGATCGGGATCGAGAGCGACTGTATCCTCGGTATCTGGAATCATTCCCATTTCCCCCTCGACCGAATCGAGAATCCATTCTGCGACTATCTAATGCAAATCGATGGTAATTATCTGAATGTTTCACATAATGATTGGACCCGCTGGCCCATTTATTTTCCCTTCGACTAGAGCCTGATGGGCTAGACATCTTACTTGTTCAACGCTTCCAATATAAAATCCCAGCTCGAATAGATGACAGTCAAGAACCTAAAATAAACTTTCCGTCCGAAGGTAGCAGCAAAAAATATATTCGGCCTCCTTTGTCATTCACTGGGAAACAGGTATCGATAAACGTTTAAATTACAGTGTTGGAAAGTGTCAGGCAGTGCCTGTTTTGGGGAAATCACCGGAAATACTTTTACAATAAAATGTAACTTTTAATATAAATCCCCCTAATAAAGTATACCCCAACAATAGAACTGCGATTTATATAATTTGTACACAAAATGAGAGTATGAATTTTACTAATCATAACTCAAACTATAACCTAGTACATTAAAACCTATTACATTATTATATTAAAATATATAAATGGAGAACAGCCTATAGGCTTTAGGCGTTTTCATAACGTTGCTTCATCATCTTCTTGATGTAGGACTTGTAGTCATTACCAGGCACCATTTTTCCTGACTGGTTTCCTAGGCCAATGTTGTTGGTACGGCCTTCAGCCTACAATGACAGCGATATAGTTAAATAAAAAAGGTACATTTAAGTATTAAATACTAACCTCTATGATTTGGGTACGTCCTTGGTTTTTCCTGCCCAATCCCTGTCCTTCTGACCAGCCCATCTTCTGAAGCAGTCGGCTGCCCACGTTGCTGGAGCTAATAGGCATGGCTGGAGCCGCACCGCTGTCCTTTTGCCTAGACTGCAAGGTCTTAATCTCCTGTTCAAAGCGTTCCCGGCTGCGATTCGGAGGAGGAGGATCGCTTTCCCCATACTTTAGCCTACGCTCCTTGGCACGATCTCGATAGCTAATAAGAAACAAATTAGTGAGATCTAAGAATTAGCAGAATCTTCTACAACTCACGATAGTCCTCCATCTCCGCTTGAAGCTCCTGCGGAGTTTTGGTTGAGCTTGGCCAGATTCTCTTTGTGCAGGTTGGACATCTTTAAATGCTTCTGCAGTATGTCAAGTGATTGGAAGGCCCGCTTGCAGAGCAAACAGGTGAGCTTCTGGAAATCCACGTAGTCCAATTCGCTGGCGGCTCCTCCTCCAGCTCCTACCGAATTTGAGGCGTTCTGGTAGTTGGGCGCACTTTCCTCTTCTGAGTCCGATGCTCCACCGTAGGCATTGACCAATTTATTTATTCCGGGAGGACCTGTTGGCGCTATGTAGTCCGTAAGCTTGGCGCGTTCTTTTTTCTCAAGGATTGAAAAGCCCACATCAGCATAGGCACCTTGGGTGGGCCGTGATGTGCTAGGACCTTCATTTCCTGACAGTATGGGTTGCGGAGTGGCCACAGCCGTGTAGTCTTTCTTTTGGTTGAGCTGCTTGGCCCACTTCTCCATGTCCTTCACTATCTTCTTGGCCACCTTGACCTTGTCGGGCTTGCCTCCCTCTTTTTCCTTCTCTTTTTCCTTAGCCTTTTTGGCTTCTTCCTCTTTCTGTTCCGCCTCAGATATGACTTCTTGCAGAGCAGCCTGCGTGGAGGCTGGCGTGGCCAAGACATAAGTGCTTCTGCGTTGATCCCAGTAGAGATAGGCTCCTGTTTCGTTGTTGTAATAATACTGCGAGTGAGCGTCGTAGTAAAGACCCGTGGAAGGGTCATAATAGTAGCCAGAAGATTCATCATACTGATACTTGGACACATCAGGGGCAGCTGGAATGAAAAAGATACACGTTAGCTTACGTAATTTTCTTTTTAGAAATACTTACGATAGATCTTTCCATCGTTGCCCCTTGGAGCGGTTACATTCTTGGCAGCAAAGGCTGCCTTTACCTCAGCAGCTGCTTGGGCGGCTGCTGCTGCAGCGGCTGTAATCGTAGTCTCAATACTGCTCATCTTCTTTTGTTTGCGTTGGATAGCCGAAAGGGCCACAGCAGCACCAGAGTTTGCTTCAGTGACTTGAGTGTCTCCCTTCTTCTTTTTAATCTCTGTTGTGTAATAATCTGTATAGTACTGAACATAATGAGCGTGCTCTGCAGGATTCGAGGCATACAGTGAGGCACTGTACTCAGCCAAACGAGGTACGTCGGCCAAAGTGTAGTTCTCACTGATTCCGGAAGGTGACATTGGTTCGGGAGCCCCACTGGGATTGTCTCTGTCACCGGCCGTAGTTGTATCCTTCGGCAACTTGGGACGATCCTCCGAGTCAATGCAATATGTAATGGCAACTAATATGCGAATTAGTGAAAGAACTATAGTTTCAAAAATATAAGCTACCATTTCTGTCATCCAATACTAGTGGCGGTTGCAGAGCCGTCAATGCATTGTAGGTATTCATGGAGTCAACGAGTGTATCAAAATTGAGGTAGCAAATGCCTCTCGATGCCTGAGTGAGAGTATCCCGACTAATCAACACCTTGCTGACAGTCTTAGCCAGGTCCGGAATATGCTCCTGGAGCGCAGTCAGTACGCTCTCTTCATTCGCCAAAGCGTCCAAGTTTCGCAGCATAATTTCTAAATTAAAATAATAAGTTTAAGCTAGTATAACTAATTTAAAAGAAAGAGATTTTCCAGCTTACTTTTGGTAAGAATGTTGCTGACTTCATCAATGCCCTCGCTGCCTCCGGAAAACACAGACTCTCCCTCTTCTCGAGATGTCTTACACACAAAACAATAGAACCGAAACTTGAAGTTACAAACACCACACTACAAAAAGAAAGAAATCGTTTAAATTAAGACGAAAATAATTATATTTTTTAATTTTTACCTTGTTGCAGTTCCAATCCTGAATGCGCTTATGGCTATACTGCATAGTGAGTCTTTGATCTCCCAACGAAATAACGCCCTGTGGCAGCAGACATGGAAAAGAGAAAAAAGGTTTCAAGATCAGTATGGCATCGAAAAATGTTAGGATATTTTTCACACTCTACACAGTCACCGGATTGCTTCTGTGCTTTCGTAACGCGGATGGTCTTGCTGTAGATGCTCTTCTCCATGTCACTTTCCTTGGCATTTATTAGAAAATAATAGATTTCAGTACAGTTCTTAAGATTTCGATGAGTTCTCTGATTGTGAAGTAGCTACTAAAGCTTAGTAACCATACTGAGAAATCCACAATTTCCTAATAACAGCCATGGGAAGTTCCTTAGCTGTTGATGTTCAAAGGATCAAAAGTTGATTGCGCTGATACCTGAGTTATATCCATCCATTGCTTTGCCTCCTCAACGGTGTTAAACTCGACAAACGCTATACCGCGTGATGAATCTAAATTTTCGGATAGAAGCAGATACAAAATGTTTTCGTCAAAAAATGTTGAATGTTTCGATAGGTTTGTAACATTGTTGTGGGAAATTGTACGAGTATTCTTTTCGATTCTTTTTGTGGCCGGGTAATATTCGTTTGGTATACTTGTTTTCCATTAAAAGTTGTACTGATTATCGTACACACACACTTGTTCCGCCTAGCTCACGCCTGGGCTGTAAGGGCATTATCAAAGATTTCATAACCCACCTGCGCCATGTTTCCGGATGATCCGAATGCAGGCTGGCTCCATGTTGACCTTAATCAGTTCACTCATGATCTATAACACGATCGTAGCACATTATTAAATATGATGGTTAGACTATGCTTGCAAGAATCTTACATCTGCCTTTGTTATTTGTTTCGAGAGTCCAAAGATAATAATTATATTGAGCGCTTCCGTCACATGTCTACTTTGATTCCGCCGCATCTGTCCCTCATCACTGTCCTCTTCCGACGAGCCTCTCCTGTCGCGATCTCTGTCCCACTCCCGTTCCCGCTCCCGGTCTCGTTCCCGGTCGCGGCTGCCCATTCGCCCATTGTTACCGCCACCATTGTGGGACCGATTATCTCGGGAACGACTAAAAAATTATTTATATTTTAAATCAGCTTATTGTTGGTACGCTCTCGGTAGTAGTAGGGGCTGCTTACATGTTCCTTTCGTTGCTTCTTCCTCTATCATCATGTTCATAATTCCGGTTCCAGGGCCTGCCTTGCTCTCTATCTGGGAACCTCTCCATAGGACTCCTTTCGCGAGAGTCCATATCTCGCCAACGATGTTCGTTGTCAAAGTTGCTTTGACCCCTATCCCTGTCCCTGTTTCGATGCTCAAAGTTCTCTTCGCGCCGGAATGGCCGATGTTCAAAGTTGTTTCGGGAGTTGAAGTTGCGCTGGTCATCCCGATAATCATCATGGATCAAGTTCTGATACAAATCAGGGTCCCCACCGCCACCTCTACCACCACGTTGGTCGTGCCGGAAATTCGGGGATCGATCCCGACTCCGTGACCGGGAATTGCGGTGCCTGGATCCGGCATATCCGCGATTTCTTTCTCTGTGAATACATACATATTAGGATTCAAGCCAAACCATTTCTTACTTATGTAGTATAAAAGATTTACCGTGAACGGGACCGGGATCTGCTGTAGCGCGACCGGGACCGCTGGTAGTTGCCCCTTCCCCCACAGTCACTTCCACCACCCGACGAAAAGCCTCGATTACGCGAGTCCATCAATCCGGATATGGCGATTTTTTTGTTTTTCCAACAGACAGGAAGTCATCCAATGCAGGCGCCGTTATTAGTGGCTCCCCCGTTTCCTCCAAATTATCTAATTACAACTGAAACTCCGGTGCCTTAATCCGTGCGTATCTTTTTTCCGAAAAATTCTTGCCATTCTCCACGAGAATTGTGTTATCGATAAACAAAGTACTTAACCCTTTCAAAATTGTGTTTATTATTTTGGTTATTAAAAAATACTATAATTATTTTATATAGATAATTTATACTATTTAAAATTTAATTTTAATCCATAAAATTTTTATTCTAATGGAGAAGAAAGCTTTCCGATGAATACGTTTCACGCCACCGTCTCTAAAAACAGTGTTGCAAAAGATTAACAACTGACAACTTGCAACACCGTGTGCCATTCCACGCTGCGTGTTTGGGGAAAAACCAACTTATTTTTTTTTTTGACATCAACATAAACTAAGACTTCCCCCGAAATTCTTGACAATCAGCGGCAATTCATTGGAACGCATTCTAGATTAGCCGAGCAGTATAAAAGTGCATTCGAACGATGAAGAAGGTTTTGTTGACGAAAACGCAAAAGGTCGAGCGGATCGCATCCGGAGGGGAATTATTACTCAAGACCCCCCAAACGCCTCCACTACCGATTCGGGTCATTACCATGCCCAGTTCTACACCGGTCAGCTGCAATACTTACATCCAGCGCAAATCATTCAAGCCCTTTTTTGAGGACATTTTCAAGTCCCTAATGTGCATACCTGATAAAGCCCTCCAGCAACGCGTGATCAATGCGATTAATGGCCACAATAGCCACAGCTCAGATAAGGACAGCTCCACTATCTCGCATCAAGGTAAACAATGTTCTTGTGGAGTCACAAAGGTAGACGCCTCCACGCAAACACAATGGGAATCGGATGACAGGAAAATCCTACCACAGGGGCATTATGTGCCGCCAAAATCCGAGGAAAAACCACCCATAAAAAATGAATCAGCCGATTCAACGAAGAACTCGAGCCCCACGGACTCCAATCCGATTTCAAATTCCACACCAATTACGTCAACAGCTCAGCCAGTAAAAGTTCCTAAAAAACGTGGAAGGAAACGGAATACATGTGTTCCACAGGTGGTTAAGCGATCGGCAGCCCAAATGGCGCTACAGGAGCGCGAGGACAAACAGCTGACTCCGCTGGTTACCAAAAAGAAAAAGCTGGAGGTTACGGTAAGAAAAATCGAATTTATATACATATATAGTTGGTATACACTTCGTACCCAGACTTTCCTTCAAGTTCTTATCGGAGAGATAAAAATAATAGGGATCATAATGATTACATTTTGCATTTTTAATTATTCTTTTCTATCAAGAAATTATTGTTATAATTATACTTATAGTAGAGTTTAATTCTGAAGGTATATAAAAAAAAGGAAATACTTTGATGGAATAAAACTGCGACAAAAAAACATATATATAGATTAGGTTTCGTTTTTTACAGATAAATATTTCGGTTTCGGTTGCACTTACGGGCTTGAAAATATTTATACTTTAAACGGTTACGGCTATCGGTAAATATATCCACCATAAAACCTATAAAATAAAAAAATAATACCATAACTCTTACTAATCCTTAAGAATCAATGAGAAAAAAAAATACTTTGCAACTTTATTCAAATTTTGTATTTAAATTTCTTTGCAGAACACGCATGAAACTCAAAGCAATAATTCTTTCAAAACTCCAGAACGGCGAAACTCAAACATGTCCGATATATCTTTGTCGAATATATCTTTGTCCGATATACCCTTTAGTGAAGAGGACCAAAGCCGAGTAGAGGGCTACATAGAAGGAACAAGTACGGACTTAATAAAACATATGATGGCCCAAGAATTCCTAAAAGCTAGAGTCAAGTCCGAGGAAGGACTGTTGTAAGTATAACGATTTAACTTTGAACTCTGTTACTAAGCTTTAATTAATTTGTTTTCTCCTTTAGTCCCATCCATGATTACATACTGCGTGGCGATGTTTTTGGGGTAAAGCGGCAGGTGTTTGTGTTTTCGCACGTAAACACCGACATCAACACTCTGCTCAGCAGCGATGGCGAGGATTGCCTGCAACTTGCACTAACCAACAACGTTGATGCGGAGATCGTGTCAATTATTATCTCAGCGGGATGCCTGCTAGATCACTTCTACGAGAACTCCAACACCGTCATTCACCTGGCAGTGATCAACAACATAAATCTCGAATCCGTTAGAGTTCTGATGAAGCATATTGACTTAAATCTTCTTTTGGAGCCCAATGATGATGGTTATACAGCTCTGCATCTGGCAGTGCGGTACAATCAGTTCCATATGGCAGAAGCCATTCTGGATTGCATAGACGAGCGGGATTTGGGCGAGCCGATCTACAGGAGAACAGCGGAAACTCCAAATACTGATGGTCGGGACGAGAAAGCCTTCTCGAAGTACTACGATCGGGCTTGCGACAACTTGGATATGACTAAATCGAAGCTGAAAACGCGCAGAATGAAGCTGGATGTGATTAATGCCTCCGAAACGAGGGCAGGGAATACGCCTCTTTTCTACGCCATAGAGGGAGAGCTAGGTACGTTATACACAAAATTACTGACATTTAAGGGGAATCCCCTGATTAATGACCTAAATTTTAAACTGTGTGCTGTTTCTTTATCATTTTGTAAATATTTCTGTAATTTTATGATCATAAACAAAGTTTCTCTAATCTTATCGATTGCAGAACACTTTTGCTATTTCCTGCTAGCCCACCTGGCCGATCCCGATCAGGAGAACTTTATCGGGCATTCCCCGAAATCTTACCACTACGATTATGCACGCAACTTACGCATTAGCCTGAAAGTGTCAAGAGTTATGGACAAAGTAATTGGATTATTGAATTCTTAATGTTTATTGTACATACATAAGTTTAATTTAAATAAACTATTTAACATAGAAAAGCTAATTAACCCCAGTTCAGATCGAAATTGGTTTTCTTAAGCAGGGCCAAGTCAATGGGTTGCAGCGACGGAGGCAGTCCTTTTTGTGGTAGTGTCTTCCATGGCCACTTTTTGGGTTTCTTCTTTTTTCGGCTCTCCCGTCTGTTTTGGGCTAAAACTAAGAGTAATGGATAAGTTAAAGGTTAAAAGTAATACGAGAACATTGATTACCCAATTTTTCCAGCTTTTCCAACTGCTTTTTACTGTAATGGCTGTTTTTGCAAAACATCTCAAACTTGCAGTAGCCACTAAAGTAGCGCAAACAAGGCTGCTTAAGACGTTCCTCTACCAAGACAGTTCTTGGATCTAAAATAAAACGCATTTTAGTTGGTAGCCTCCTAGGATTTTAAGGGGAAGTCCCTACCTGTTAGGCGTCGCAAATAATTGGTTTTGCAAATCGTGTGGGCGATGCCACTATTGTGCAATTTGCGTACATTTAAGTCATTTTTCATAAAACAACAACAATAATCGCAAAAATAGCTCTTTCCGCCCATTGTTTTAATAAAATCTAAACAATATTTATTAAATTAGAGATGGTACTAACAAATATCGGTATATATAGTGTTGATGGCGATTTTTTTAAATACACAATTGTTCATTTTTCTTCTTGACTTTCCTAAAATCTATGGCAGTACTTTACTTTTTCCAAAATCTTATGAAACAACTCTAATTATTTCCGAAGTCTTTGGAATTGGATTAATTGACCTTAAATCGGTCATCTCTATCTGAGTCTGCAAAAATTTTTTTGCACACTGTCGTTCGCTGTGAATGGTTAAATTACTCTATTAAGTGGCATTTTTGACAGCCGGCGAGCTAAAAACAAGTAAAACTTTTGTGTGAATTGAACAAAAAACAACAGACAGACATGGAGCCATCGCTGGATAATTTCAAGCTGAGCTGTGAGCTGCTGGGGCACAGCATGGACGTCCGTGCCGTAGCAGCTGGAGGAGTGTCTCCTCAAGGAGGACAGGTCATTCTCTCTGGATCGCGAGACAAAAGCACAAAGTTGTGGCGTCCAAGTGGGTTAGTATTAGAGTCCTTTGTCTAGCTTGATTTTTGGCCTTTTCACCCTGTAACCTTCTTACCTTCGTATCACCTACAGAAACGAGTATATTGAGAGTCTGACCCTGCAGGATCACAAGAACTTCATATCTTACATCTTCTACCTAGAGTCTGAGCAGTGGATATGTACCGCCAGCAACGATTCGACCATTTGTATTTATAAACATGACGGTCTTGTTCCTTTGATCACCCTGAAGGGTCATGGATCGACGGTGTGCGCCCTTGCTGGAGGATTAAAGTCCCGCAGCATCATCAGTGGCAGCTGGGACAAGACAGCCCGGGTGTGGTCAATCAGTGAGACGGGCGATGTTACATTCATAACGCTGGAGGGCCATGAGGCTGCGGTCTGGGCTGTCGCCACTCTGAAAGAGCAGCAAAAATACGTTACCGGGGGAGCTGACAAATGCATCTACTACTGGAACGAGAAGGGCGAAAAGTTGCGGCTGCTCAAGGGCCACACGGACTGTGTTCGTGGCCTGATTGCCCTGGAGGCAAATACCTTACTCTCATGCGGCAACGACGCCATACTGCGTTTTTGGAACGAGGACGGCGAGTGCGTCCGGGAGTTGAGTGGCCACTCGAACTATATCTATGCGATGGCCAGAAACACAGCTCTGGGAGACCAGGTGGTGGTCTCCTGCGGCGAAGACAGCACCCTGCGTATGTGGAATGTGATTACAGGCGATGAGCTGGGAGCTCCCATTCTGCATCCGGCCATTTCAGTGTGGTCTGTGGCGTGTTTACAAAACGGAGATATTGTCACCGGCAGCAGTGACGGAGTAGTTCGTGTCTTTAGTCAGGAACCGGCGCGACAGGCCAGCGAGGGAATCAGAAATGCCTTCGATCTTGCAGTGTCCACAAGGAAATCGCAGATAAACGAGGAGATTGGCGGTGTAAAGAAAACTGAGTCAGTTAAAGTTATATTTCATAATCGATAGAAATTTATGATTGTTTCCTTTGAAGCCTTCCTGGCCCCGAGGCACTGTTGTCCAATGGAACTCGCGAGGGTCAAACAAAGATGGTGCGCCATCCTGACGGCTCAGTAAAGTGCTACAGCTGGGAGATGGGCAATTGGAACCTGGTCGGAGACGTCACCGGAGGCGCTGGGGGAACACAAGCCAGTTCCGGTAAGAAAATGCACGAGGGTAAGGAGTACGACTTTGTGTTCAGCGTGGATATCTCCGATACGGAGCCACCAATCAAACTCCCCTACAACCGTGGCGAAGATCCCTGGCAGGCGGCGCAGTCTTTCATTCACAAGAACAACCTGCCGCAGGCATACCTTGACCAAGTCGCCAACTTCATAGTGACGAACTCCAACAGTGCACCCGTGCTGAGCCAGGCACCCACTGGCTATCAGGATCCATTCACTGGCGGCTCCCGGTACGTGCCCGGATCAAGTAACACAAACGTTCCCAGCGGAGGAAATGTCGATCCATTCACAGGATCTTCCAGCTACTCAACCGGAACCAGCGCCAACCAGTCGCGCGTGGATGTAAATTTCGTAAAGTCCGGAGACAAACACTTCCCAATCAGTAACTACCGCACTTTTGATACATGTGATGCCAACAAGGTGCTGGAAAAGTTAAAGTTAGTATAAATTTTTAAAACTTAATTAAATTTAATTGTTAAATATTTAATAATTTCAATTTTCAGAGAATTTAATAACAAGATATCCACCAGCGATGGAAAAGTGGGAGAGGAGATTCTTCTGGCTGTAATAAAACTCACAGAGCAGTCCCCAGAGCTGGACCTAACCTCGTTGGAAGCTCTGACCATTCTTTTGAAGTGGCCTGAAGGAATGCTCTTTCCCGTCCTAGACATTCTTCGTCTGGCAGTCAGAAACGAAGCAATTTTCAGCATTCTTCACAACACCCACAACTTTCTTAGCATTGTGATTCCCCACCTGGGCGGATCGGCAGCCAACCAATTAATGGTGATACGATGTTTAGCCAATAGCTTGGGCCACACCACCGGACGTCTGCATATCGAAAAGCAACTGCCGGAGATCACTGATTTAATAGCCGGGATCAAGGCGGGAAGTGCCAATTTGCAGATTGCCGTCGCCACATTTTATCTCAACGTGACCATTTCACAGATCCTTGGCGTGGCCAAGGGGGAAGTGTGTCATGTTGTTACCTCGGGTGTTGTTGAGCTTCTTAAATGGGCCAAGGATCTGGAAGCCTGCTACCGCTCCATGCAGGCCATCGGAAACCTGACCACCACTCCATGCGGCCAAGAGACTATCGCTCAGGTGATTTCCGTTGACTATGTGATGGATAAGCTGCGGGAGCTGACCAACACTCCGCAGGGAGAGAACTTTAGCAAAGTGAACTCAGTCGGCCAGGCCCTTTTGGCCGCATTTTAGGATGCACTGGATCACGGTTTTTAGGATCTGTCTAAATTATATATATATTGGAAAAAGCTTTTTTTAAATAAACAACAATAAACTCTAATCTATATGAGCCTTGGAATGCTGCGGCTTTTCTGTTGCCGAGGAATCCGGCCCTGATGGACGCTGCCGGTTATTTATTCGATCGAGTAGCTCTAGTTTCCATCGATCCTCAGGAACACCCTTGGCCCAATCAGGTACTGTGATGTTGGGCAAGGTAATAGTGGACATAGCTTTGAGGATCTGTAATGTAAATGGAGGTTAAATCTCTTACGTCAACCCATAGTGTTTCCTTTGTTCTTACTTGCTCGGTTCGCGTTTTGTCCAGCTCTATTTGTAACTCCTTGGGCCTGGGTTCGTTCCACACCTGTCGTTCGATTTCCACATCTGCAGTCTCGATAGGCGGCATATTGGGGTCGCCATGTGTCACAGGAGCGTTGAGTAAATCAATATCCTCGTCCGCATTTCCATCCTCGGCTTGTGGTGCCTGCACCCTAGTCTCCTCGCTTGCTATTCCCTCGTTTCCCTCATCCATGGCCAGTGGTTGATAGCCCTCATATGCATCCGGATCGTCGCTCTCCTCACTCTCTGCTCCCACCCGAGGATGGTCAACTGCTGGCGTTGGGAATACCTCATGACCAGGATCCGAGGGAAGTTCTGGGCCACCCATTGTTATTATTTCTTTGCAAACAAAAATATTCGCTCCGATAACGATAGACGGCTGTTCAGTGTTGTAAAGTAAAGAAATATTCTATAGAAAATTCAAAAAGATACAGATGTATCTTTAGTTTTAAAAAGCTTCCTGTTTCTTATCTTAAACTATTTAATTTCCAAATAAAAAATTTAAAAAAAACTGTAGTTTATTTAATACATATATCCAGGGCCAGGGGCGGTTCCCGCATCGGGTGCTCCCTTCTGTAAAGGAACAATTGTGGACTTAATATCTCTATTCGAAGTCTTCCGAAGCTCTGTGGCAGCGTGTTGCAGCTGCAAGGTGCACTCACTGCTAGCCCCATTCATGGTGAGATGTGCACATTCCTTCTCTAGCAGCATAGCCAGTGCCTCCAACAATTCTACGAATCCCAGGGCGAGAGCAGCTCGCCTGATTCGATTGAGCTCCTTGTAGAAGTGCTGTGTTTTGTCGGGCATTTTTTTGGCATGTCGTAGAACCTTCTGCACATCCGACTGCAGGCTGGCTTGCCGGATCCAAACAACACTACTCTGGGAATAGGATCGCCGATCAGCTCGCACAGGAAAACTGGCAGTCTCTCCTGGCGCTAGATCCTCGGCGAATCCGAGTAGTTCCAGATCTCCAATCCAAGGTATGACATTCGTTCCGGGTGGAAGCACATTCAACATAAGATTTGACTTTTTCTTGCCGTCAGTAAAGGCATAGATGAATCCATACCACTTCTCACCCACCAGCACCAAAGCGGCCATGTTTTCCAGTTTGAGAGCCCCATGAAGCAAGACGCAGAGGTTCTCCTTTTGCTGCTCTGTCTGAGGAGCAGAAGAATGTTTCACCACAATGGTGACATCAGCATCATCGCCACTTTCTTCCGTGTCCTTTGGATCCTTAGCGTAAAAGTCGCGTATATCGGCTTCCAACTTCTCCAGTTCATAGTTGGGATTGTTAGTGTCCAGAGTCAGCTTTGGTAGCTTTGCTGTTGCACCTCCACCTCCAGACCGACGACTTCCGCCCTTTTCGCGCTCCACCTTCGGCAAAACCCAATGACGACTCAATGTTGCTGGTGAACCAATGTCAGAAAGGGCCAAAAATCCGCATATCTCAATCTTTTGGTCGATGTGTCGTATTGTGGGATCTCGGCCAAACATAGGAGAAGGTTCTTCATATGGAGACGTGGGTGGCCAGAGCAGCACAGGCGCCTCCATACGGAAATAGCTACCACACTTGAGAATCACCTCCGTGGACTTGTAGCTGGCTTCACATAGGCGTTCAATCAGCTCGAAGACAACAGTTCGACCTAGTTCGCTTTTGTGGCTCGAGTTCGAAATGGGATTCGATGTTCCGTCAGTGGTATCAGTGGGCTTCGTTGGTTTTGGCATGAACAACTGACCTAAAATAGAACAAAATATGAGCCACGCAATAGCTTAGCATTAATGGTAGTGGTACCCTTTAAACTCGCTTTGTCCAATAGCTGCTGGTAAACCGATAATCCCCTGGTAAAGTAGGAATCGCCATGTAGACCGAGACAAATAAAGTTCAGATTATAATTGGCCAAGGTTGTCAGCCAGGCAAACTCCGGCTCATCCTCCTTGTCTGGAAAGGTGGTATCCAGGAAATGAGATATCGAGGTGCTCCCAAACCCAAGCCCGCAGTCTGTAAACACAACCAGCTGGAGAATGTTTTGGGCTCCGCCCCAGGTGGACATTATGGAGACGGAGGTCTTGAGCATGGTCAGCAGGCAGGCTTTGTCCACTGGCTCCACCTTCTTGATAGCCTGCCGGATCTGATCGTAGTCCCTGGTAAAGTCCACCTTTAATTCCGTTGTGGTTGTGTACGAAAGCAAAGCAAGGTGCTCCAGCTTCCCGGCGGCTGTGAGATTGTCCAGTAAATGCTGGATTCCCTTGACGGCCAGCGATAGGTAGGTGTGATCATTTCTTCCTGGAACTGGACGCAGCATCGACAGCGATGCATCCAGGGCTATAAGCGTCGGCATCTTAATTTCAGTAATAAAACGAATTTACAATGTATTATGTTTTCTGCAATCCGGTAGGTTGGTCTTTTGTTTACAAATCTTCTTCTTGCATTCCAGGTGAAGTGGCAGTCACAGCGAAACGTTCCATTCAGGATTGGCGCCAAAACAAAATTCAAAAATCAGTAACACACCGAGTAGCTAAAGCAAAGTAAAATTCAAAGTGATGTTATTTTTAAGCATAGGGCAATAATTTAAAAGGAATTTAAGGATTTTTTATATTAAATACTACGTAAATAATAACAAAAATTATGGTTAAGCTTAAAGATAGTATATTTTAACTATCTTCTAAATAACTATTTTAACTATTAATTTTACCATATTATATTGAAAGAATTGGTGTCCAGATAAATTTAATTAAATTGTGATGCTGGGTGTCTTTATCAATCGTTTTGAGATGCAACATATTTTCTTTTAATTGCCTTGATTCTGCCGCAAAGGATCATATAGTTCGACAGCCATATCATTTGTTTGCATTGGACTCAATGATTTTGTATTAGAATAAATTGAATTTTGATTCGAGGGCCTGCATGCGGGAAGTCATCACTTCTCTGTTTTAATTACATTTTATTAAAAACATACATATGAGAGGCGCCGAGCATCTCCCCGGCAACTGAGACAGACGCAAGGCAACGTCATTATCGGGGCTGAATACGGAATCCAGAACCACTCCGGAATAGAACAGCCAGCATCACTCCGAGTTCTCTGCTCGAGCAGTGAAGACGTCAACTTAACTTGCTCCGATTTCAAGAAAAAAAATAAGTTTTTAAAGTGTCGTCTAGTGTTTGACAGACTTTTTACGACTGGAAATAAAAACTATTCCTAGCCAAAGTGAGTACATATTTCGCCCGATTAAGCATTTCGCGCAACGATATAGAAATTTAATTAGGTGCCTATTTGGTTACTATATACAGCTCAATTTATCAACCTTTAACCCAAGCCAGTGTCCTTATCATCAAACAATAAAATTTTATACATACAACAAGCCTAGAACTTTTTTTTTATTAATATTTTTGCTCATTAAAAGTGTCGTTGTTTATGCCCGTAATTTCACTCGCATATTTCTGACCCAATTTCCCAGATGCATCACTTCCTCTCCCTTTTGAAGGAGAATCTGGCACATGCAGTCCATTGGATATTTTTGCGTCATTTGTTTATCGCTGCAAGAACAATATCGTTCTATATATTTATTTTTTTTCATCGAGGTCTAGCCGCACAACGGACAAGGAACCAATTTGCTTTGTTTGCAATTGTTTCAGCTGCCAATCGGTGGCTGTGAAAATTCTTTATTATTTGTTTGCAGCCCCCTAAATACTGGCCATTAATTTGATTATATTTGTTTATCCTGTTGATAGTTATTATAAACAGTTCTGATGTAATCTTAAAACTACAAATTGTTGGCTCGACGCCATTGCAGTTTGCCATATTCATTTATTCCATTTCCGTTCGACTATCCACAGACTCTACAAAGATCGAATCGGATCAGAACTACTGCACCATGGCCGGAGGAAGTCGGACACTCCAATTAGTATTCCTGGCTCTAATTGCCATCGCTCAATGGCAGACAATTGCGGCGGGGCCAGTCTCGTAAGTATTAATTTATCAAGCTTCAGTTTATTCTTGTAATTAGGTATTCAAAATACCTTGTTAGGTCTTCGTAAAGCACTCAGAAGTTTTGGGGGTTATTTACTCTTCTAATCTGGTGTTGGAACCTTTTGGAAATTAAAGATTCTATGCTTTATCTTTGTTTTTTGGATCGTATTTGATTATGATATGCCCTTATTAATGCACCCTTTGAAATCTTTCTTGACACAAAAAAAAATCCACTTCAAATTCATAAAATCGTTTTAAGATAAAAACTTATAAGCCATTAGTATTCAAAAGTTTTAAGTGTCCAATTACTCCTCATGGAGGAAATAGGGAGCAGTAATTGAATGCTTAAACTTTCAAAACCCCACCATGCATTTTATTTAAATTCAAAAGAACCATATTTCTAATTTTTCCCTGTTTTATGACTATGACACATGTCACACATTCGTTCGCACTTCCTCCCATCCCATCCTATCCAATTCGATTCTATCCGATCCACTGTTGGGAGTTTTTAGCGAAATGTGCGAGATCTCAAACTGTGAGAAGTTGTCGGCGCCTGGCCAGGCACCGCCTCATCCTCATCCTCATCCAGACCCACTAATGACTAATGCCTTCAAAGGAAAGCCAAGACTGTTGGCTGTTCTGCCTTGGTTGTTTGTTTATTTTGGGATAAGAGATGGGACAGGCCATGTTTTACAGCGCACTTCATGCAAATGGCTGGGTGAGGGTGACTTGCACTCGGAGTGGGAGGATGAGTGTTAGGCATGGTGCAGCATGTGGTGCTTTTCCCCCTAGTTCTATGGTTCATCCATCAACATCAATGCATTTCACACAACAAACATATTTCGAATGGGAATAGGGTTCCTGACCCTGAGAGAGGGCCCATTATCCATCTACGATCGTGATCGCGCCCCTCAATATTTATAGATGCACATGCACTCATGGCGGTGGTCCCACCGATTCGGCACCACCCCCTCCTCCGATGATTAATGGTCCATGGCGAGGCTAATTTTAAGTAATCCCCATATCTTTCGATCACGGATTCTTTTCAGAAACGAGGAGCTGCATGGCACCATCAAGTCCCTGATCTATTCCTACAACCAGCTGGACAATAAGCTCGAGAGGCACGAGCACCGTGAAAGGGCTCTGGGAGAGCTCTTGAAGAAGGCGCTGCAGTCCCTGCAGAAGGGCCAGAAGAGCTTGGAGCCCATCAATGGAATCTTTACTCGTTTGGACGACAGAGTCAGCCAGATAGAAACCATGCTGATAACGGTGGGTTTTTTCTTCTATAAATCTTTTTTTAAAAACGAACTTTTATTTAAATCAAATGTATAAGCGAACGAAATCGACAATCAAGTATTGCACGACCTTGAAAATTTTTATTTTTCTTTTATTTTATTTTTCTTATGCGGATTATTCACAAATATCCGCAAAGAACTTCTATATCTTTGTGAAATTGTATCCTATTCTTGAGCGGAATACCCTGAATGATTTGTAGATCGATTCTCCATCAATCTGCATCCAAATCTAGCAACAAAATATTTTTTCATATTTTTGTCAAATTTTATGGAGGGTCCACTTCAAAATCGGGGAAAAATGCAATTTAAATTTTTATGAAGGGTCCCCTTAAAAAATGGGGAAAATGCATGGACTGCCAATATGACCCACTGTGAAGTCTATATCTCTGCCGATCTTCATCCGATCCTTGAGCGGAATACCTTGAATGATTTGTAGATCGATTCTCCATAAATCTGCATCAAAATCTAGCAACAAAATATTTTTTCATATTTTTTTTAAATTTTATGGAGGGTCCTCTTCAAATTTGGGGAAAAATGCATGAACTGCCAAAATGACCCACTAGGAAGTCTATATCTCTGCCGATTTTCATCCGATCGGAAAAGAGAATACCTGAATGATTTGTAGATCGAATCTTTATGAATCTGTATCCAAAGATATTTATTTAAATTCTCCATCAAATCTGCATCAAAACCAATTTTATTCCAATCCGTAGCAAGAGGAGAAGTACAACCTTCAGTCCGAGCGCTTCAATCAGGCCACAGAGCACATGTTCAAGTGGATGAGGGAGAACGACGAGTGCTTCAAGCGTCCACCGGTTAGCGAAAAGTCGGCACCTGCTCCTGCTGCCCCTGCCATTCCTGAGGGATTCCTGCTAGAGCAACAGCGAGTGAACAAGCAGCTCCTGGACGACATCCAGAAGCTGACAGCTAGCGTGACGGCCTTGAAGGAGAGCAGCCAGAAGGCGGCGGACCAGACCCAGAAAGACATCCAGAGCCTACCCAAGGGCAAGGAGCTGATCGGTCAAATCGAGGCCAAGCTGCAGCAGCACTCCCCCAGCGTGACCACCGTCGCTCCGCCCAAGAACAATGAGTTCGAGGTGCAGATCCTAGACCGTCTTACCTCCCTGGGCGGACAAGTTACCCAGTTAAGCGAGAACGTCCAGCGTCCTGCTCCTCCAGTTGGGCTCGACGAAAAAGATCGCGCCTATATCCAGGAACTGAATAACGAAACCCTTAATGCTTTGGCCCAGCTCAAGAGCGAGTCCTCGGCGGTACAGAAATCTGGTAGGTTTCGATCCTTTTTCCTATATTATAAAAATTAACTCAATTTCTTACGAACAGCATTGACTGAGACCTCGGAACGACTGCAGCAAACGGAGGCCAATATTCAGGCGGATGTCCGCCAGCTCTCTGCGGATGTGGGCGTCCTCAACAAGTACTTTGCCTCGGCCAACGAGAGCACCGCCAAGCTGCACCAAGGCCTGGAAGCTCTGGACAAATTCAATAACATAACGATGACCAATTCGGAGGTGGTGTTGGAGACCCAGCGCAAGGTGGAGTTCGGAACATTGAGCATGGTGCAACGGGTGGGCATATTGCTGGGCGAGCAGGTGGCCCAACTGGTGGCACTGATTAAGGAGCGTTTCTCGGCTCTGGATACATCCGTGGTGAAGATTCAGCAGGAGGGTAGCAAGAACATAACAGGGCTGCTGGATACGGAATTGGGTCAGGTGTGGCATCGCATCGAGATCATGGCCAATGAGATCAGCCAGAACCGGGAAATTCTGGGTGTGATCCAAGCCGGATCTGATGGCTATATCAACAGTACTCTGGCCACAATGATGGGACTGGGCAGCAAGGTGGAGGATACTAAAAAGCATATGATCGACATGGACGACAACCTGAACTTCTTGCTGGGCAAACTGTCCCTCATGTCCGGCGAGTTTGCGAAGATCAAGATCGGTCTGGCCGATTCGCTTGAGAATCTTCGCAACTCGTTCCACGACCTTCACGAGCGGATGCCGACGGGTCCGGGACCCCACAACATCGACAAAAATAAGTACGAGACCGACGTGAATCTGCTCTCCAAGCGCCACGCCGAAACAGATTAGACGGGAGCCTAGGATGGCCCAGAAAATAAGAAATTACAATACTCCTAATCCTAGAGCATAAGTTCTCCCACTTACATACCTTTAATCCCTAGCTGGCGTTCAAAGTAGTAGCACTAGTTACTTTTAACTTGGAAATACCAGAGTGCTATAACTCTAAACGCATTTCTGCAATATTTATACAATATGATCTTGAAACCCTACCTTGAATACATCTATTTTATGAACAATACACTTTTGCAGTTTATTCTTACGTTCTAAAGGAATTCCTGGCCATAATTTACATACAGTTAGGTAACTAGTTAATATACGGGTTTCTATTCGTGCTCCAGCTGGGGTTACTAAGTGCCCCAGCGCTGTTCGCATCGCGAGTACTTGCACAGGATGTTGGCAAACGTTTCCACGTTGAAGTACCGTCCACTTGGATGCGTATGGAACTCCGTGAAGCGCACATGCCACGGCAGCACGCCGTATGTGCATGTCTGTCGTGCAAAGATGATGCCCAAATCAGGTTCGGGTGCAACGTAACCCAGCCGCTTGGTCAGCATAGAGTCAATCTGCTCGGTGAGCGCTTCGCGCTTCTGGCTGAGCAGATTCTGCACCACTTCCGAATTCCTTTCTTCATACAACTCCCGACAGACATCAGCGATGAGGGCATGGCCGTCGGCGGCGCTGATTTGATAGAGCTGTTTAAACGGAAAAGCCAAAAACCCCAATAAGTTGTTGATAAGACAAAGATTAGTTCCGGGAATTGCTTGAAATACTCTAGGCAAGGGGAATAGATCTATTTCAACGAAAGTAGCAGGCTTCTCGATCAAAAAATGTTTTGTAATAGTTATACCAGTAGAGTCTAAACATTAGACTTTAAAGATAACCATTTCCTCTCTTTTGAGGGTAATCAGAACTATCAAGATTTCTTATCAAAACTTTCTCAACTTTCGATCACCGCTGTTAACACACGGCAGAAACATAATCTTAATTCATTGCCTGTAGAGTATTTCAAGCTTCTCCATATTCTAGTTATAGTTCCTTCATATCAGTACCCGGCGCTCACCTGCAATTGATTAGAACATGAACTGCTGTCGGCTGCACCATTGACATAACCATTTGTTTTTTGTCCATTTCTTGGCGCGCTATCCGACTTCTTGGGAATCGCTGGCCACTTAAAGTGGCTGCCGCTTCCCTCAGCACTTGATGGCTGGCACAGCTTGTCCAGCTCTACATAGCCACCTCCCTTAGGTCGCCTGTCGTATACGCTGACATGCTGGACGCCAACCTCCAGGGCAAAGCCAAAGATACGTTGCAGCAGTACCGAGTCCACGTAATGGTCGCTGGGCGAGATGACCAGCACTAGGTGCTGGGGCGTCTTTGTCAGCTGGGAACGGCAATCCGTGAGCACGCGCCGCTCATGTAGCTCACGTGCCGCGGCGCTGCGCCAGAGGTCATATGACCAGTTCACAAATGCATTTAGTCGCTCGCGGAGCAGCCACAGCAGCTCATAGCCTCCTACCAGGAGCAGCAGCAAGCGGCTTAGCAGAAGGCACAGCACCTCGATCATACTGGGATTCCTGGATGGTGGAATGTGCGCTTTTTCGGGCTTGAAATCCGCTCCTGTTGCTTCTTCGAGTCCCTTTCGCAGTGTACACAAGCGAACATAACCTGTAATGCCCAAAAAAGAAGGTGGATAGTGGGTCAACAGTGCTTAAAAAAGCCGGTGGTCTACCTACTGCGTCCTAGTGTCAGTTTGCTAACCGCTTAATCACTTGGGAGGCGGGGTCATCGTGTTTTTCTGGCTTATTTCTTTTTTAACCAAAGCCCTCTTAGAATTAGAGGTACGTGTTCTAATCCGGTGGGACCAAAGTTTACGAAAATGGTTCGTGACGTGTTTCGTGACTTAGTCACGAGCTACCGTTTTACGTAATACGTTTTCTTACGTTTTTTCTTACGTCTAACTATCGTTAGGATAGTTATCGTTAGAATGTGGCGCCATTTCAAAGTTTTAATTCATTAAAATAACGCGGTTAATGCTTTGGTTAATTTGCTTTCTATTTGCTAATTTATAGGTTTATAATTTGATCTAAGCATTGCCTAAAGTCTAAAGAATTTCCTTTCGAAAACATTTTTAAAACTTTTAAAACTTAACTTTACTTAGAATTTAAAAAAAATTTTCTAGGCGGAAGAACTTAAATGTGTAAATGGGAAAGGGTATAATATACATCAAATTAGATTTTCTTGTGTCCATTGAAAAAAATTCTTGGCTTAAATTGGCCCCAAAGAAAAACATTTAAAAAATATCGTGTAATGAATAAGTATCGTTTACTTCGATATATAAAAACATCGTTTTGCCGATAAATGATATATATTTGATGCAACAAATATCGATATATTGATACAACAAACCCAACCTACTTGACCACTTGCCGGTTTCTGCTAATTTTTGTCGTCTCGTCGGGAAGTTCTTGTGGAGTGAAATTTTCGATCAACAGCAACAATTCAGGTGAGTAATGCACTTCTCGATCGCCGCTCTCTGTTGCAACGGCTTAATTTAGGCGGGTACTGGCTTTACTGTGTATATTTATTTAATAAATCGCCGGCCAGGCTGTCTGGCGAATTTGTGGACAAGGGGGGTGTCCCTGCTGCATCTGTGTGTGTGCATGCTGTGGGTGGTGGTACATGTAGCAAAACGAAGAGACAAGAGACAGCTGTGGATTTTTAGATACTTGGATGTGGCTATTTTTGTGTGATTCATCTTGTTTGTAAAATTAAATTCCCACAGCCCACCCATACAGCCGCATCGGTGGATATATGTTTCCCCATCTATTTAGGTTTATTTCGAACGATGATTTCACATCCGATTCCATACTACGAGGCGGCAATTAATGGCCAGCAAGTGTATGCAAATTAACCCCACCTTGCCAGCGAGGAAATTTGTCTTAACCCATGATAACACTTACTAACGTACACTCAGCTGTTGTGGCCACCTTTTGTTTTTGTTTGCTGACTCACACGAACACACACACACACAGCCGCAAGACCCAGCCACCACCCAGTTGGTGGTGTTTGTGAGCTTGATGACTCAAATAGTTGGCCAAATTGCGCTATCAGCAAATATAAAAATAATAATCACACCCGGAGAGAGATTACAATGTATGTTGGAGCCAGGTGAAAGAATATTTGGCCTTAAAAGGCAGCCCCAACTCTTAATATTCCGCTACCAGTAATTCGAGATCACACACACACCACCACACACGGGTAAGAGTGCGTGTAAGATAACGGGGTCTCAGCTGCAGACATTTAATCTGGCTTGCATTCTAGTTTTTTCCGTGTTCCTAGGCACGCATCTGCCTCCGCGAAGACGCGAAGAAAGAACCAGTAAGCCTGGGCGAAAGTTGAATCTCAGCTAGTGCCCCTCCCCACCACTCTCCCTCATTTCCCACTCTAATTGCCAGCCATTTGTTTTAAGTTAAGTAGCTTAAAGCCAAAGCAAAAACCACTTGGCCGGTGCAATAAACTCATTGCATTGCAGTTAAGCATCAGAAAAAAAAAAACAAAAAAACATTGTAATGCCTGCGCAGAGTTTCCTCTCAGAGAGTTTTCCTCAAATCTTGAAGCTTTCTCCGCTGCACAATGTCCAAGATTTGAAGCTTGCATTAAATCCTGGCCACCTGACTGTCCGGCCTGGCCAAAAGCGAGCATTAATGAAAAGTCATTTTCATTGTCACTCGATATCTGGCCCGAAATGGTCAAAAGCGACGCTTGGCCAAAAAAGGATACCAATTTTTAACAGAAAACAAGTTAACAGAAAACTTAACAGAACCGTTAACAGAATAACATTTCAAATGGCAAAAATTTTAATAAAAAATTTCTTTAATAAAAAACTTTAAAAAAATCTAAAAAAGGTTAAATCTTCTGAAAAAAATCTGCCATCTGAAGGGTTAATGTTAACAGAGGTAAACAAAATCGAAACTCCGAAACCGAAGGAGTATCCGAATCCGAAACCGAACCCCAATCGGAATCCGAGTGTGTGGGCGTGCGCTTCGGTCAGGGTGTGTTCTATCCTTTTGAGTATACACGGGTGCGGGTGTGCGTGCGTGAGTTTAAATCGCATTTCTGTGTCATTCAGAGGTCCTGCTTTGGTAGTCACTTGACCCAGTTGGTGGTCCGGACCCGTTCGTGGACCAGGCGACGCTTCTTTCGCTTCCAAATGTGCCAATGTTCGGGCGAGGTGCGGATGTGTCGACCAGCAATCCCACATACATAAACATAAATACCTAAATGAGCAAGGAGTGGCCCGCTTCCACTTCCACTGCCACCACTGGAGCTCCAGTTCCTGTTTCTACTTTGCGGCTTTTGCTAACCAAACCCAAACCATTTGTATGGCTGCTGCTGCCTGTGATGCCAGTGTTGTGATTGTAAGAGAAGCAAAAAAAAAAAAATAAAAATCCAACAAATGCGGAAATTACATAATGTGCTTGGTTCGTATTTAAAGTGTTGAGTCCTGTACCCGCAAAAACAACAACAACAAGAACAGCATCACCATCAAAATGTTCTCCTGCTGCCGAGCTACACCCCGGGCCGGAAAGAAGGAAAAGAAGAAGAGCGAGGATACCGAGAAGATTGAGGAGACGACAGACGACAAAAAGGAGCCTCAGCTTAATGGCAAGCAGGAGCTCCTAGCTAGGGAGCCACCCGAGAAGCCGGATAATCCGCCGGACACTGGTATTGACACACTACTCCCTATGTTAAGATACACACTCACAGCTCTATGTATCTCCGCGACACCACCACTTCTCCGGCTTTCAAGCTCAACAGCTGTGTGTTCTCTCCGGGCCATAACGAGACCCGGATTCCGGCCGGTTCTTCATCGCTGCACTGCTACGGCAGCTGACCGGTCCGAAAGCCAATATCCTTTTTTTTTCCAATATTACTGAACTACTTTAAGTTGTTTTCCCTGTACTTTCTCTTGGCTATATCTGTGAGTGGGAATAGTGCCGATACAAAGTTGATTAATGAGATACTCTGTGATACCTATTTTTGTTAAAAACAAACATCGATCAAGTCAATTAATGAATACAATGATAAGACTTATATTTGTTGTAATATTCCATATAAAATAATGATTCATTGACCATGACATCAGAGCTTCTATTAAAAAATAGATAATAGATGTTAAATCATTAAATACAACCAGGAAGTAACATTAAGACTTAAGTAATGTAATCAACTAAAGTATCGGCGCTTTCCTTCTTAATCGTTTGTGCAATTTAAGCTTCATGTAGAGTAATCTTAAGCCACACTTCCACAGCCAATCCGACTCAGGCTGAAGCAGCTACAGTAGCTTCATCACCAGCACCAACTTCACCACCAGCACCACTACCACTACCAGTACCAGTTCCAGCACCAGTTGCAGCTGCAGAAGCAGCCAAAGAAACTGAAATCGAGACATTAGCCCGATCGACGCACTCTTCCACTTCCACTGCCCCGCCAGCCTCGATGACCAGCGCCGGGGCCGAGGAGGAGGAGGAGGAGAATAAAGTGGCGGTGGCTGAAATTAATCCGACAACACCAAGCTCCCAGCCGCCACCTACCAAGAGCTGTCTCTCCAGGCACAACTCCACGCACCAGTCAATTAAGAAGAAGGTTAACATCAGCAACCGGGCGGAGATAATTGAGCCGGATCCCCTGCCCCTGTTGGTATTGGCCAGTCAGAATCAGGGCTCCCTGCTGGACGACGACGAGGTGTTCTCCGACTCACTGCCTCCGCCGAAAAGGGAGAGCATGTGTGCGCCATATATCGAGGGGGATCTCGTCTCGGAGACGGTGGCGTTCGTTCACGGATTGCCCGCTTGGTTCGACGACGAGCGACTGAATGAGATGTACGCTGGATACAGTTTGTCCCCCCAAGATCGGGGCCTGATTTGGTATTCATGTAGGTTCTATTCTAGAATCTAGAAAGTGAATCCCAGATCAGGCCTTTGAGATAGTAAAGCTCTCTTTTCTCTTGCCCACTGAGCACTGACCTCTGACCTCTGACCTCGTTCCATGTGCAGCGGCTGTATCGAACCGCCGGTCACGCCGGTTGGACGCGACGAGCTGGAGCTGAAGCGCCAGCGCCTCTACACGGAGCTCCTGCGAGCAGCCCACGCAGCTGTGGAGCACAGCGTGGCCGTGCGGGGTATGACCGATAGCTTCGATAGCCACCGATGCGTTCCTTTCATTTATTTCGTTCCTTTAGCTCCTAGTTATCTAAGTGGTTACATCCAGATTGTATATGATTTTTTGTGGGCTGGAATCCGCCCCGTATCCTATCGCCACGCCATTCTGTCTCAAGTTTGTTTATTCAGTTTTGTGAAGTGTTTGCATGTCTTTTTTAATTACCAGTCCTAGTTCTGGGGCTTAGCTTTAGTTGCTCCTCCTTAGTTGTTAATTAGTGTTTGAAGCACCAGTCCATGAACGTCGTTTGTAGATCTCTATCGTCATCCACGAATTTTCTTCACCAGTTTTCGTTTTTTTGTTAATTCTACAATGTTGTTTCAAGTCCAGCGGAGTCACTTGCTTTTCTTACTGGTCTTCTATTATTATTCTATTATTTGTTTTTTAAATAAATAAGTTATTTCCAACAATTCCCAAATTAAGAACGCTTTAATAATTTATTTTTTTTTTCCTTTCGTGTTCAGATAACGTGCCGGAAGCCAAGCCCACGACCGAGCACTTGGAAAGCATTTGCGAACGTCTAGAGAACCTAGTCGACCGCTTGGAACGGACTCTAGCAGCGCCACCACCGCATCCGCAGCCACTTGAACTGCCCACGCCCATTCTCCCGCCCCCGCCAGTCGAAACCGAAGAAGTTCTTCCAACAGCCGAAGCAGAAACGCCACCACCACCACCTCCTCCACCACCAAGCAGCAGCATGAGTGTCGCAGGATTCGAGGATATTGTGGCGGGTCCACTGAGCCAGTATCTGTCCCTCTCCGCCAAAATTGGCGGCGATGTTGCCCAGCATGCCGAGCTCGTGAAGGGCGCTTTCGGGTGAGTCACACAACATGGATTAGTCATTCAAGTCCATCCACTAAAATACTCCGCTTTCGCCATCAGTTCCCAGCTGCAGTATGTGACGCTGGCCACCCAAATCGCCCAGCCGGCGCAGCCTAAGCAGGCCGAGCTGCTGAAGCCAACCTCCACGCAGATCAGCGCCATCCAGGACTTCCGTGAGAAGCATCGCTCCTCTCCCTTCTTCAACCACCTGTCTGCCATCAGCGAGAGCATTCCCGCTTTGGGATGGGTGTGCGTGGAGAAGACCCCTGGTCCGTATGTCAAGGAGATGAACGACGCCGGCCAGTTCTACACGAACCGTGTTCTCAAGGAGTGGAAGGAGAAGGACACCACGCATGTGGAGTGGGCTCGCTCCTGGGTCCAGACGCTGACCGAGCTGCAGGCCTACATCCGGCAGTATCACACCACTGGCTTGGTGTGGTCCGGCAAGGGTGCTGCCCCAGCTGGAGGCGCCCCGCCACCACCACCACCCGGTGGTCTCCCCCCACCGCCGCCACCACTGGATCTGAATGCCCTTAAGCTGGACAGTGCCGGCGATGATCGTAGTGCTCTGTTCGCCCAAATTAACCAGGGTGCCGACATCACCAAGAGTAAGTAGCAACATCTCTCCGATTATGGGTGTGGCTAATGTAATATTGGTAATCCTCCCTCTACACAGACTTGAAGAAGGTAACTGGGGACATGCAGACCCACAAGAATCCGTCTTTGCGCTCCGGCCCTGCTCCGTTTAAGGCACCAGCTCAGTATGGTGGCCAAGCCACGGCTGCTCCAACCGCCGCTCCAGCAAAGGAGCCAGTGTTCACCCGCGACGGCAAGAAGTGGATCATTGAGTACCAGAAGAACAACACTGGTCTGCTTGTCGAGAATGCCGAGATGAACAACGTGGTGTATGTGTTCCGGTGCGAGGGATCAACGCTGACGGTCAAGGGCAAGGTGAACAACATCGTGTTTGACTCGTGCAAGAAATGTTCTCTGCTCTTTGATTCTGTGGTGGCCTCCGTGGAGTTTGTCAACTGCCAGAGCGTTCAGATGCAAGTGCTCGGCTCAGTGCCGACTGTGTCCATCGACAAGACCGACGGTTGCCAGATGTATCTCTCCAAGGACTCGCTGGGCGTAGAGATTGTCAACTCCAAGTCCTCCGAGATGAACATCCTCTTGCCCCAGGACAATGGCGACTATGTAAGTCTTGAAACAAAAATGCTGGTAACCCCTTTTCAATGGTTTTGTTTTGCAGACCGAGTTGGCTTTACCGGAGCAGTATAAGACCACCATTGCTGGCAAGACCCTCAAGACTGTGTGCGTGGACAGCCTGGGCTAATGCGGGCAATCCCTTGCCTGGGATATGATCTGTTGCTTTTCCAACTATCATCAACATCTGTAGCTGCATTAGCCAGTCAGCAGTCGTAATTGTATTTAGGCTTAAGCGCAAAGTTTTTCGTAATTCAGATATTTTGAGATCAAAGTTTTCGTACCCGATTGTAATGAGGATGTTGCCAAACTTTGCTATCCTGGCTAGTGGAAAGTATTTATATAATTTATTTCGATGGAAAAGCGATGAAATCAAAACAAAACTGAACCCAATGTATTTATATCGAGAGTGTGTAACGAACCTGAGCACGAAATTCGAAACTTTTTTAAGCCGACTCTTCACTCGATCATCAGAAGTAACTCTTTTTTATATTCTATTTAAATAAAAATTTAAACATTTTTTATCAGATAAGTGGTGGTAGTCTTTTGTTGGAGAAACAAATCCTTCATCGGTCATAATTTTATTTTCTATTTTAATACAATTTCAGCACTTTTTATCAGATAAAAAAATGAGAACGACTTTAATTTCTACGTAAATGTACAATTTCTTTAATAAAGCCAAGCTCAGAATGAGTGAGAGGGGGGCGGGGGATCGGGGATAGGAGTTGGGAGGAATGGCTCCTGGCTAATACTAGGCCTAGATCTTCTTGTACTCGATCCGCTCCACTTTGACCTCGTCGCCGATCAGTTGGTAGACGTATGTCACCACCGTTGTGCTTTGGATGTCCATGAGAACAAACGACGGCACCACATTCGTATCCAACGGGTTAAAGGCTCCCGTGGCTGATCCCGGATTGATGTAGAACTTATTACCATGCTCGTACGCCTCGAACTTGTACGTGTGACCCGTGATTAAGATGTCCACGTCCAGTTGTCGCTGGATGAGGGCCAACGCCTCTGGATCACCGCGGGGCACCACCTGATGGCCGTGGCATAGACCGATTCGGAACTGGCCCACAGTCACCACCTTCTGCTCGGGGTAGCTTAGGTTTTCATCGAAGTCGCCACGTACTATGTGCACGTCGTTGGCCAGGGATTTGAGATAATCGTAGGATTCCTTGGTGCAAATATTGCCGGTGGCCAGGATGTGGTGAATGCGGCCGGGCACCAGCAACTTCTTAAACTTGGCTGGCAGGCTGCTGCAGCGGTGCGGAATGTGTAGGTCCCCGAGTACCAGAACGAGCATGGTGTCCTTAGTGGTGCTTTGTTTTGTTTTTTAAAAAAACTATGAAACGCCCTGCAAATACCAATGGCTAGTGGTGGCACCCATGCAGCTGTTACAAATCGCTGATGTATCGATATATTATGATTTGCATTTTACCCGTCGTATTTAATAAACCATATTTCTGCCTACAGTTTAAACTTTAAAAACAGCGTTTTATAATTGAATATTTAATAAATTGAATCAAAATATAGTGAAAATAAAGGTATCGAAATATAGGTCTCATTAGTCTTATTTCTTATCGAAAGGGTCGCATCTCTGCCGATAACGATAAAACAAACAGCCGGCGAATATGGAAGCAGAGACATCAAGCAAAGAAGGTATTTAAATGGTTATTCAAAACCCCCACCATAACATAACACTCAACATCTTTGTAGCCGAGTCGAGCATCGACCTGCTGGTCATCGTGCTGGACACGAATCCATCGCAGCGTATAGTTCGCCAGAACCCACAGAACCTGACTCAAATCCTGGAGGCGGTGATTGCATTCGGAAATGCACATCTCATGCAAAAGGCACAGAATAAGCTGGCTGTGCTGTCCTGTTCCCACCATGCCACGTAATATATCCTTTTTTGTTTGTGCTTATATATATTATAGTGAATCCTTGGCAGAAATTTCCTGTATCCTCTGCCTCGGCGTCAAGTGGAACTTCGTCAAGTCGATGGGCAGTACGAAGCCTTCAGTCTCGTAGAGAAGACAGTGAAGCAGCAGCTGGGCAGTATTCTAATGAACGCCCCACGTCTAAATGGTCCTAGCGAGAGCCTACTGGCTGGCAGCATGTCCATGGCCCTTTGTTATATCTCCAGAGTGGGTTGATAAACGTGAACTTCAAGATACTCCTACTAAGAATTCCGAATTTGCAGCTCCAGCGCAACGTGACTTCAGGCGTGAAGATGCATTCCCGTATTCTGGTTTTGACGGGCAGCAATGAGTGTGCTTCACAATATATGACATTCATGAATGTCTTCTTTACCGCCCAAAAGTTGGGTATTGTGATCGACACCTGCGCTCTAGACAAGACCCTAAGCTTGCTGCAACAGGGCTGTGATATCACCTCTGGCCAGTTCCTCAAAGTCACTCAGCTGGACGGCCTGCTACAGTATCTACTCTGGGTATTTCTTCCCGCACCGGAAATGCGTCATAAGCTGGTTCTACCCCCGCCTCCAAAGGTTGACTACCGAGCCTCTTGCTTCTGCCATCGTGAGCTGATCGACATTGGATATGTCTGTTCTGTTTGCCTATCCGTATTCTGCAAATACAGTCCTATTTGCACCACTTGCCAGTAAGTATCGTAACTTTTCCATTAAGAACATAGCATAACGTCTTTATAATTACAGCACAATATTCAAGACTCCGGGACCCTTGCCTATCAAAGGAAAAAAGAAAAAGAAAACCGATAAGCAGTAAAGGTTCTTAACTGTTCATCTTTATTAAAACATTCAGTCCACAAATTGTTAAGCATTTCTTGTTATTTTACTGAAATACATAGGGCCAAAGTTGGCTGGGAGATAGGGGACCACCATCTGTCCGTATTTGAGTCCCTTCGGATGCTCGAACTTAAAAACATCGCTGAAGAGCGCCGTTTGCCGGCTCAGATCCTTGATAGTTGCTGTGATATTATGCTCCGCAAAAGCCTTTTGCAGAGCCATGTGCACCACACCATCATTTTGAATGGGCGACAGCGAACAGGTGGAGTAGACCAAGCTGCCGCCAGGTCGTAGTAGGCGCAAGCAATTGGTCAGGATGCCGGCTTGGAGTTCTGGGATGCGCAGGCGCTCCTTGATTCGCGTGGGCTTAAAAATGTTGTTATCTTGCTCGTTGAGGACGTGGCGATCCGTCGTGCAAGGTACATCCACCAGGATCTTGTCAAAAGCGTCGTAATCGTCCAGGTAACGAGCATCGCTCTGGCTGAAGATCAGGCGCTTGCCCGCCCAGCGTTCCTTGAAATCAAACAGGTACTCTTGCATCACCTTGCGCAGTTTGTTCAGTCGGGATTCTTGGATGTCGTTACAAACCAACTGGTCGACGTGTAAGGTCTGCAGCATGACTAGGGATTTGCCTCCAGGAGAAGCACAGGCGTCGAGAACTCGTTCGCCAGGTTGTACTTGGAGGAAGAGTGGAGGCAAAGTGGACGCTCCGTCCATCATGAAGTGGGAGAGCACTCCAGTGAGACACTTTTTGGGTGCCTTGAAGTCGGAGCAGTTGCCCATCTCATACGTATAAAGTGATAGGTGCTCTGGGTACTGAAAATATGTTTCCGGCTCAATGTTTAAAGGAAAATCCGCACTGGTTTGATAATATTTGTAGTGCTCCGATTCGGCCACCCAGTCCTCCATTCCCTTTATGCTGTGAGCGGGCATGTACTCGTATAAGCCGCCAGTGCCAAACTGGGGGTCTACTAAACGATTTTCATCTAGCCGGACATCTTCCTCCAGAGCCTTGGTTAAGCTCTGTTCGAACGGTAGCCTTTCCTGAAGCTGATCTGTTTGCTTTTCCTCTATGTTATCAAACTTTAATTGCTGTGGCAATGTACCAGAGAGACCATCCTCTCCGAGGATAGGATAAATCGAGGAGACCTCTCGTTCCTGTTGCTTTCGCAGCAAGGTATCCAGTTTTCCCTCTATCTCATGTCGAGATTGCCCCTGAGCCGGCATGGGTTCGTTACTGGACTCCTTCAGGCGATCCTGGGCCAAATTAATAAGTGACTTCATATTGATAGCCCCGTCCATTTCTAGCATGCTGCAGGTCTGCTCCGTGTCTCCAAAGTTGTTAACCAGGGCGATGTACTTGTGCCGGGTAAGTAGTGCTGCCCGCATGTTTTTCCACCGGCTGCCGTACACGGATCCGTAAAAGTCATCAAAGTTCTCCAGCGCCCTGTCGCAGTTGTTCTTCTTGTTCTGCAGGACATTCCATCGTTTTTTGGCCCCACTCTTCCATCTTCTTTGCAGCAGAACAATGCTGCGTACTTTTAACATTTTAACTTTCACAACTGTTTTGCAACTGATGTCCAATGCCTCAATGGGCTATCGAGCTTCGATTAATGTGGCGGCAAGGTTATCGGAATTCAAAATTTGATAAGAAATGAAGGTTAAATTTATTTCTTTCGTTATGGAAACAGATCCCAGCAAGTTTTCCTCCCCAAATAAGAAAATATTGAAAATCGATACGAAACATACAGTGGAAGAATTAAACAATTTTATTTTACAGGTGGTTTTTACTGAGCCTCGATGACCAATGTATATTTGCAAGCTTTAAATTAAAGGTTTCGAAATACATCCTTTGAATTAGTATTAACTATTTTAAAGACACTACTTTGAATTAATATTATCAAAGTTATCGAAACTACAATTTAAGTTGGTTATTTTCTTCAGCGTGATGTTCTCATCCTCGTTTTTTTCGTTTTTGTTCCAGGATTGCTCTTTTCCAGAACCAAAAATAATTAAGACCAGGAACGTGATAGCGAACAATGCTATTTTAAATCCGAAAATGATACGGTGGGTTTCAATGCTTTTCTAGAATTCAAAAATATTCGAATTTAGGGTTTGAAAAGTCATAGAGAAAGCTTTCTTACTTGTTCGGCAATCACAAACTTCATAGATAAGAAAACCAAAGAGCTGGTAACATAAGCCGCAGAGTTAGTTAGCGCCACCAGGGTTCCGGCGAAGTTCGGGGCAATGTCGACGTGGTTAGAAAGGAAACATGGGAACATGGCTTCCATGGACACAAATCCCACCGACATTATGGTCACAGCACCGTTTTGAAGGTATCCAATACAGAAAAGAAAGATCAGACAAGCTCCAGGAATGAATAAGAATATAGCAGTTGTTATTTTCCGTGCACAGGTGGCACTAACCTTTCCCTTGTTTTGGAGGCAGTAGAGCAATATGCTGAAGCCAATACTGAATATAACTGTGAAGGAATATAACCCTAAAAGTGGTGCCTCGAAATTGATATCAAGGGCCTGCTTCATGTAGTCCGAAGTCTGGATGAGGTATGGCCAATGGTTTAATTCGTAACAAGTGTGGGCAATCAGAATGGCCCAGAATGGAACAGATGTAAAGACCTTCTTCCATGGCACAGCCGGGTGGTGGTCTTCCTGTAATTCCGTGCCAAGAGAGCTATTGATCATTTGCCGTTCCTCGGGACTTATGAACCGCTGCTTGTTGGGATTATCCTGAACGAAAATAATCCAGAGAACCATCCAAATGCAGCCAAGTGGACCCATCACGTAGAAGACTGATTCCCAGCCCGACTGCTCGGAAAGAACACCGGCCAACGGAATGGAGAGATTGGTGCCCACGTAGATGATGGCGGACATAACCATTCGTTCGGTGGGTGGGGCCCAGGAGGCAATCATGACGTGCATAGCCGGAAAAGAGGCACCACCAACGATTCCCTCCATAACTCTCATCAGGATATGTCCGCCGAAATGGAATTCGGTGAGCACCGGAGTCAACAGGGTGCAGACCAGATTGATTGCCACGGAGAACAACATTACCCACTTGGCCGAGTATTTCTCAGCGACGCGGGCCAGTGGAATCTGTGAGACAACATATACACAGTAGTAGGAAAGGACGACATACACGGCAATATACGGCTTATCATCGTGCACCATTTGCGCCATTATTATTCCATAGATGTTAAGGCCATAGACGATGGCGATGCCAATGGATCCCAGTACGGCAAAAACGTAGCGGAAAGGCACATATTCTGGAAATTAAAAGGGCTTTATTGTTGAATGGTACATAATATAATCAGGAGTTGATAAATAATTTTATCTTGTTGAGAAACTTAAATCAAATTTTATGCCTTTTTATATTATCTACATATGTATTTCTGGGTATATTGTATTCAAATACTTTGTTTTAGGACCAGCAATACTCACTGCAAAAAATACTGCTTTTGGGAGCCACTTCTGCCGGCATCTTGGAGATAATTTAAATTTTTGTATTGCTTTTTAAAAGTCTTAAAAGCTTATCACCAATTTTTTTCAAACAAAATAAAATTTATCAATTAATAAACAAATTCCAACGCGTGTGTTGCTACAGACGGTTGGTTTCCAACTGAAACGCCATGCTCAAACGAAATTGGATAGAATTATGCGTCTGTAATTTAACACAGAACTTGATAAATATTTTCACTATATTTTAATCTTTTATCAAGTGTTTTTTTTTCAAAGAATTTTTATATATTGTTTTCTGATTATTACAAGGTTACAAACGATTGAAAATTAAGGGGGGACATCTGAGTAGAATTTTGAAAAAATCGAAAATTTTTTTTTTTCGCTTAAAAAATTCTTTAGGGTCTTAATAATGACATATCAAAAGATAGAGTCCGGCAAAAGTGTCTAAGTGTCGAAATGTTCCATTCTGCGACGATGCTTCACAGGTATATCCCACAGTACTTAAAACTTTAAACGCGTTTTTCTCGAAACCACTTTTTTTGGGTTGGCCGAACACCTAACTCGAACAACTCTTAACCTATCGATCTAAAATTTTAACAGTATACTCAGAATATCTATGTCTATCGACACACGTTTTTTTTTATTTTGCTTAAAAAAAATGGAAAATTTTGTTCAATCACTTGCCATTTTGGAAAAAATCAATATATCGAAAAAATCCTACGTGTGTCGATAGCCGTTGAGATAAAGAAACTAACCAAACTTGATTTTTTGTTCTAGATCAAAAATTAAGGACGTTAGGTGTTCGGCCATGGACCCCCTTTAAAAAAATAGGGCCTACGAATAATGGCTGCAGGGCCGCCATTTTGTTTTCGATTTATTAAAAAAAAAATTTTTGTGTAGTTTAAATATAATATAATAAAACCCCATTTACAAATTTTCGATTAGCTGTTTTGATTTGGCCAAAAAAAAATTCGAGAAAAACCGTTTTTTTTTGGCCTGTTACTCAGATGTCCCCCCTTAAGCTTAAATAGTTAAATACCTTTTAACTTAGGAGGAGGTTACTAATGTGAGATTCTGAGAGAGATACTTAAAATATCGGATAAAGTTAGACGATTCTAATGTGAGTTTCAGTATAAGAACAAAAAATTATTTTGTCCGCCGAATGTATGAAATACAAAAAATATTATAATACCTTCTGTAAGAGTATAATGAAACGTCTTAAGATAAGGAATCGAGAGCAGGAAATTTCAAAATGTTTGGGTATTTCGGCGAAAAGTAAAACAGTAAGAAAAAAAAATATTTGTCAAAACCATCTAATTTGTTTAAAATTTGTTATTTGTTTACTTCTAATGTTAAAGAAGTATACATACATCTTCCATAATGTGATGGTTCTACATGACATCTCAGTTGATTTCGTGAAAATATTGATCTGAAAAATGAGAGTGCCTTCCAAATTAAAAATGATAACAAATTTATTTTCTGTTATTAAATTTGTTTTACAATTATTTGACCAACTCATGAAAAAATAGAATAGATTCTTGAAATAGAATTTTCAATATAGTCACCAAATATAAATAAATATAGTTATACAATCTTGTTCAAAAGGCACTGCATAAGTCATTCGTAACACTTATTTGCAATAATTATAAAGTTATCGTAACAAGGACTTAAAATTATTTATTTTCCCAAGCGGAATCTGTTCATCTTCGTTTTCTTCAGGTGTCTTATTCCAGGACTGTTCCTTTCCTGAACCGAACTTCACAAATACCACGAATTCGACGGCGAACAAAAATATGGTTACCCCAAAAATGATGTGCCAACCTCCAATGCTCTTCTGGAAATTCACAGATAAACGAATTAAGTTGAGGAAAAAGCATAGAAATGTATCTCTTACATATCCGTCGGTAATAAGCGCCACAAAGATTGGTACCACAATGCCAGGAAGAATTGCCACAGTGTTAGTCAATGCCACTAGATTTCCGGCGTATTTGGGGGCAATGTCTATGTGATTGGTCAGGAAACCCGGAATCTTGGCGGTCATGGCCAAAATTCCCACCGTCATTACGGCTACAGCCTCGTCTTGTTGGCATCCAATAAAGCAGAGAATGATTAGACAAGCTCCAGGAACTAAGGAGCTAACAGATGTAGCTATTTTTCGGGCACCGGTGGCGCTAATCTTGCCCTTTATTTGAAGGCAGTGTAGTATTATTCCAAGGCTAATCAAAAAGATAATCATGTTGGAGTATAACGTAGCACTTATGGTCGCATTGCGGTCCACATTGAACTTGAGGATGTACTTTATGTAGAACGGAATTTCGACAAGGAACATATGCCAGCCAAAGTTGCTGCAAGTGTGAGCAATCAGAATGGCCCAGAATGGACTGGACTTAAAGACCTTCTTCCATGGCACAGCCGGGTGGTGGTCTTCGTTTACTTCAGTGCCCAGAGACCTGTTGATCATCTGTCGCTCCTCGGGACTGATGAATCGCTGCTTGTTGGGATTATCCTGAATGAGAATTAGCCAAAGACCTATCCAAATGTAGAAGAAAGCACCCGTCACGTAGAAAACTGATTCCCAACCCCATCGCTCTAAAACAAACTCGCCTATCAGGATGGATAGAGCTGTGCCGACGAATGTGCCTACATAGACGATGGTGGACATGGCCGTGCGTTCTTTGGGTGGTGCCCAGGAGGCAATCATGACGTGCATAGCCGGGAAAGAGGCCCCTCCGCCAACTCCCTGCAGAACTCGCAGTAGAATAAGGCAGCCGGTATGCAATTTAGTTAATACCGGAGTTAGCAGGCTGCAGACCACATTGACTGCCACGGAGAAAAACATCAGCCACTTGGCGGAGAAGTTCTCAGCGATGTGCGCCAGTGGAATCTGAACGAGAAAGCCCCAGAAGTAGCAAGTCAGCAGGGTGCCCTGAAGGGTTGGGTCCCAATCGAATGGTCCATCTTTCCTGAGATTTAAGATTGTCGAATTACTCAAAGTTTTCAAATAATCTGTATATAATGGTATTTCATATATTGCTGTATGGTTTACCATGGCATCCATTGCCACGTTGAGATTCACACGATGGCAAGAGACGATGGCCATCCCAATAGATCCCAAGACGGCCATTACGCACCGGGCGGGTACATATTCTGAAAGTAAAAATTTAAAATAAATCGTGACTTGTTGTAAATATAGGTCATGTTAACTGATATGTAGTTAAATTTTTTGAATCGAATCTCGCGGTTTATTTTGGTATTTCGATTTTTTATTTTTATTTTCGATATATTGGATGAAAAAATACTATTCCAAAACTTTTTAGGGCGTCAATACTCACTGCCTAAAATGCTGCCTTTGGCAACAACTTCCGCTGGCATCTTTTAAAAACCTCACGTTTGATCTTGAGAATCAATTTTCTTACTGTTTATTGAAAAAAAGTTATTAAAAATTATTTTTACGCAAAATACGAGTGTCAAATAACCCGATTCCAACACGTGCGTTTCAACAGAAGGTTGTTCGCCAATTAAAACGGCTGTCTGGAATAGAATAGATAGACAATAGATTGCCTAAAATTTATCGGTTGTTTTGTGCAGTATTTTTATTTATTTTGTATAATTTAGTTTTGTAAGATAGTTATATAAGCGCAAGTAAATTTAGTGTTTGTGTTTGTGAATTTTCATAAATAGGCGGTAAAAATTAATAACCGCCCGTTTATTAAAAAATCAAAAATTCAACGTTCAATTATTCGAAACGGGTGCATAAAATAGTTTTAATGCAAATAGTATACAGTTTTAAAACATATCATATCTAATCTTTTCATAACTTCTTGTATGATGATTTGACTTATTTCTATTTAATTTTTTTTTTTTAATTGAAAAGACTTAACGGTTTACACAAAGTCTTTATCGAGTTGTGTTATTCAATATGCTTATCGAGGCGGCAAAGTGGCTGAAATTCAAAATTTTAGTTCTAAAATTTTCAATTTTGGAGATGAAGTTGGAAATCATTTGACAAATTGGAATGCTGTAAATATTGAATACACACTTATTTTTTATAACTATTCAATAGATACTTTAGTGTTTTTATTATATAGCCTGTTCTCTTCGGGCCTTGAAATTGATGTTTGATACCAAGGAGCTGCTCCTTGATGTAGACCGAGACGTTAATGTATATAAAATGGCCAAATTCGTAACAAGAGCAAGGAATGGCAAAGAACGGAGTGAACATAAATATCTTCTTCCATGGCACCGCCGGAGCGGAGTTCCTTAGGAAATAATTTGGAGTTGATAAAAACAAGAAATTATGGCTATGTCGAGCTCTTTCACCCACACTTAAACTAACCTTTAAAGTTATGGATTCTCAGCAAAACAGTTTTTGTTGCTCGATTAAAAAAACTCTGAAACAATTCAGTAGGGCATCAGATTAAAAAGGCATTAAGCATTGGAATAGTTTGACATCAAAACATTTTTTGAAAATATTTTTAACAGGCGTTACAACAAGAACGAAAGTGGGCATGACAACATTTTGACACAAACTTGATCCTCGTGGATACCATAGTAGTCCAAGTTCCTATCAGATAATTCTATCCGAGATCCACGCGTTCAAAATTGTAAAACTGTAGTTTGGCTGAATTTTGTTTTCAAAAAGTTTTTCAAAATGCCTTTCTGTTCTAGAGCTATATAAAAATGCCGGACGGACGGATGGACAGACGGACATGGCTAAATCGAAGAATAGCTGACTAAGAATATAAATACTGTATGGGGTCAGAGATGGTTCCATTGCCTGGGTCTAGATGAAATATATTGATGAATATATATAACGTTCAAATACTTTTTAATGGGAAAGCCATACTCACTGCATAAAATATTTCCTTTGGCAGTAACTTCCTCTGGCAGCTTGGAAATAATTGTTTTCTGAAAAACTTTAAGATTTAATCCCAAAATTTGTTTACATATAATAAAAATACTCAACTGATAAACCAATTCAACGCGTGTTGGGCTACAGAAGGGGTCCATCGCCAACTGACATGAATTGGACCTTGAATTTAATACAGAACTTGAACACTTGACTACGAACTTGATAATATTTTTTTACAATATTTTAATCTTTTAGGAAGAGTTTTTTTTCGGGGATGTAATCATTATAAGTTTTATTCCAGTACTGAAACAAAATATTGTTCGAAACCATCCATCGAACTTGTTTATTTATTCTTATAAACCTTTCATAATTTGAGGGTTTCACATCATATCTCAGTTTGGCCTGAAAAATGAGAGTATCTTCTACATTAAAAATGAAAATAGATTTTTATTTTCTGTATATCTTAAATATATGGGCATCAAAAATAATCCAAAACATCTTGTTCAAAAGGCACTTAAGTAGTCACACGTAGCACTTATTTGCAATAATATTTCTTAAGATATCGTAACTAGGATTTTAATTTATTTATTTTCCTAAGCGGAATCTGTTCATCTTCGTTTTCTTCAGGTGACTTATTCCAGGATTGTTCTTTTCCTGAACCGAACTTCACAAATACCAGGAATTCGACGGCGAACAATAATATGGTTAATCCAAATATGATATTCCAACCTCTAACGCTCTCCTGGAAATACAAAAATAAGTGAAATAAGGAGAGAAAATAGCACAAAAAAGGATCTCTTACAAATCCCGCGGTAAAAATCATCACAAAGATTGGTACCACAATGTCAGGAAGAATAGCCACAGTGTTAGTCAATGCCACTAGAGTTCCGGCGAATTTAGGGGCAATGTCGATGTGATTAGTCAGAAAACCCGGAAACTTGGAGCTCATGGCCAAAATTCCCACCGTCATTACGGCTACAGCGTCGTCTTGTTGGCATCTAACAAACCAAAGAATGATTAGACAAGCTCCAGGAACTAAGGAGCAAACAGATGTAGCTATTTTTCGGGCACCGGTGGCGCTAATCTTGCCCTTTATTTGAAGGCAGTGCAGTATTATTCCAAGGCTAATTAAAAAGATAATCATGTTGGAGTATGACGTAGCACTTATGGTCTCATTAACGTCCACGTTAAACTGAAGGATGTAATCAAAGTAGTTCGGAATCCCGAAAAGGAATATATTCCAGCCAAAGTTGCTGCAGGTGTGAGCAATCAGAATGGCCCAGAATGGACTGGACTTAAAGATCTTTTTCCATGGTACCGCCGGGTGGTGGTCTTCGTGTACTTCAGTGCCCAAAGACCTGTTGATCATCTGTCGCTCTTCGGGACTGATGAATCGCTGCTTGTTGGGATTATCCTGAATGAGAATTAGCCATAGACCTATCCAAATGTAGCTGAAAGCACCCGTCACGTAGAACACTGATTCCCAACCCCATCGCTCTAAAACAAACTCGCCTATCAGGATGGATAGAGCTCTTCCGACGAATGTGCCTACATAGACGATGGTGGACATGGCCGTGCGTTCTTTGGGTGGTGCCCAGGAGGCAATCATGACGTGCATAGCCGGGAAAGAGGCCCCTTCGCCGACTCCCTGGAGAACTCGCAATAGGATAAGGCAGCCGGTGTGCAATTTAGTTAATACCGGAGTTAGCAGGCTGCAGACCACATTGACTGCCACGGAGAAAAACATCAACCACTTGGCGGAGAAGTTCTCAGCGATGCGCGCCAGCGGAATCTGAACGAAAAGCCCCCACATGTAGCAAACCAACAGGGTGCCCTGCTGGGGTGTGTCCCAAGCGAATGGTCCATCTTCCCTGAGATTACTTAAAGTTTCCAAATTATCTGTATATAGTGGTCTTTCATGGATTGCTGTATAATTTACCATGGCCTTCATTGCCACGTTGAGATTCACTTTAAGGCAACAGACGATGGCCATCCCAATAGATCCCAAGACGGCCATTACGCAGCGGGCGGGTACATATTCTGGAAGTAAATAATGTCAGATTATTTTATAATAAACCTAAATTATTTTATATTAATCGTGACTGGTTATAAATATTATTAATTTTAACTGAGGTCTTGTTAAAATTTTTCGAATCTCGAATCGAATCTCGCGGCGGTTTATTTTGGTATTTTTTCGATATATTGGATGGAAAAATACTATTCGAAAATTTGTTGGGATCGACAATACTTACTCCCTAAAATGCTGCCTTTGGCCACAACTTCCGCTGGCATCTTTAAGATACTTAAAGTTTGATCTTGAAAATCAATTTGCTTACTGTTTATTTAAAAACAACTTTAAAACTTATTTACGAAGTTTTTCACACAAAATCCGAATATCAAATAACCCGATTCCAACACGTGCGTTTCAACAGAAGGTTGTTCGACAATTAAAACGGCTTGCTGGAATAGAATAGATAGACAATAGATTGCCTAAAATTTATCGGTTGTTTTGTGCAGTATTTTTATTTATTTTGTATAATTTAGTTTTGTAAGATAGTTATATAAGCGCAAGTAAATTTAGTGTTTGTGTTTGTGAATTTTCATAAATAGGCGGTAAAAATTAATAACCGCCCGTTTATTAAAAAATCAAAAATTCAACGTTCAATTATTCGAAACGGTTGCAAAAATAGCTTAAATGCAAATAGTATACAGTTTTAAAACATATCATATCTAATCTTTTCATAAATTCTTGATGATTTGACTTATTTCTCTTCAATTTTTTTGTTTTTTAAATTGAAAAGACTTAACGGTTTACACAACGTCTTTATCGAGTTGTGTTATTCAATATGCTTATCGAGGCGGCAGTCCTCCATTCCCTTTATGCTGAGAGCGGGCATGTACTCGTATAAGCCGCCAGTGCCAAACTGGGGGTCTACTAAACGATTTTCATCTAGCCGGACATCTTCCTCCAGAGCCTTGGTTAAGCTCTGTTCGAACGGTAGCCTTTCCTGAAGCTGATCTGTTTGCTTTTCCTCTATGTTATCAAACTTTAATTGCTGTGGCAATGTACCAGAGAGACCATCCTCTCCGAGGCTGGGATAAATCGAGGAGACCTCTCGTTCCTGTTGCTTTCGCAGCAAGGTATCCAGTTTTCCCTCTATCTCATGTCGAGATTGCCCCTGAGCCGGCATGGGTTCGTTACTGGACTCCTTCAGGCGATCCTGGGCCAAATTAATAAGTGACTTCATATTGATAGCCCCGTCCATTTCTAGCATGCTGCTGGTCTGCTCCGTGTCTCCAAAGTTGTTAACCAGTGCGATGTACTTGTGCCGGGTAAGTAGTGCTGCCCGCATGTTTTTCCACCGGCTGCCGTACACGGATCCGTAAAAGTCATCAAAGTTCTCCAGCGCCCTGTCGCAGTTGTTCTTCTTGTTCTGCAGGACATTCCATCGTTTTTTGGCCCCACTCTTCCATCTTCTGTGCAGCAGGACAATGCTGCGTAATTTTAACATTTTAACTTTCACAACTGTTTTGCAACTGATGTCCAATGCCTCAATGGGCTATCGAGCTTCGATTAATGTGGCGGCAAGGTTATCGGAATTCAAAATTTGATAAGAAATTAAGGTTAAATTTATTTCTTTCGTTATGGAAACAGATCCCAGCAAGTTTTCCTCCCCCAATAAGAAAATATTCAAAATCGATACGAAACATACAGTTGAAAATTTAAACAATTTTATTTTACAGGTGGTTTTTACTGAGCCTTAATGACCCCTGTATTGTTTGCAAGCTTTAAATTAAAGGTTTCGAAATACATCCTTTGAATTAGTATTAACTATTTTAAAGACACTACTTTGAATTAATATTATCAAAGTTATCGAAACTACAATTTAAGTTGGTTATTTTCTTCAGCGTGATGTTCTCATCCTCGTTTTTTTCGTTTTTGTTCCAGGATTGCTCTTTTCCAGAACCAAAAATAATTAAGACCAGGAACGTGATAGCGAACAATGCTATTTTAAATCCGAAAATGATACGGTGGGTTTCAATGCTTTTCTAGAATTCAAAAATATTCGAATTTAGGGTTTGAAAAGTCATAGAGAAAGCTTTCTTACTTGTTCGGCAATCACAAACTTCATAGATAAGAAAACCAAAGAGCTGGTAACATAAGCCGCAGAGTTAGCTAGCGCCACCAGGGTTCCGGCGAAGTTCGGGGCAATGTCGACGTGGTTAGAAAGGAAACATGGGAACATGGCTTCCATGGACACAAATCCCACCGACATTACGGTCACAGCACCGTTTTGAAGGTATCCAATACAGCAAAGAAAGATCAGACAAGCTCCAGGAATGAATAAGAATATAGCAGTTGTTATTTTCCGTGCACAGGTGGCACTAACCTTTCCCTTGTTTTGGAGGCAGTAGAGCAATATGCTGAATATAACTGTGAAGGAATATAACCCTAAAAGTGGTGCCTCGAAATTGATATCAAGGGCCTGCTTCATGTAGTCCGAAGTCTGGATGAGGTATGGCCAATGGTTTAATTCGTAACAAGTGTGGGCAATCAGAATGGCCCAGAATGGAACAGATGTGAAGACCTTCTTCCATGGCACAGCCGGGTTTTTGTCTTCCTTTAATTCCGCGCCAAGAGAGCTATTGATCATTTGCCGTTCCTCGCGACTAATGAACCGCTGCTTGTTGGGATTATCCTGAACGAAAATAATCCAGAGAACCATCCAAATGCAGCCAAGAGGACCCATCACGTAGAAGACTGATTCCCAGCCCGACTGCTCGGAAAGAACACCGGCCAACGGAATGGAGAGATTGGTGCCCACGTAGATGATGGCGGACATAACCATTCGTTCGGTGGGTGGGGCCCAGGAGGCAATCATGACGTGCATAGCCGGAAAAGAGGCTCCACCAACGATTCCCTCCATAACTCTCATCAGGATATGTCCGCCGAAATGGAATTCGGTGAGCACCGGAGTCAACAGGGTGCAGACCAGATTGATTGCCACGGAGAACAACATTACCCACTTGGCCGAGTATTTCTCAGCGACGCGGGCCAGTGGAATCTGTGAGACAACATATACACAGTAGTAGGAAAGGACGACATACACGGCAATATACGGCTTATCATCGTGCACCATTTGCGCCATTATTATTCCATAGATGTTAAGGCCATAGACGATGGCGATGCCAATGGATCCCAGTACGGCAAAAACGTAGCGGAAAGGCACATATTCTGGAAATTAAAAGGGCTTTATTGTTGAATGATACATAATATAATTAGGAGTTGATTAATAATTTTATCTTGTTGAGAAACTTAGATCAAATTTCATGCCTTTTTATATTATCTACATATTTCTGGGTATATTGTATTCAAATACTTTGTTATAGGACCAGCAATACTCACTGAAAAAAATACTGCTTTTGGCAGCAACTTCTGCTGGCATCTTGGAGATAATTTTAATTTTTGTATTGCTTTTTGAAAATTGTGAAAGCTTATCACCAATTTTTTTCAAACAAAATAAAATTTCTCAACTAATAAACAAATTCCAACGCGTGTGTTGCTACAGAAGGTTGGTTTCCAACTGAAACGCCTTGCTCCAACGAAATTGGATAGAATTATGCGTCTGTAATTTAACACAGAACTTGATAAATATTTTCACTATATTTTAATCTTTTATCAAGTGTTTTTTTTTCAAAGAATTTTTATATATTGTTTTCTGATTATTACAAGGTTACAAACGATTGAAAATTAAGCTTAAATAGTTAAATACCTTTTAACTTAGGAGGAGGTTACTATTGTGAGATTCTGAGAGAGATACTTAAAATATCGAATAAAGTTAGACGATTCTAATGTGAGTTTCAGTATGAGAACCAAAAATTATTTTGTCCGCCGAATTTATGAAATACAAAAAATATTATAATACCCTCTGTAAAAGTATAATGAAACGACTCCAGATAAGGAATCGAGAGCATGAAACTTCAAAATGTTTGGGTATTTCAGCGAGAAGTAAAACAGTAAGAAGAAAAAAATATTTTTCAAAACCATTTAATTTGTTTAAAATTTGTTATTTGTTTACTTTTAATGTTTAAGAAGTATGCATGTTCCATAATGTGATGATTCTACATGATATCTTAGTTGCTTTCGCGAAAATATTGATCTGAAAAACAAGAGTGCCTTCTAAATTAAAAATGATAAATTTATTTTCTGTTATTAAATTTGTTTTACATTTATTTGACCAACTCATGAGAAAATAGAATCAATTCTAGAAATAGAATTCTCAAATATATAGACACCAAATATAATCAAATATAGTAATACAATCTTGTTCAAAAGGCACTGCATAAGTCATACGTAGCACTTATATGCAATAATTACAAAGTTATCTTAACAAGGATTTAAAATTATTTATTTTCCTAAGCGGAATCTGTTCATCTTCGTTTTCTTCAGGTGTCTTATTCCAGGACTGTTCCTTTCCTGAACCGAACTTCACAAATACCACGAATTCGACGGCGAACAAAAATATGGTTACCCCAAAAATGATGTGCCAACCTCCAATGCTCTTCTGGAAATTCACAGATAAACGAATTAAGTTGAGGAAAAAGCATAGAAATGTATCTCTTACATATCCGTCGGTAATAAGCGCCACAAAGATTGGTACCACAATGCCAGGAAGAATTGCCACAGTGTTAGTCAATGCCACTAGATTTCCGGCGTATTTGGGGGCAATGTCTATGTGATTGGTCAGGAAACCCGGAATCTTGGCGGTCATGGCCAAAATTCCCACCGTCATTACGGCTACAGCCTCGTCTTGTTGGCATCCAATAAAGCAGAGAATGATTAGACAAGCTCCAGGAACTAAGGAGCTAACAGATGTAGCTATTTTTCGGGCACCGGTGGCGCTAATCTTGCCCTTTATTTGAAGGCAGTGTAGTATTATTCCAAGGCTAATCAAAAAGATAATCATGTTGGAGTATAACGTAGCACTTATGGTCGCATTGCGGTCCACATTGAACTTGAGGATGTACTTTATGTAGAACGGAATTTCGACAAGGAACATATGCCAGCTAAAGTTGCTGCAAGTGTGAGCAATCAGAATGGCCCAGAATGGACTGGACTTAAAGACCTTCTTCCATGGCACAGCCGGGTGGTGGTCTTCGTTTACTTCAGTGCCCAGAGACCTGTTGATCATCTGTCGCTCCTCGGGACTGATGAATCGCTGCTTGTTGGGATTATCCTGAATGAGAATTAGCCATAGACCTATCCAAATGTAGAAGAAAGCACCCGTCACGTAGAAAACTGACTCCCAACCCCATCGCTCTAAAACAAACTCGCCTATCAGGATGGATAGAGCTGTGCCGACAAATGTGCCAACGTAGACGATGGTGGACATGGCCGTGCGTTCTTTGGGTGGTGCCCAGGAGGCAATCATGACGTGCATAGCAGGGAAAGAGGCCCCACCGCCGACTCCCTGCAGAACTCGCAGTAGAATAAGGCAGCCGGTATGCAATTTAGTTAATACCGGAGTTAGCAGGCTGCAGACCACATTGACTGCCACGGAGAAAAACATCAGCCACTTGGCGGAGAAGTTCTCAGCAATGCGCGCCAGCGGAATTTGAAAGAGAAAGCCCCAGAAGTAGCAAGTCAGCAAAGTGCCCTGCAGGTTTGGGTCCCAATCGAATGGTCCATCTTTCCTACGATTTGAGATTGTCGAATTACTCAAAGTTTTCGAATAAGCTGTATAAGATAGGTTTTCATGGATGGCTGTATGATTTACCATAGCCACCATTGCCACGCCGAGATTTACATTTTGGTAATAGACGATGGCCATCCCAATGGATCCCAAGACGGCCATGACGCAGCGGGCGGGTACATATTCTGGAAGTAAAAATTTAAAATAAAACGTGACTTGTTGTAAATATAAACTTTTTTGAATCGAATCTAGCGGATTATTTTTGTATTTCGATTTTTTATTTTTATTTTCGATATATTGGATGAAAAAATACTACTCCAAAACTTTTTGGGAGCGTCAATACTCACTGCCTAAAATGCTGCCTTTGGCAACAACTTCCGCTGGCATCTTTTAGATACCCCACGTTTGATCTTGAGAATCAATTTGCTTACTGTTTATTTAAAAACAACTTTAAAAATTAAAAATTAAAAATTTTTCACACAAAATCCGAATATTAAATAACCCGATTCCAACACGTGCGTTGCCACAGAAGGTTGTTCGCCAATTAAACGTCTTGCTTAGGAAAAAAAGCTCTGAAGCAATTCAGTAGGGCCTCAGATTAAAAAGGCATTAGGCATTGGAATAGTTTGGCATAAAAACATTTTCCAAAAATTATTTTATACAGGCGTTACAACAATGACAAAAGTGGGCGTGACAACATTTTGACACAAACTTGATCCTCGTGGATACCATAGTAGTCCAAGTTCCTATCAGATACTTCTATCCGAGATCCACGCGTTCAAACGCAATTTGTCGGGACCAGGAGAGGGCATGACAAAATTGAACTGCGTATTATAGGAGTCTTCTTGCTAAATCCTATAGCTCTACATGTTCATACAGACAGACGGACGGACAAATGGACAGACGGACATGGCTAAATCGAAGAATAGCTGACTAAGAATATAAATACTGTATGGGGTCAGAGATGGTTCCTTCTCAATGATGCATACGAATATAATTACCAATGGCTGGGTCTAGATGAAATAATATATATTGGATGAATATAAATATATAAAGTTTAAATACTTTCTAATGGGAAGAGCCATACTCACTGCATAAAATATTTCCTTTCGCAGGAACTTCCTCTGGCAGATTCGAAATAATTTTAATTTTTGTATTGTTTTCTGAAAAACTTTAAAAGTTAATCCCGAACTCTTTTTACACAAATTAAAAATGCTCAACTGATAAACCAATTGAAACGCGTGTTGGGCTACTTCAGAAGGGGTCCATCGCCAACTGACACGAATTGGACCTTGAATTTAATACAGAACTTGATAACACTTATTTTTATACCCTTGAAGAGGGTATTATAATTTTGTCCAAAAGTGTGCAACGCAGTGAAGGAGACATCTCCGACCCTATAAAGTATATATATTTTTGATCAGGATCACCTCCTGAGTTGATATGAGCATGTCCGTCTGTCCGTCTGTCTGTCCGTCTGTCTGTCTGTCCGTTTCTACGCGAACTAGTCTCTCAATTCAGCTATCGTCTTGAAACTTTGCACACACCCTTCTTTTCTTTGCACGCAGTATATAAGTCGGAACGGCCCGGATCGGCTCACTATATCTTATAGCTGCCATATAACTGAACGATCGGAAATGACCCAACTTTCGCTTTTTTGAAGATAGAAAGCTGAAACTTAGTACATATTCTATTTTTGGTCAGCCAATCCAACCTGCCAAATTTCATTAGAATCGGCCGACTATATCCTATAGCTGCCATAGAACTGAACGATCGGAAATGGTTTTTGGTAGAAATACCAACTTTGGTACTTTTGAAGATAGAAGTTTGGGACTTTTTTTTAGATTTTTTATTGTAGTTTATTGGTTTTATTATGATTTAATCATAAGAATCGGTTTGCGATATATATCCGGTTTTAACTGCAAGGGTATATCAACTTCGGCTCCGCCCGAAGTTAGCTTTCCTTTCTTGGTTAAAATATTTTAATCTTTTAGGAAGAGTTTTTTTTCGGGGATGTAATCATTATAAGTTTTATTCCAGTACTGAAACAAAATATTGTTCGAAACCATCGAACTTGTTTATTTATTCTTATTATTCTTATAAGCCTTTCATAATTTGAGGGTTTCACATCATATCACACTTTGACAGAAATATTGGCCTGAAAAATGAGAGTATCTTCTACATTGAAAATGAAAATAGATTTTTCTTTTCTGTATATCTTAAATATATGGGCATCAAAGATAATCCAAAACATCTTGTTCAAAAGGCACTGTAACTAGTAATACGTAGCACTTATTTGCAATAATATTTCTAAAGATATCGTAACTAGGATTTTAATTTATTTATTTTCCTAAGCGGAATCTGTTCATCTTCGTTTTCTTCAGGTGTCTTATTCCAGGACTGTTCTTTTCCTGAACCGAACTTGAGGAATACCAGGAATTCGACGGCGAACAATAATATGGTTAATCCAAATATGATATTCCAACCTCTAACGCTCTCCTGGAAATACAAAAATAAGTGAAATAAGGAGAGTAAAAAGCACAAAAAAGGATTTCTTACAAATTCTGTGGTAAAAAGCGCCTCAAATATTGGTATCACAATACCAGGAAGAATACCCGCAGCGTAAGTCAATGCCATTAGAGTTCCGGAGAATTTGGGGGCAATGTCGATGTGATTAGTCAGGAAACCCAGAAACCTGGCGCTCATGGCCAAAATTGCAATCGCAATTACGGCTACAACGTCGTCTTGTTGGCATCTAACAAACCAAAGAATGATTAGACAAGCTCCAGGAACTAAGGAGCAAACCGAGGTAGCTATTTTTCGGGCACCGGTGGCGCTAATCTTGCCCTTCATTTCAAGGCAGTGAAGTATTGTTCCAAGGCTTATCGAAAGGATAACGTAGCACGTAGAGAATGACGTAGCACTTATCACATTAACGTCCACGTTAAACTTAAAGATGTAATTAAAGTAGTACGGAATCTCAAAAATGAATATATTCCAGCCAAAGTTGGTGCAAGTGTGAGCAATCAGAATGGCCCAGAATGGACTGGACTTCAACACCTTCTTCCATGGTACCGCCGGGGGGTGGTCTTCGTTTACTTCAGTGCCCAGAGACCTGTTGATCATCAGTCGCTCCTCGGGACTGATGAATCGCTGCTTGTTGGGATTATCCTGAATGAGAATTAGCCATAGACCTATCCAAATGCAAATAAAAGCACCCGTCACGTAGAAAACTGATTCCAAACCCCATCGCTCTAAAACAATCTCGTCTATCAGGATGGAGAGAGCTGTGCCGACGAATGTGCCTACATAGACGATGGTGGACATGGCCGTGCGTTCTTTGGGTGGTGCCCAGGAGGCAATCATGACGTGCATAGCCGGGAAAGAGGCCCCTTCGCCGATTCCCTGCAGAACTCGCAGTAGAATAAGGCAGCCGGTATGCAATTTAGTAAATGCCGGAGTTAGCAGGCTGCAGACCACATTGACTGCCACGGAGAAAAACATCAACCACTTGGCGGAAAAGTTCTCAGCGATGCGCGCCAGCGGAATAAGAACGAGAGAGCCTAAAAAGTAGCAAGCCATCAGGGTGCCTTGCAGTGGGTCCCAAACGAATGGTCCATCTTTCCTAAGATTTGAGATTGTCGAATTACTTAAAGTTTCCAAATTTTCTTTATATAATGGTCTATCTTGGATTGCTGTATGATTTTCCATAGCCTCCATTGCCACGTTGAAATTCACTTTTAGGCAAAAAACGATGGCCATCCCAATGGATCCCAAGACGGCCATCACGCAGCGGGCGGGAACACATTCTGGAAGTAAATAATGTCAGATTATTTTATAATAAACTTAAAAAAATTAAAATAAATCGTGACTTGTTGTAAATATAGGTCATGTTAACTGATATGTAGTTAAATTTTTTGAATCGAATCTCGCGGTTTATTTTGGTATTTCGATTTTTTATTTTTTTTTTCGATATATTGGGTGTAAAAATACTATTCCAAAACTTTTTGGGAGCGTCAATACTCACTGCCTAAAATGCTGCCTTTGGCAACAACTTCCGCTGGCATCTTTTAAAAACTTCACGTTTAATCTTGAGAATCAATTTTCTTACTGTTTATTGAAAAAAAGTTATTAAAAATTATTTTTACGCAAAATACGAATGTCAAATAACCCGATTCCAACACGTGCGTTTCAATACAAGGGTGTTCGACAATTAAAACGGCTTGCTGGAATAGAAAAGATCGGCGATGTTTTGCCTAAAATTAATCGGTTAATTGGTGCAGTATTTTTATTTATTTTGTATAATTTAATTTTGTAAGATAATTATATAAACGCAAGTAAATTCAGTAAAAATGCAGAACCTTCCGTTTATTAAACGATCAAACATTTAAAGTTCAATTATTCAAAACGCTTGCATAAAATAGTATAAATGCATGTTTTAATATGTATTAAAACATGTATTATCTTATCTTTTCATAACTTCTTGTATGATGATTTGACTTATTTCTATTTAAATTTTTTTTTTTTATTAAAAAGACAACGGTTTACACAACGTCTTTGAAAGTGAGTTCCTTAGAGTTGCAAATTTATCGAGTTAAGTCATTCGATATGCTTATCGAGGCGGTAAAGTGGATGAAATTCAAAATTTTAGTTCTAAAATTTCAATTTTGGAGATGAAGTTTGACAAATTGGAATGTTGTAAATGTTAAATACGCACTTCTTTTTAATAACTATTGTTTGGTCATTGAGCGTTTTGAATAAAAATAATTCAGAGAACCATCCAAGAGAACCATAGAAGACTAATTGCAAGCCCCACGGCATTAAAAGAATGGGGAGAGCAGTGCCCGCGAATTTGCCATCGTAGATGATGGTGCAAATGACCCTACGTTCGATGGGTGGTCCCAGGAGGCAATTATGACTTGCCTAGCCAGTTAAAAGGCCCCACCGCCGATTCCCTTCAAAACTCGTATCAGGATAAGGTAGCCGAAATGCAGTTCGAAGAGCACCGGAGTCAACAGTGTGGTTGTTAAGTTAATAGTGTTTAGTTTGACATCACAACATTTTTCAAAAATTATTTTAAACAGGCGTTACAACAAGGACGGAAGTGGGCATGGAAGTTTTGACACAAACTTGATCCTCGTGGATACCATAGTAGTCCAAGTTCCTATCAGATAATTCTATCCGTACTGTAGTTCTACTTCTACTATAGTTTGGCTGAATTTTGTTTTCAAAAAGTTTTTCAAAATGCTTTCCTGTTCTAGCGCTACAGAAAAATGCAATTTTTGGGGAACGGGAGAGGGCGTGGCAAAAATTTAAAATTGAACTGCATATTATAGGAGTCTTTATGCCAAAATCGAAGAATGAATCGGCTAAATCGAAGAATAGCTGATTAAGAAAATAAATACTTTATGGGGTCAGAGATGGTTCCTTCTCTATGATACATACGAATATAATACCATTGTCTGGGTCTAGATGAAATATATTGAATGAATATAAGAATATTACGTTCAAATACTTTTTAATGGGAAAGCCATACTCACTGCATAAAATATTTCTTTTGGCAGTAACTTCTTCTGGCAGCTTGGAAGCAATTTTAATTTTTGTATTGTTTTCTGAAAAAACTTTCAAAGTTAATCCCAAAATTTTTTTACAAATAATAAAAATACTCAACTAATTAACCAATTCAAACGCGTATATGGGCTACAGAAGGGATCCATCGCCAACTGACACGAATTGGACCTTGAATTTAATACAGAACTTGATAACACTTGACTTGAACTTGATAATATTTTTTTACAATATTTTAATCTTTTAGGAAGAGTTTTTTTTCGGGGATGTAATCATTATAAGTTCCATCGAACTTGTTTATTTATTCTTATAAACCTTTCATAATTTGAGGGTTTCACATCATATCTCAGTTTGACGGAAATATTGGCCTGAAAAATGAGAGTATCTTCTACATTGAAAATGAAAATAGATTTTTCTTTTCTGTATATCTTAAATATATGGGCATCAAAGATAATCCAAAACATCTTGTTCAAAAGGCACTTAAGTAGTAATACGTAGCACTTATTTGCAATAATATTTCTAAAGATATCGTAACTAGGATTTTAATTTATTTATTTTCCTTAGCGGAATCTGTTCATCTTCGTTTTCTTCAGGTGTCTTATTCCAGGACTGTTCTTTTCCTGAACCGAACTTGACAAATACCAGGAATTCGACGGCGAACAATAATATGGTTAATCCAAATATGATATTCCAACCTCTAACGCTCTCCTGGAAATACAAAAATAAGTGAAATAAGGAGAGAAAATAGCACAAAAAAGGATCTCTTACAAATCCCGCGGTAAAAATCATCACAAAGATTGGTACCACAATGTCAGGAAGAAGAGCCACAGTGTTAGTCAATGCCACTAGAGTTCCGGCGAATTTGGGGGCAATGTCGATGTGATTAGTCAGGAAACCCGGAAACTTGGCGCTCATGGCCAAAATTCCCACCGTCATTACGGCTACAGCCTCTTCTTGTTGGCATCCAATAAAGCAAAGGATGATTAGACAAGCTCCAGGAACTAAGGAGCAAACAGATGTAGCTATTTTTCGGGCACTGGTGGCGCTAATCTTGCCCTTTATTTCAAGGCAGTGCAGTATTATTCCAAGGCTAATCAAAAAGATAATCATGTTGCAGTATGACGTAGGCCTCATGGTAGCATTAACGTCTACGTTAAACTTAAGGATGTAATTAAAGTAGTACGGAATCCCGAAAAGGAATATATTCCAGCCAAAGTTGGTGCAAGTGTGAGCAATCAGAATGGCCCAGAATGGACTGGACTTAAAGATCTTCTTCCATGGCACAGCCGGGTGGTGGTCTTCGTTTACTTCAGTGCCCAGAGACCTGTTGATCATCAGTCGCTCCTCGGGACTGATGAATCGCTGCTTGTTGGGATTATCCTGAATGAGAATTAGCCAAAGACCTATCCAAATGTAGAAGAAAGCACCCGTCACGTAGAAAACTGACTCCCAACCCCATCGCTCTAAAACAAACTCGCCTATCAGGATGGATAGAGCTGTGCCGACAAATGTGCCAACGTAGACGATGGTGGACATGGCCGTGCGTTCTTTGGGTGGTGCCCAGGAGGCAATCATGACGTGCATAGCTGGGAAAGAGGCCCCTCCGCCGACTCCCTGCAGAACTCGCAGAAGGATAAGGCAGCCGATGTGCAATTTAGTTAATACCGGAGTTAGCAGGCTGCAGACCACATTGACTGCCACGGAGAAAAACATCAGCCACTTGGCGGAGAAGTTCTCAGCGATGTGCGCCAGTGGAATCTGAACGAGAAAGCCCCAGAAGTAGCAAGTCAGCAGGGTGCCTTGCAGGCTTGGGTCCCAATCGAATGGTCCATCTTTCCTGAGATTTAAGATTGTCGAATTACTCAAAGTTTTCAAATAATCTGTATATAATGGTATTTCATGTATTGCTGTATGGTTTACCATGGCATCCATTGCCACGTTGAGATTCGCACTTTGGCAAGAGACGATGGCCATCCCAATTGATCCCAAGACGGCCATTACGCAGCGGGCGGGTACATATTCTGTAAGTAAATAATGTCAGATTATTTTATAATAAACTAAAATCATTTTATATAAATCGTGACTGGTTATAAATATTATTAATTTTAACTGAGGTCTTGTTAAAATTTTTTGAATCGAATCTCGCGGCGGTTCATTTTGGTATTTGATCGATATATTGGATGGAAAAATACTATTCGAAAATTTGTTGGGAGCGGCAATACTTACTCCCTAAAATGCTGCCTTTGGCAACAACTTCCGCTGGCATCTTTAAGATACTTAAAGTTTGATCTTGAGAATCAATTTGCTTACTGTTTATTTAAAAACAACTTTAAAATTTATTTACGAAGTTTTTCACACAAAATTCGAATATCAAATAACCCGATTCCTACACGTGCGTTGCCACAGAAGGTTGTCCGAGAATTAAAACGGCTGGAATAGATTAGAATCTAATCGTTAGATAGACAAGGTTTTGCCTAAAATTTATCGGTTGTTTGGTGCAGTATTTTTATTTATTTTTTATATTTTAATTTTGTACGATAATTATATAAGCGCAAGTAAATTCAGTGTATGTATTTGGGAATCTTCATATATATGTGGTAAATTAACAAATTAAGAACCTTCCGTTTATTAAACAATCAAACATTCAAAGTGTAATTATTCAAAACGCTAGCATGAAAATAGTATACAATTTTGAAACATATCTAACCTAGTCTTTTCATAACTTCTTGTATGATGATTTTACTTCTATTCTTTTCAACATTTTTTTAAAATATAAAAATCTTTTAACGGTTTACACATCGTCTTTGCAAGTGAGTGCCTTAGAGTTGCGAAATTATCGAGTTGTTATTATTCGATATGCTTATCGAGGCGGCAAAGTGTCTGAAGTTCAAAATTTTAGTTCTAAAATTCCAAAAATTGGAAGGGTGCAAATGTTAGGTTCGCACTTCTGTTAAATTTTCAATAGATACTTTAGTACTTTTTATTTTAAATAGCTTAGCGTGTCGGGTTCAACATTGGTCGTGTCGTGTTCTATGAAATATTTACCAATTGAAATGATAATATTGAAAATACCTATCGAATTGATGAAATCGAAAAGATGATGATATCATAGTTTCCTTAATTTCGAACTAATAATCGATACCTTTGAAGGTAACCGAAGGTTTTCTTTTAAGAACACCAAGGTATTAGTGTTTTTCAATTAGATCGGTTTAAAACAAAAACAATCTTAGAATATAATAAAATACCGATAAAAATATACCTCAAATCATCCAAGTATCAATCAAAATATTACTTATGGAATTACTTGAGACTGGTATATTTATTTGAAACCATATTACATATTCCATATTTACATATTTCCCCAATTCATATACCCAAAAATAAGGACCAAAAAAATTCCACTACGACATCAGTTTATTTTTAGACATGAATCAAGAGTGTTAAGTACATTGATCGGGCGCTGAGTTTTTAATCCGCAGAATAGTCTGTGATAACCAAGACGATGTTAGAAGTCTTTAATTCGACTCCAACATCTTAGGGTTTTAGAAAAAACTAAAAAATTACATTTTGTAGTTGGTATATACAGTCTAGTGATGACCTCTCTATTAGATGCAAGCTGTATCCAAAATACTTCGAAATAAGCAGCACTTTGAAATAATATTGACAGAGTAGTTTAATCTAGGTTTTAAGCTTGGTTATGTTCTTAAGCGGGGTCTTTTCGTCCTTGTTATTTTCTTCTGATGTCTTGTTCCAGGACTGCTCCTTTCCTGAACCGAAAATAACAAAGGCTAGAAACTCAATAGCAAACAATACTATTGTGACTCCGAAAATGATACGCCAGGCTCCAATATGTTGCTAAAAGTACAAAAAATGGTGAATTATGATATTGAAAAACGATTGAGACATCTAACTTACGTTTCCTTTGGTCACATATCCCACAAAGAGTGGCACCACAATGCCGGGAAGAGTAGCCGCAGTGTTAGTCAGGGCCACCAGGGTTCCGGCGAAGTTGGGGGCAATGTCGATGTGGTTGGATAGGAAACCCGAGAACATGGCTCCCATGGCCACAATTCCCACCGACATGACGGCCACGGCCTCGTAGTGACGGCATCCGATAAAGCAAAGAATGATCAGGCAAGCTCCGGGAATTAATGTGCAAATAGAAGTGGCGGTTTTGCGGGCAAAGGTGGTGCTGATCTTGCCCTTGGATTGGAGGCTGTCCAGCAGTTTTCCGAGGCAAATACTGAAGATAATCATGGGGAAGTATGGCATAGCACTCAGGGTCGCATTACTGGCCACATTGAACTTAAGGACCTGCTTCATGTAGAACGGAATCTCGATGAGGAACATGTACCAGCCAAAGTTGCTGCAAGTGTGAGCAATCAGGATGGCCCAGAATGGAATGGACGTAAAGACCTTCTTCCATGGCACAGCCGGGTGGTGGTCTTCCTTTACTTCCGTGCCAAGGGAGCTATTGATCATTTGCCGCTCCTCGGGACTGATGAATCGCTGCTTGTTGGGATTATCCTGAACGAGAATAATCCAGAGAACCATCCAAATGCAGCTGAGAGCACCCATCACGTAGAAGACTGATTCCCAGCCCCACTGCTCGGAGAGAACACCGGCCAACAGAATGGAGAGAGCAGTGCCGGCGGAAGTGCCCACGTAGATGATGGTGGACATGACCATGCGTTCGGTGGGTGGGGCCCAGGAGGCAATCATGACGTGCATAGCCGGGAAAGAGGCTCCACCTCCGATTCCCTCCATAACTCGCATCAGGATAAGTCCGCCGAAATGCAATTTGGTAAGCACCGGAGTCAGCAGGGTGCAGGCCACATTGATGGCCACGGAGAACAACATCACCCATTTGGCCGAGAAGTTCTCGGCGACGTGGGCCAGCGGAATCTGTGAGACCAGATAGCCCCAGAAGTAACAACTCAACAGGGTGCCCTGTAGGGGTTCGCTCCAGACAAAAGGACCATCTTGCGCGGCAGGTGCTCCAGCTCCGCTGGATTCTCCTGGCGGGAGGCACACCTCATATTCATTTGTGCTGTTTGCGTGGCTATCTGATTTGTTTGACGCGAGACGGTGGACTTCTGTATGGTTTACCATAGCCACCATTGCCACACTGAGATTCACCTTGAGGCCGTAGACGATGGCCATGCCAATGGACCCCATTATGGCCAGCACGTAGCGGGAGGGCACACATTCTGGAAGAGAGTATAGATTGATTATTTGACGATCAAATGGAATATTGTTTTGCGAAAGTGTGAAGCCAACTGAATTAGATTAATTCCGCGATATTGATTGGCCAGTTTAATTGTTGTGCGACGAGTTTCATTCAACATTGATATGGAATGCTAATGAATTCCATTTAAGCAAATTAAGGAATTAGGTTCCTGGTGGCTTCTATTCTCCCTTTTCTTTGAAATGTAAAAATAACTATTGCAAGAAGTCCAACAAGCAATTACCATAAAAGTAACACGGGAGCTATAGGAGACATGACACATTTTGGGGCTTGCTGACTGTGGCACGAGTTCCACCCAAAGTTTGGCCACTGATTAGTGGCAGTTGGGTAGGGTCAGTATATCAGTCCCTAGCACGCGCATCGATACCGCACCGATTGTAATCCACCCTCCTACTCGAGCAGTGGAGCCGCGGGGGCACCACGTCTGGCAATTATATGCGCACGTTGCGATAACAAGTCGTATAAATTTGTGGTCTTTATTTTCAATTTCACTTTCACGGCTGTCAAGAGGGGGCCTTCGGAGCTGGCAACACAATTATTTATGTTTGATAATTGCTCCATCGAAGGTGTTTGCCTTAAGGATTACCCTTATAGTGTAAACAAGTCCTTCTTTTCTTCCTCGAGCTATTAATCAAGTCAAGACTTTAATAAAATGGATTTTGAAAGAAATGTTTTCTTCTGTTTGGTTCTTTAGAGTTTTTAATAAAGGGCATTCCTACTTCGTAGATACCTCATTTTTTAAGCCTAATCTTTATTTACCTTGGCCTATTGGAAATTTTTAATAGCTATTCATATTTTTACGCTTCCAGACTTATTTACTTTTTTGATTAGTTGGATTGCGATGGCAAAGATCGAGTGCTTGAGTTAATCTCTTGAGTGGTTCTATAGGAACCACCGATCCTGGATAATTTCTTCTTATTGATTCTGTTTAGAAACTTGTATTTAACAAAATCATCTGTCAAATGTGTCTGATGTGTGTGAAATGATTCACAAGGGCTTGTAAATTGAACAGACCATGGTATTTACATTGTCTAACTTGATAAGAAAGTTAAAAAACCATAAGGGCCTCTATTGCGTTTGAGCGGCTAGATTTTTCTAAGCCAATACTTTTGTATTCGAATTGTTTACAGTCACCACATGGAGGGAGCCTCATTTATTTATTCGTATTTTTATGTACAATAAACTTTATTATTTACACATTCTAAAAGCTTGGCAAGCGGTTTCTATTTTTGTTAGGATAGGCCACGCGAGATTCGTGACGTTTAGAATCTGTAGAGCACCGCGCCGGTTTATCTTCGCATTTGTTTCAGAATGAATATATGCAAATATTGTTAGATATATTTGACCTTGTCCGGACAGCGGGCCCTGGACATAAAAATGCCAAAAACAAATCAAATATGCTGCCTGGCGTGGGCGACAGTCTAAAAAAGCCACAGCAACCCAATAACATAAAGGATATACTACAAACACAAACGCGCCACACACAACCACACGCACTTATGTTCCGTCCAAGGAAGATTTCTGGGTCTCACGCATACGAACGACCTTTGAGCCGGCTTTGAGGTCAAAGTCTCATTTTGTCCTTGATTTTTTTTCGAAATTTCGCACAGTTGCCAACAATTTTCGTCACACGCCCACCCATTCCGCACACCCACTTGTTGCACGTATGCACTTTCGGATGATGCATCTGTCGGATGCAATCTTGAAATGGTACCAGATGGGGAGATACTCTTTCAATTTGTTGTTTTGCGGCGGAAATACTCACTGCCCAAAATGCTGCCTTTGGCGGCAACTTCCTCCGGCATCTTTGAGACAATTTGTCGTTGCTCTTTCAAGTTTGTCAAATATTTAGTTATAAAAAATTATCCACGATGTTTAAAACACTAAATCCAAGAACCGAACTGACGACCCGATTCCAACGCGTGCGTCGCCACAGAAGGTTGTTCGCCAACTGAAACGGCTTGCAGGAACCCTCGCTTTTTGTGCGTCGTTCCCCAAAAAATTCCCCATGAATTCGAGTTCGCTTGGAGAACTGGCTACCCCGCCGTATCTATATCTATGCGTTTCGGGTCGTTGGTGGTGGGTCTCGATTTTTGGGATCTTGTTCTCTGGCTTGCCTGTCGGCCGGCGCGTAGTTAGATTCCATGGCTTCGTGTCTCGACGTACTCGGAATTCGTTCGTTTCGCAAGCCGGGTATCTTAGAAATACTTCCCATACCGGTAGTGCCCCAGTCAACAGCCCCACCTCGCCCGCCCGCCGCACTGAATAAATTTCATTTGACTTTCCCTCGATTGCGTTGACTCGACCTGCGTGAGGTTTGGATCTTGGTTAACAAGGTAAGTGTCTCAGCTACTTGAACTTTTTACATTTCATAGATTTAATAGGTCCTGCTATTTTTGACCCACTTGTCACACCGCCCACGCACTCTATGAGCATACCAATGCGCCAATTTCAAAACGATTCATGAATGGATAAGCTATAGCAATCTGTGATTTAACTTATGAGTCTTAAGCATGTCAGCTTTTAATTTAAATTCCACTTGGGTGCTATACTTTCTTATATCATTGGCATTTTTTATATTAAAATACATATACACAAAAAAATTGTTTTTTGTTAATTAATCCAAAACCAAAACTGATCCAAAAAATGAATTAAAAACAGAAGGAAAACAAAGTCTAATGTCATACATGCGAAACATATATTTATATACAAGTATGTACATATATTTATAAACATCTCTAGATCATCACTATTAGAACAAGAAATTATATTTTTACATATATAGAGGCATATATTTGTGTATGTATTTGGTATGAATCGTCAAAATACCATATCGTCTAGATGTGGTAAAAATTAAAGACCATCCAAGCCTCAAAAAGTTATTAAACATTCAAAACGCGTGCATAAAATTAGTATAAACTTGGCAAACAATCATATCATGGTCCAATAGAAAATCATATATTTTTGATGCCGCGTTTTATTCTATTCACATTTGAATTGTTATTTAAGACAAGTGATTTCGAGCATTTATTAATAAAAATTAATTTCTTATTTGGGATGTTAATTAACGTTAAGCTCACAAATTTTTCGCGGACTCCGATCTCATGATAAGAGGTGCGAAATCGTGCTGCCCGTGGGGGGAATATCTAAAACAAATGTTTCCCATTGAAAATTAATCACGAGAGTTTATCCCGAGTGCTCGAGTTTATTGAAAGGGAAACTTGAATGGAATTTATTTTCAAAAATATATATGTGAATAATTTTGTTGTGTTTTACTGTGGCGTACTCCTCTCTGGTCATTGCTCATTTGCTGATGAAATATGCAAATGCCATTCAAGCCCGTATCCCTTACTTTTCAGCTCCAGCTTCAGGCTCCAGTGCCTCTGCACTCGTTATCCATCCATACATATTAATGGCCGTTTTTTTGCCGTTTCGCCACTTTCTTTGTTGTTTGTATTTACTTAGTTTTCCTTGGCCATATGGAAAATTAGGACTACAAAGAGCCAAATGGTAAGAGTACTTAAGAGTTTTACAAAATGCGATAAGATATTATGTAAAGATTACTAATTCCAATATATTAAACCATGAGGAAATTGTTAAAAAGACCAACTTACAACTTAAAGTACCACATTTTAGATGTATAGAATAAAAAAAGGGTACCTTGCAGTCAGTTACAAATGCACTTAAGTATCTGGACCTCACCGATACATTATTCAATGTGTTTTGTTTATTTGCCGTACTGTTTATGGTATTGTTTATTGCTGGCAAGGGTCTGAGGGTTTGTTTTTATTAAGCTGTACCCAGCCAGCGTCCGGGACAGAACTTTTTGTTTTCAATTTTCCAGCAGATAGCCGCTTTTTCCTGGCCACAATAGGAGACTTCATGGCTGCTTGGACATGCACCGGTGTCATTGGATTTGCCATGGCACATTAAAGAAGTACTATAAAGTCCAAATGGTTTCCAGTCCAGAACATAGAATATCATAGTGATGATGAAACCCTGTTGAATTTCCGTCGATGTCAACGCGTGTGGGGAGGCCAATTGGTTTTTATTAAATTTTCGGCACACACTTCGATGGCTGTCGCCTCTTTATTCTTTCACTTGGTGTGTTTTTAGTTGTTAATTGGCTTTCATTGAATTGTCTCCCAATTTTCAATTATTTAACTTTTCCCGGATTCGCTTGACAACCGACACTGTCGAGGAATAATATATTTTATGAGTTTTTCATTGAGAAGCTGTTGCTGCGCCATTTCTAGCACTTCTGAAAAATCAATTCCCTGTGTTGCCCCCAAATAAAGCCACTAATTGTTACTTCAGACTTCTTGTAAGCCAAATTGACACATTTTATTGAAGGGAAACCTAATTGTACTGATTCCCCATTCAAATGGCTTTTCAAGTTTCAAGTTTCTGGCATTTTCCGGGTCAATGTCCTCCCCGATGGCATTACTTTCCCCAGCCCCCAGATATTAAATAGTGCTTGATTGGTTTCCAAACCAAAAACATATTTATTTAAAGGTAAATCAGTTGTTGGTAAACAAATATATTGTATTTCAAGTTTCAAATTAAGCTCGCAAAGAACCTAAGGCGTAAAATGAAAGGCCAAAAAGTGTAAGGAAAACTATTCTTGTAAAATTACTTGAGTGTTTAAATATATTTCATATTGTATTGTATACACACACACATAATAATGCATTTTAAATACTTCTCAATTAGGTTTATGTCCGTATAAGTAATATAATTTATTTTATCCATAGTACATATGTATGTATATTTGATTATTACCAAAAAACAGTCAGACAATTCCATTTAAATTAAATGTATGCCTCTCTCTGCATCAAATATTTTAAATATTTACGCTGTTTACCACTTTTTAAATTTTAGACCGACACTCTGCATATTGTATACATATAGTTATATATATTATTACCAATTAGTTAGCTGCGGATATTCAGTATTTCAGTATAGTTATATACGATTAAAATCCTCATCAAATGTCCATTTGATCGTCTTGTCCCCAAGTCGGCGTGTTGTCCTTATAAAATGATTACCTCATGTAGCACAGAACAGGTGGAAAGTAGCGCGATGTCCTTGCGCCTTTCCAAACGTGTTTAGAAAAAATATCTGGTTAAACTAAAGCGGATTAAGCTGACAATTGTCGCATATGAGCTCGATTAAAGTTGGCCAATTCCGGCCACATATATAGATCCATATCCTTTTTTTTTGTACTAGTCGGGAAGCCTCTAGTTCGATTAGTATTACACAAGTATATACTGATAGTTTCGGTTTCGTTTGGGTTTTCGTAATTGTACATTTAGTTTCCATAGATAGATAAGTTAGCTTAGGTTTCGTGGGACAAAATAGTTGCCTAAAAACATTGATTTGATTATGTTCGCGACGTACAATATAATGTTCATATGCATATTACATTAGTTTAATTCTTGTTAGCTGTTTAAAATTGAAATTCTACATAAAAATTGCACACGAGTTGACATTGACTCTATCGCATTACTATAATTGAAATGGAAATTTCGGATATTTGTCTCTCCCTATTTAATTTATTTAATTGGATTATGTTCAATGTTCAAAGAAAACGTTGATTATTCCCCGGGGGTCTCTCGGTATCGCGCCATTAACTACTACAAAATATCGATAGCTACCGATATCTAATAGTATTTCTCGCCATTATAGCTGGAGCTTCGATCGCCCACTGCCTCGTTCATGAACTGGCTCTGACTGACCGAACGCTTCTTTTTGGCCACCATGTATCGCTGTTTCGAGGACCCAAATCCTATGGATTATAATAGACAAGATTCTTGCATATATTTGGTTTAAAACGTGTGATTAAACTTACGGCTATTGACTCCGCTGTACTTGTGCTGCCGGGGCACATACTCGTATTTTGGAATTACTTGGTTCTGGGCTTCCAGGGGCATTCCATAGTAGTCCACCAGCGAGGGCTGGGCCTGCACGGGTGCATCTAGCCATGTAGCCTGAGGCATGTACTCCAGGTCGTCGGAAGAAATCATGGGCACTGGTCCGGAGCTCTCCACGTCGCTCTCCTTGCGCGCCCGTTCTCCAGCTTCTACCAGAGCAACCAGGGCCAGCATATCGGCGGGATTCAGCTTAGTGGTGTCTCGTTTCAGGCTTAAATGAAAAAAAAACAATAAATGTCATTACCTTCATTAAATGATTTTTAAACACTACATCACTCATACGCCACGTTGCCAATGATAGGTTTACATTAATTTTAAAACCCATTCACTTATTTTATACTTATCCCTATACTTCCCAAACAACCTTATTTCTTGTCCTTAAATAAATGAAATCTTTAATGAGTTCACTTAACTCCCTTTTCAAAGCATATAACTCATACGCAGTGTAGTCCCGGCTATAAAAAAAATTTCTTATAGAATAAAAGCCAATACACTTACCGCATATCGTTGAAGCGACGGTATTTGCTCAGATTGATATTTTCGCTATTGTAGCCACTGCCACTGCTGGAACCACTTCCGGCAGAGTTGCCCAGATTGTAGTAGATGCCGCGCTTGTTCCGGTCATCCAAGTTATAGTTCCGGTTGGCATAGGTCAGCGGAACTGAGAGGGGAATGCTCTCGAGATAGGCCTCGGCATTCAGAAGATTTTGCAGATTATCGTAGGCTTTGTTGCGACCAGTAGTTCCAGTTACTAAAATAAATAGTATAAGAAATGTAATGATAATTGTTAGATGTAAAGTGGTATTAAAGTGGCTAGTGGTATAATACCAACCTCTTCGCTCTGGCACATAGTCATCGATCTCCTGGAGATCCCGTTCCCCGTAGGCAACTGGAACCGCCGCCTCGTAGTCGTCGGACCAAACGCCGCTGGGCACATCGTTGCCGTAGTCCGAGACAGTGCTGGCGGGCAGGTACGGGTTGTACTCATAGTTGATGCCCCGCTTGCGCATCGTGGAACTGGCCACCGCCTCCTCCAGGGCGGTGGGCTCCTCCTGCACCTGTTGCTGACTATTCTGAGCGGCGGCAGCCACAGCGGCAAGGATCTCTTCATTGCTGGGCAATGCATAGACTCCGGCAGGCACCTGTTGCGACGGGCTGGCACTGTTGCTACTGCTCCTGGCTGCGGGGGCGTTGCTATAGGATGCGGGCACAATTTCCGGACTTGACTTCTTGTTGGCCAATGGCTCTGAGGTTGTCTCCTCCGCTGAGCGTTTCACTAGAAAGTCAGAAGGGTGGAAGAACACAAATTGAAATTGAAATTTTCCGTTGCCTACTTTGAGGCACTCTAATTTCCCATTTCCCATTTCCCCGGGCTGATTCAATAAATTTGCAAGCACCAAGTACCCAGTGACCGCAAAACCAATTAGCCGCCGTCCACCAAACGAGTTCCATAATTGTTTTATACACTCGAACATATTTCTCGGCGGGCGCTAATTGCTTTTAGCGTTCTGACAGCCGGCTTTATGTTTATGTAATCCCCATCGGAGCGGCCACCCACCGGCAGCTGTGTCCTTATCCTTATCCCTGTCCTGTCCTCTCCCTGTCCCTGTCCCTGTCTCGACCTGTTTTTTCCTACCGGTCCCCACTGGCTTGACCTTATTAATTCTAATCATATTTGCCACAGAAGCCAATCGAAAGGGGTGCTCTTTACGCAACAGCTGGCCTGCTAATTGGTTCGAGCTTAATTCCTCAGATTAGTCTTATGATGTTCCAGTTTGAGCCGGAATTGAATTGGGCTCAAGCTCTGCCAGCTGCCGGCAATTAAGTCTTGGTTAGCACTTGACATGAGTCTTCCACATGATGGTCAAGCCAACTATGCAGGCATCTTTGGCGTGACAAAAGTTTTGCGAAGCCCCCAGCAATTTTATATTTCTATTCATATTATGTGTTATCTATTTAGGGGTAGAGGCCCTTTAGATAATCGTTTATTGGAAGAGAGATATCGGGCTGATAGCCAAATGGTTATGATTTATACAATCGCAATGATTAATGTGTTATTAACTTGCCCCATCAGGTGGTAATAGAACTGGAGCAATCAGGAAATGGTGACTAACAGAAAATTTATTTCGTTATGGTATACAATTCGATGTAACTATTACAAGGAATAACTAAACACTGTTTCCATGAAGCCATAGTTTTCAGAACTCGAGACCCATAAAACCAAAAACCTTATCAGTGGGAAAAACAGCAAAAGAGATATCTAATTTTAGCCACATTATCTGATAGTCAAAACAGACTAAAAAAGTGTTCTATGAAATAAGGTGGCCCACTCTTGACCGTTTATACTTTTTAGAAACCATTAGAAATAATTATTCCCCAGCAATCCACAGTCTTCAAAAGCCAAGTGCTGACTCATTATGGCACACATCTGGGACATATTTGTCTTGCGACTGAAGTTACTTCCAAGAACCAAGGTCCTGGCGCTCTCCATGAAACTCTAGCCGTGTTGCAAAATGTGTTGCTTTAATGTGACACCATTTGTGGATTACTCGTAACCCAGTCGGCAAGTCATCAATGCCCCAGAGTCCTTGGGGCCAACTAGCCGGTCCTGGTGCTCTCTGGCTAAATGATTCCAAGAACCAGCAGTTATTTTATAGCGACCAAGCCAAGTTGCTGCTAAATGTGTTTATAAGAGTCCTGCTCTCTGATGTCCATCACAACGGCAGGGAGTGGAGGTGATAAGGGGGCTACTGCCATAAATAAATAAAAAAAAAAAAGCCAAGAAAATTCCATTCTCTGACGTCGGCCTTGTCGTTATTGTTTTTTTTATTTGAGGTATAAATTTTCTTCCGAGCCGACATGAGAGTGTTCACTGAACTGTAAAAGTATCAACAAGTTGTTTGCTCTCCACACACACACACACATGCGCAGAGATTAAGCCTTAGGCTTGGGGGCGGTGGGTGGATGTAAGTGGGTGTTGGCCGGGTCCTGTGAGTCCTCCGAGCCAGCAGCTGTTCAAAAAACCGATTCGAGACAACGCGAAATGAACATGAACACAATTAACGCCACGACCAAGTGAAAGGCTCCCTGGCAACCTTGGGCTCCCTGCTCCTTGTTGCTTGGTCCTTGCAGGCTCCTTCTTCCTTTCACCAAATAACTTAATAACAACGGCATATGGAAAAATTGTTGGGTTTTTTTGCGGCTTGGGCGAGATTAATGGCAAGAGCCTGCGGTTGTGGTCCAGGGACTTGAATTGGAATTAGGATTGGGATCCAGGATTGCATTCCTGGAACTGGTAGAGATATGGCCAAAGGATCGAGACCTTTTTCTGAATATTTTATGGCCTGTCGATGAGTGACAGGCCGGGGCCAGCGCCATTGCTTTTATAAATATTTAATGTGCACACTTGACTGCCGCCGCTGCTGGTGCGTAAATGAAATGCCTGCCACTCCGGGTGGACCCTGTTCCCGCTCGGCTTTTGCATTCTAAAGAGTGTCAAGAGTCTGCCAGATGGTATGAGGCTGTTTGCCTTAGTCCTTAGTCCTTAAGCTGCCATATGTAACTCAATCAACACCCATAGGACGACCACCACGGCACTTAATCCGTCGCCCTAATAAATCTATTTATGGCTAGCTGTAGGATATCTTTTAGCAGCTTCCGATTCCCCAGAGATTTAGAAATTAGGGCTAAGTATGTGTCCTTAAGTATGAAGGAAATGCGGACAAAGGACGTAGAACTTAAGGACTTAAATCTGCATTTTTGTATACAAAACGGGATAATAAAATTATAATAATTGCGTTTTCTTCATAGCTCAACGACTAAGCTGTCTATTAGTGAATTACAAAAAAAGGACGATTTTTAAAAGCAGACTTTGCATCCATATGTTTTTCCCATTCACAAATTAATTGGATTAAAGTCACTGGCCGCCAGAAAGCTGTCCACCCTAAATTCAATTTATTAATTTTTTCCGAAGGTCCTGCATTTGACATTTTGATGTGGCCGCCGTTCGCTTTGGGCGATTGACATTTGAGCCGTGGGCCTGTTTGATTTTTGGCCTTTTGTTTCTGCGGTCTTGTGGCCGCTAACGAACGTGTTGCACACCATTCGTTCAAATCCAGAGTAACGAAAAGTTCACGAAAAATTGGCAATGTCGGGGCTTAATAGATTCCAGCCAGCTTTCAACTTAAAGGCTCCAAAATCCTGCGGTATTGTATATTTTTGGCATGGTTTTGAATCAAGGCCGGGCTGGCGCTTGGTGGATGGTTGGTGGGATGGTGGCTTAACTTGGCCTAAGATGTGGTGAAAGGCGATGCTAGGCGAGCAGAAAAGGGGGCTAAAAACTTTTGCTTAACTCGCTGTCTAAAAATAGAAATGAAATCGCGCGCACGTACGCACACTTTGCCAGAATGGAGGGCCAACACAGGCATCACAGGCCCACACGTACGCTCCGATGTTCACAAGTGTGTGTGAGTGTGTGCACAAAGGAGGCTGGCCGCCATTTTGTGAGGCGAACGCCTACGCGATGTTTAACTGCGATATATCCCCGTGTATGTGTGTCTGTGGGTTTGGTGCGCTTTTAGCTACACATGTATGTGTAGAACTTAATGCACAGGGAGAAAACATCCAGTCCTTTGAATTTAAAAGATACTGGACAACATATGCCAGCATTTATTTCAAATTTTCACTAGTCTAACACCTTTATAAAACAAATACATGCATTTTTTCTTTGTTACACCATAAAATAGTCTTTATTTTCACCCATTTTCACAAAGAGGTGAGTTTTCTTTATTTTCCTTTATGTGGGTCCACCTCCTAGGTAAACATTTTTTTACAGTGTTTAAACAGTAATGATTCACTAAGCCAGTGTAAAAACAACAACCACAGGATGGAAATTTGTGAAAACATGCAGAAAGAGGGACAAAGGGCGCCCTCCACTGGGGGGCAGGCACTGAAATAAGCAGGGAAGGAAAGGCAACGAGTGAGCGAGAAAAGACAGCGACAGCTGTCGTCCTGGCACAAAACACCTACGCAATTTCCTGCCAAGCGGCTAAGGACGAGCGGTGAAAACGGGCGACGGGAAATGGGAAATGGAAAATGCTAAATGAGATGAGCCCCAAGATGGAGCCACTCAAGCGGATGGACCCGAAATTGAGGCGAAAGAGCTCAAGCAAAAAATATGATAATCCTTAAATTGATAAAAATGGATCAAGATTTTAAATATATTACACAATTACATCACTTTTTAAGTTTCTCACCTCTTAAAAATATATAGTAACACTTTACATAAGATTTATCAATATTTTCATTCGTCTTACATCAGAGGTAACACTAATATTTTTTCAGTGCAGCCATCGCACCCACGCATCCTCATCCGGAGAACAAGAGGTAACAAAACATAACATAAGCACATTTTGGCCTGGGGCTGGCACACTGGGTGTATTTTTTCAAAACTTGAAATTTCTCAATGACCTTTAACATTAACTGCGTCGAGTGTGGGCGGAGCTCGCACGCCCACGCCATAGGTCCTGAACTTTCCCACCTTGACTTCACTTACCTGCTGCCGGCTGTTGCTGCTGCTGTTGCTCCTGTAGCTTCTCCAGTTGTTGCTGCTGCTGGTGCTTGTTGTTGGCGCTGGTGGAGAGCTCCGTGTTCTGGGCTAGCACCGAAGCGGGCACAGCCCGGATCTCGACCAAAAACAGCTGGCTGAGGCAGAGGACCAGTGCCAGCTGCAGCACCGGATTGGAGTTGCTGTTGTGTCGCATAATGCTCTTAACTGGTTTGGCGACTGTGTCCCAAATAGGATTCTTGACTGGGAGGTCAACTCCTGGCGGCTCCTAGCGGTTTCTTTTTAGAGGTTCGCGCCCTTCGACTGTTCTGAATGAACTGACGTCCTACTGCCGCAGTGCAACAGTTTTTAACGTTCTGGCCCCGATTCCGTGCCGTGCTTTGCCTCGTTTGCAGACCCAGTCCCGGTCTGCTCGGCGCCCCCGTTCGATCCCGTAGCCCCCATCCCCGGGATGTCTGCACACAATCTACGTCACTGTCATTGATAAGAATTGCGGCCCTCAGCACAGCCTGCTTACGTATTTCCACTGCTCGGGCGGCCAATGTACTCCTCCAGAGGGCATGCGCCGGGTCTGCACAGAGCTCGACTGCGCCACTATTCGGCTACAACTCGGTGTCTGTGGAATATGCCAGTGTGACACTAGAGCTCATAATAATATTACGTAAAAAATAAATAATTCGGTTTTTAGAAACTATTCGTAAGATAGGAGATACTTTAGTAGTTATTTAAATACAAAATCCCGCTAAACTTTTCATAAGTAAAATATTATGTTAGCGTATAATTATTAAATCGTACGTAAAATAAAGACGGAGTACCTTACACGATTTCTAGATCGATTCCACATCATTCTGCATCAGCATGAGAAAAATTATTTTTTAGATCTTTTGTCCATTTTTCGTGATCTCTTGAAAATGGGGTTTTCCCCTATATGGCCTACATTGATGGCTATATCTTCCCCAATTCTCATCCGATTCTCAAGCGGAGTACCTTAAACGATTTCTGGATCGATTCCCCACCATCCTGCATCAAAATCCCGAGACAAAATATTTTTTAGAATTTTTGTCCATTTTTCGTGGTTTGGCATCAATCCATAATTCTGAATCGACCGATTCTGCAGAGGAAAGAAGGGTGTTTGCAAAGTTGCAAGTCTAAAACTGAGAGACTAGTTTGCGTAGAAACAGACAGACGGGCATGCTTATATCAACTTAGGAGGTGATTCTGATCAAGAATATATACTGTATAGGCTTGGAGATGTCTCCTTCACTGCGTTGCAAACTTTTGACCAATATTATAATACCCTCTGCAAGGGTATACAAATCCAATGTAATTATACAACATAATGCTGGCACAGCAAAAAGTAACTTGAGGAAATTGCTGAAAAAACAAAAAATACAATGTTTTATATTGCAACCTGTAAAGCCTGTGTTCAGTTAACCACTGGACTCTGAATTAATCGGCCATAAACTTCAAAAATGTCATCCACCAAATGGAGATATTTTTTCATCGCACTCTTCATCGAATTATCCCATCAACAAGTGTTTAATAATGAAAAGGACGAAATGCCAATGAATTTTAAAGGATTTAACAACAACCTTGGAGCTTTGGTGGAATATAAGGGAAGGGCAGCTTTGGCCATGGAGGACTGGACTATCATCGCCTCATTCGATTTAAGGGAACATCTTGAGGCCATCAAATGGCTTGAGATGCGCAAGGAATACGCCGGTCCCAATGAAGTTTTGCCTGATTTGGATAAGTTCATGGATGCCACTCTTCGAAATGGTGTCATACAAAACATGGACACTTTGGACATACCACTGTCTCCTTCCCCAAAGGAAATCGCTAATCTGTACCAGAATAATACTTCGGTGCTCAACAGCACAGTCAATATACTACACGGTTCGAGCTTGCAGTCTATAGTGGACAAGCTCCAAATGGGCATCGACTGGGTCAAGAATAATAAAGGTTCAACTGAAGTCCCGGAAGAAATGGCTATTGAGTTTAGTTTTCTGGCGGATCACATCAGACTCTCAGAGGCCGCCATACAGGAAGCATTAGTGTCCGCTTATCAAGGGCAACTAAGTCCCCGGATTCTAACCATTAAGCAATTGGAAAAGGAAATCCTCAATATTCAGGCCCATCTTCCGAGTCGCCGGCGACTTTTCTTTGAACGGTTTACGACTTCCGATATCTACCAAAATGTGAAGATTTCCACTCACCGAATGGAAAACCACATAGTGTTCAAAATCTCGGTGCCCTTGGTGGATGTGGAGCTTTTTAATCTGTACCGCTTGACGCCCATTCCGCGAGTTCTTGAAAATGAAAAGATCGAACTGGTGGACATGGAAGTACCCTATTTGGGGATCAACGATCACCTGGACAGGCATTTCCCGCTCCATGACTTGAGGGATTGCACGGAAATGATGCCAGAAAAATTCATCTGTCGAACTCAAATAACTTACGGAAAGGATGATGCCAGAGTTCCCTGTTCTCTAGCTGCCATTCGGAATGACACAACCGGCAGCTGCGAAACAAGGCAGATGGATGGGAGGTCACTTTGGACACCGCTTCTTGTAGCCAACTCATGGATGGTGGCTCTCACCCAGGAGCTAACACTGATGGGTGTCTGTTCCGACGATCGCCAAGAGCTAAAAATAAATGGAAGTGGAATCCTTCACATCCGGAGTGACTGCATCGTGAAGAGCCAAGTTTTGACATTGCAGGGGAATTCGCTTCAAAGAAATCCCTCCCAGGCCAGCTATGCAAATTTATTTATTCAAAAAAATAATAGTGTTTCAATGAACCCATATGATAACTTTCACAAACTTCGAGACTTGATTATCCAATTAAAAGTTCAACAGGATAAACTAAACGAAAACGAAGGAGTTAAAATAGCTATAATCGCAGTGTGTCCATTGGTGGTGCTCGTCTTCCTGTTCATTGCCTTGGCCTGGTTCTACAGCTCTTACCGCAAAAAGCTAAACATACAACGACGAATGGAAGACCCGCTTCGAGGAACCAAAAATGAAACAAAAGCCACCAACCTTCCCCTTCTGGAGAAGGAAACTGATCCCTAAAATCATGTTTATATCAATTTCATAAAACTTTTTAAAAAATATATATATTTATATCTTTTAAATGTGTATAAATTTATTCCATTTTATGGGAAAGAACTAAGCAGATGCATTTTGGTAAGACAGAGCATGAAACTACAAAGGAATACCTTTGTATCTTTGTAAAAAAATATTTAAATGGTTTGGGACCAAATGATTTCTCAAGAGGTCAAAAAAATCAGAAATATAGGAAAAATGTCGATCAAAATTATGATTCTGAGTTTTGATGCAGATTTGTGGAGAATCAAGCTGAAAATAGTTTGAGGTAATACACACTAAAAGTGTGTATTGAATGAATTTATGGAAAATCAGGATTTTATCGATATGGTTAAAATCGTTTAAGGCACTACGCTCCAGGCAAGGAACCAATATTGGCAAGGATATAGATGTGTTTGGGGGATATATATAGAAAACCAGGATTTTACAATGGGTTTTTAATTTTGATCCTTCATTTTGATTGAAGGGAAAGCGAATAGAAATAGAAAGTGGAGGGGTTTCCCTTATAAATCTGATGGAAAATTGGCAAAAATATAAAATGGTTTGACGGGAATTTATGAATAATTCAAAACTCCATCAGAAATCAAAAATTATAAACAAATTTTAGTTTTTTTGATTATAATACAGGTTTATTGATTTGGTTTTAATTGCAATAAATATTAGTTACTCTCTTCATGTACACGTTGTAAGTCTCAAGGCTTCAGTTAAGGTTTCCTTTTCTTTGCACTTAGAATTTTAGAAAATCTGGGCCAAGGGCAGGGCATGCTAGCAATTGGTTTTTGGGACATTCACATTCTTCCCTTGGATTTCGGACATTGCACCGAGTGCTCTATTTTACAATTGCATTGTGGCTTTTGTTTACAATAAGAACTACAATTTGTCATCTACTACAAGGAAAACATTGCCAATTAAAAACTAGTTACCGCACTCTCATTGCACTTTTGTTTGTTTATCGTATTTGTGTATGAAATAAAGCTTTATGCGGGGGCGGGAAACAAGAAAAGCATTTCGGAGATGTCCAGAACATCTACTTGGGCTTGTCCAGCACCTTCATTATGTGCTGCGATACCAGCGCCGTTGCCTCGGCAGCGTTTGGGATGAGAAAGCGATCCATATCGGTAATGAGCAGGCCATCGCCGTCGGGAAAGCCATACTTAAAGGTGATCAGGTCGCGGTGTCGCTTCTTCGCCGTTATTTTAACGATGCTGGCCAAGGGGCGCCGCACCATAATTTGCGCCTGGCCACGGCCCAGTTCCCGGAGAACCACCAGCTGGCCGGGAGTGATTATCAAATGACTGTCGTACATATAGCCGCTCATGTGGACTTCCTGACACTTGAACGCATTAATTATCTCCGCCGTTTTGAAATAGTGGTTCAGATTAACGATCTCCTTGCCGTCGCCAGCCAATTGAGGGGCATCCAGTTCCGCTGGACCATCGAAAGCATCCTCGTTCTCATCGTCGATGCTAAATACAGGAGCTACGTTGCGGTATCGTTTTCCGTTTCGTTCTTTGGCACTGACATGACGCTCCTGCGACAATGTCGCCTGTGCGCCGTTGCTGTTCGCATTAGATCCGCTCGATGCAGCAGCACCATTTGCGCTTGGATTCACAATAATGTCCAAAAGTTTACCCTTCATCTCCGCTGATTTGGATTTCATGGCGGCGGAGAATTTGCTGAACAGGTCTGAGGAAGACGGCCCGCTAGAGGCCTTCAGTGGCGCGGATTTAGTCTACAAAGAAGCTCAGCTTAGTGGGAATCGTAGGAAGAAGTCCATTGACTTACCTGCTGAACATTGTGCTGCTGACAGACGAGGCACTTTCGCACATTGTGATCCTCAAGGCAGTCGGCCATGTGGTCACCGAAGTAATCGTGGATGGATGCGTAACCGCCGGTCAGCAGCGAGACGTAGTGTGTGTTCTTCTGAAGGAACGAAGCCACCACCATGTGCGTGTACTGATCCTCTTCGACTCGTCCACTGCCCATAAAGCAGAGGTGCTCGCCACCAGCGTTCGAATTGGCCTCGATGGCCTGTCGCTGGGCAGTGAGCAGGCCCTGGACGGCTGTAGCGAAGGCGATTGGCTCCTGAAGCATTAGGTTGCAGTCCAGGTGGAATGCCGTCGAGAGATGCCCGGCGTTATACTGCTCCGCGGGTCGACAATCGACGAGGAAAAAGCGCACTGCATCCGGCACTGGGAATTCGGTGGCGGAGTTTTCCACCAATTCGTAAACGGAAACGGGCAAGCACAGGGCCTGCGACACCTTGCTGGCCTCCTCCTGACTTCGCGGCGAATCGTTCTGCTTGCCGTAGAGCGCCTTAAGGTAATCCGTCTTAAATGAAGTAGGCGTTTTCAGCGCGTAGTATTGAGCCAGGGAGCAGAAATCTGGCACATCGTCAACCTCCAATGCAACAGGCATATTGCTTAAGAACTTGACAATCTCATCTTTCGTCGAGCCGCGCATCTGCAGGATCTGTTCCCTTCCGTTGATTAGAATTATCAGCGCGAGGAAGAACACCATAAAGGGATCGGCGTTCTGAAAGTACAAGTCCCACATGGCAATGATCACCGAGAGGCTGCTGCAGGAGGCGAACAGTGACTGGAACCATGTCAGCGAGTACATATCCGGGGTGATTTTCTTAGTGTCCAGAAGGGTACATAGCTCGGGGTCGTGGTACAGCAACAGCAGCCGGAATACGTGGAAGACGTTGCCTTTGGGTCGACAGCCCTTGGGTATATAGGTGTCTCGTATCGATTCAAAAAGGTTGAAGGTATCCGATCTGTTCAGTTTCAATGCGAAAAGAGGAAGCAGTAGTTCGATCCATCCATTCTCAGGCTCGTACTGCAGATTCCGATTTTTGCAATAAAACGTAATTATGGACTCCAGGTCAGAAACGACCGACACCTTGTCCTCTTCGTCGTTTCCCATACGGTCGACATGGCGCTGGCAGTCCTCGCGCAGCTGACTTTGGAACGGCAGGTCGTAGATTTCGTTGAAGAGCGACATCTGATCGGATTTGTGCCGCACGTCCAGGCACACCTGCCACACGTCCGGACGCAGTGCCTCCGGCAGTGCTTTGCCCTGACAAATGCCATAGATGTCGTTAACGTTGCAGTCATCCAGCAGCGCCGACTCCAGCTCTATTATCCTGTCCAGATAAGAAATGGGAATGTATTATTATCAGCGGTTTAAATGGAGAATGGGCCCGTGTCAACGTGTCTAGTTAACAAGCAGCTGTTTGTCAACTTCTCTGATAAGGGGAGCTCCCACCTTGCTAGCTCCACCCCGCTGAGGCCCACAAATTAGGCTGCTGACTCAATCAGTCCCACAAACACTGGGCACTCACTGGAAAACTATAGATCTTTCTCAGATCTGGCACAATCCCCGTCTGGCTATTCAGTGGCTAACCTTAATTGTTGACGTTGCCCCCCAAACCCCCACAATGTTTATTATTTACCACATATTCTCTTCCATTTTGCAGGGGATTGTCGCTTCGCTGGCACTTTGCTAGGCTATCCGTTTCCAAATGCTTCCGTTAATGCACTCTCTTTAGCTGTAGTTGGCCAGGCAAATGCATTTTCCTATATCTCAGCAAGGCGAATAATTTTTTATGATATTCCAAATTATTTTGATCGAATTTTTTTGTGTTTAACACTGCGAATGTATGCAACGAGGGATGGCGAATGCTAGGTATGGGATTGGCGCGTGATTTGTTTGTTTTTCTTTTGTGTCAACTAATTTAAAAGCTTGAAAATTAAACTAATGACTCTACTTAGGTCTAATAAGTTTTATTTGATATTAAATTCTTAATATCAAGAGGAAAGTTTTGTTAGGAAAACTTTATCACGACTTCTGTAAGCTAACAGTGTATGTTATCCAACATAACTTATACCAGGGAGGTGTCATCATTGTTGCTAAGGATGCCTATTTAAATATGCAAATATTTAAATAAATATAAGACAAACAGTTTTGCAAATAAATTATCACAGAGGCTTTTGAATTTAAAAGATAAAATATTAAATAAAATTTAAACCAAAACAATAAGATCAAGTTATCGATTAGTGTTGCCAACTGCTTGCAACAACTCTCTTCCATCTCTAGTTGCCAGCAATTTGCATGCAAAGTTTTGTTTAAATTAAAAATTCATAAATTACAGCGGCTGGCGCCAAAATTTGCAATCAAACTGTGTACGAGTTTCCTCCGAGTGGCTGGCAGCAACAAAAGTAAGTGAAAACCGTGGCACATGCTAATTTCCGCCAATCCATACGGGGCCAAACACAATTTGCACGGCAAAAACAAAAATAGAAACAACAACAACCCTAACGGAATGCAACTGCACACGCACACCAATGCCATCAAATCTCTGTGGGCAGCCTTCACCCAAATAAATTGCATCTTGCATCTATTGATTTTGCATATTGCACACACAAGGTGTTGCAAGCCGTGAGGTTTGCACCGATGCATACTGGTATGCGTGTGCTGGCAGCAACAGCTGGCCTGCCAATCCCCTGTCCCAACCTACTATGCCTGCCCCCCTTTTTATCGGCACTCTTCCAACCAAACCAAAGCCAAGACTGTGCATTTTGAGCCACGTGTGAGGTTTGCTATTTGCATAGCATCACGTACTCGCATTGCCCAACCTTCTTCTCTAATTGCGACTCTCTTTTTGTCTCCAAAACAGATGAAAACTGGCAACGGCAGCAACAACAACACCATTCCCGGAAGCAACAACAACATACTGACTGCACCTTTGACCCAAGCCCGATCCTCGACTGTTTCCGTTGCTGCTGCCGCCTCGCACATTGTGACCGAGTGGGAGGACGGCATCATCTTCGATGTGGATGATCCAGACTTTTGTAATCTCGCCGCCGACAAGCTGAACTTCATAGGTGAATACTTGAGGGTATAATTAGCCGCCGACCACCGTATTTATAGTCTAGACATTAAACTAATCTATGTTATTTACGATTAGCCAAGGCGGCCTATTATCGGGAAAATAGAGGAATATTTTTGCACCTTTGTACCAGTTGCAGTTGGGCCTTATCGTCGTGGGGCGGTTTTCCCGACTGGTCAGTTGACACACTTGTGGGTGGTTGCTCCACTCGAACGCCCGCCCGGCTGTTGTCTGATCGGGCGGAAACTGCCATACACTTTTATTAATGGCAATTGCGGGCCATATTCGGCTTTATCATCGAGTGCCGCTGATAATGGCCGTGCATATAACGCTCCAAACACAATGGCCATCAATTATACAAGTGTTCGAGTGGAATATATTCTAGAAATAGGAGCACTCTGTCTTCCCCATCAATTCCCCTTACAAAATTAGACCAGTTTTGAGCTTTTTTTAGAACGTGCATCCCACTAGACCCCTGCAAAATTGGGCGAACCATCAATTACCGGGTAAACAATGGGGGTGTGGTTATGTCTCCGTCTCCGTATATTTATCTGCGATCTGATTAGACGTACTTGCGAGTCGTGCGACTAGCCCATTCACACGATCCTCTTGTCACCGGCAACCTGAGCTCACGCGTCGGTCATGTGACTCTGGATCTTCGCTCAATCATCGCACTGCCTTAGCCGAAAAATTGGTGCCAAAAAAGCGTGCAAATATAATCTGTCATTCAAATGGAGTGGAATATTTCCCCAATTTCGGGCAACAATAGCAGTAGTAGTAGTTTATGGCTAGCGTGAGCTGTTTTTTCCATGCATATTATTTAAGCGGCTCGGCACGTGTCGCTCGTTAAAGGCTTTTGGGGAAGTTCTATTACACATGCAGGCTGGCCCACCCGCTTCACCCCCCACGGATATTGCGTGTGAACCGAGCATGAGTGTTGGGGAAATTATGTCACAGATCCGGTCTTAAGTTAGTTAGTAAAAAGGGCTCTTACGAGAAACTAACAAGCTTTCCCCAAAATGGAGTTGCAAGTTTAGCTAATCCATCCATTATGGACTGCCATGGGTAAATAACCCCTTGAAACCTATTTAGCTTCGTCCACATATTTGCGATCGATTAGCATATTGCATCAGACTATTTGCAATCAGCCTCGTCTGCTGATGTAAGTACTCAACTGAACCAGAGAATATCAGATCAATTAACAGACTTGAGAATGATTTATCTGGGCTATATATAGAGATGGTATAGGTATAGGTATAGGTTAGCTTTATCTGGCCGTGACTCACCCCAACCAGATTGGATCTATCTCCTGCTGAAGTCCCCCCACTTATCATAATGAATGTCGTGGAATTTTATTATCTCAACTGATCGCTCTTGTACTTATCTTATTTGGTGGCTTGAGTCATCCCTGTCTAGACCCCGCGATTCCTTATAGAACATTAATTATATTTTTTAATCGTCCGGCCGTCGGTGGGAAAGCAGTTGTGTAGATGTAGAATTCACTTGTGGCTCCCATGCCCAGACATAGTGCTTGCATAAGCCATTCGCTTGCATAAACTGCTTATTAAAACGACAAACGTAATGACAATTTTTAAAAATAAAACCGTTTTCGATTTCGCAATCCCTCACTCTCCGGCCCGTGTGCTGTTCGTGGTTTATGTTCCCATGCTCATTATTTTGTAGAACCAAACGCCACGCCACGCGCAGGCTGTTCGCGGTTTTGGTCAATTTGTCAAGTCCGAATACTAGCACTGGCTCTCGTCTCGTCTAGCTAGCGTCTCTGGCTGATAAGTTTTGCCCGCTGCCTCGAATTGCGCAGCAGCCCCTACCCGCCGTAAGTGTGGTTCTGGGGGCTCTGCGGTTCTGGTGTTTCACAGAAAACCGATAACCCGCAATGGAGTGGAAGTGTGCTGGTCGGCACAGGTACGGAACATATGTCTTGCTGGCTGTGGCGTGATGGAAAATGCCCAAATGCAATCCGATCGCCATCCAAGGGGACCTGAGATCAGGCTTTGGGGCTTTGGGGCTTGGCCGGCGGTTAAAGGCGGCTTCAGTTGACCGCCATCCGATTGGTTTCGGTCTTAACCAGTTGAAGGTGACTCGATCACGTTTCTGGTTAATACAACACACATGGAGAAAATATTCAGACTAATTAATACAATTATTATTTAGAAATTTGATCATTTTTAAAGTTATTTCTGTAATTTCCCAAAGAGACCCACACTAAATGAATTACTGATTAAATGAATTATTGTTTGTTGACAACGGGGTAATTGTGTTATTGCATTTTTCTGTCTAATCCGTAACCCCTCCAGTGCAGTACCACTCGACTTTGAGAGGCCCGGCATCGATCGCTGGGTGTGTCCGTGTGTCGAGGATTGATTTCAATTCGAATTCCGCTCGTTCATTCATTCACTGTATTGGCTTCGTTCTTCTTTTTTTATTAATTTACAATTTTAACGCATACCAATGTGGATGAATGCATGTACGGACGGATTGGATCCCTGGCCGGGCGGGCACTACGGCAGTCGTAATCGGTTCAAACCGGTACCGGTTGTGAGTGTGTTTACACTGAGCCAATATTCCGTGCGACGCAAATCTAACAATGATGCTTCGGCTACTGTCGGCCATTGATGATACTATAGTACCCATATAGTATTCCCTCAACGATGCTGATGACGACGTTGTCAAGTCTTGCGACGTCAGTTAGTCGCTCGCGCCACTTTATTGACTAAATGTAGACCCCCCCACGCCCCATCTCCCACAATCTTGTTGTAAATTCCGGCCATTAGCATAGTAAACAGTGGTCGCCGCAAAGGTAGATACCCCCAAAGGGTTGAGAACAAGTTCCTGGGAATTTGCCCAAAGAATTTCCATTATTTTTAGCTTTATAAAGTAAATAGAACTATAGGTTGCTTTGAAATCCCCCGAACATTAAAATAATCTATTATCTTCAGGGGAAAAATGGTAATCAGATGTTCCCAGAATGCATCTAATACGATTTAAAATGAAGTGGCTAAGCTGATAATTCTGTTCTATATTTTTACAGTATTATTATCAAGAAGTCTGACATTTATTTCCAGCTTTTCTTTTTATTCTTCAAGCTAATGAACTATTCCAGTCTTATTTTATTGACAGACTGCCACAAATTCGTTAATTAATGGACAGTCTGGGGGCCGGCATTAAAAAGTCACTTTTCCGGAAAAATGGATCACTCGAACTGGATTGAACTAAACATTTCCTCAAGTAATACAAGACCTGTAGAACCTTTGGGAGTGTACGGAACCCGTTTGTTTGTTAGCCATGCACATGCTAAAAATTAATTAAATATTGGCCAAGGCAAATGCCTAAAATTCAAAATTTATAAATTCATTGAACAAATTGAGGCCAGGAACCAGATTGAACTGAAATTCATTTTCAAGTTGGACGCGAAAGCCACAGTCCACGTTTCGGTTGAGACACCGCCCTCCCTGCCACCCAGTGGCCCGTGTGGAAATCTCTCGTGTCACGTGTAATTAACAAACTGTTGCATTATGCAAATTGCTAATTAGGCGTTCTCCAGACTTCCACAGGTGTTAATTGTCTCTCGACCGCAGTACCTTTCCCTGTCTAATCCACTTTTTCCCCCCACCCGAGCTTCATTATAAGGCTCTGGCTCCGGTATGTTCTAGTTTTTTAGGTTTGGGGGATTGCGCACTTTGTCTGCGGTTGGGATTTATTTGTTTGATACCTCGATTTTCAACCTTGGACTAGTGTTCAATGAGTAGCGCTTTGTTTTGCCCTCTAATTCCATGTCCCCCCCATGGGAT